CTTCCAAATCCTTATTATTCCAGGCCATACCCAAGGTCAGTGTCACGTCAGTCAGTAGTGTGCTAGGATATGTGAGGTTAACTGGCTTCCTGAAAAAAAAATTATACTCATATAATAACAGTATTGCACACAATTTATGAACAATAATAAAATAAAGTACCCTTTCTTACAATTCTACATAGCCCATCAGTTGTCACAGAATGCTTTCATTGATTTTCACTGAACTCTTGTATCTGCAGCCAACCTAGGACAGCAACTGATCGATGAGCATAGTTTGGACATGAATGTTGGTTGACACTTTCATTTACATTAACAAGGAAGACAGATGTGAAACAAACAAGAAAGACGTTAGTCAGAATCTTACTTGTTCTTCAATTGGCAGGGACTGCTTTGTTGAACTGGACAGGAGTTTTTGAATCCAGGAAGAATTTTATCTCAATTTTGTTGTTGCTCTTCACACTGTAATGGCTACAGACATCACATGTTTTAAAATCTGCATTAAAGCATTTTCTCTGTCACTTTATAAACAATCTACAGAACAATAAACAGAGCACTGATTTGCAGTGACTGCTGGTTCCCAGGGTGGAAATACTGCCACCATGGCTAATGTAAGGCCTTGTGATGTCACCAATACAGTTTTTGCACCCTGCAGCCTCAGTGGATATCGAGAGCCTCAAGAACGTAGATGATAGTAAAAATGACAAAATACTTAGGAAGTGATGCATTTGAGTCTTTATTACTTTCCTTTTTAAAAATAACTTGTTTGATTATAAGTTTATATAGTCTAATTGTGACAATTATGTTTAACGACTGCATTGCAAAGTTCCTGAGAGTGTGACAATTGGTTCTTCCAAGCTGGCACATGCCAGCCTCAGCACATCTGCCTGGGAACTCCAAGGTGGAACTGTAGATTGGTGGGATTCTCAAAGAAGTGGACTCCCCGACACATGGGCAGCTGTTGCCGGAGGCATCACATCCATGTTCACACACAGACTCAGACACAGACAGACTGTGTGCACCTCTCCTTCTCTCTGTCCCTTCTCTGCACTGACGAGCAGGAACCATTCCTCCTTCTGCCCACAAGGTGGCAGCACCCTGCTCACTGAGCTCACTGAGCAGGACCTGAAATAGTCCTGGGCTATGTGACATTCCCTGGTCACTTGGGCCTCCGTGGGCCTGTTTCCTGAGGGAGGTTCCTGTGAAATTTAATAACCATCTCCTGGGCCTGGACTCGGAATTAGTGATGATGCAGCCACAGCCTGGAAGGTTGGGAAACTGTAGGAGCACCATGCAGTTCTGTAAGCCATCAGACCTCTACTGGCTTCAGTTCCTCATATTTATTTAAAAACTTTTTATGTATTTAATTTTTGATGATGCTGGGGCTTGTTATGGATGTGTGCTTGCTAGGCCAGTGCTCTACCAATCGAGCCATGTCCCCAGTCTCTTTGCCTGTAGTTTGTTTTTCAGATAGAGTCTCATGCTTTTGTTCAGGGTGACCTCAAACCCTGATCCTCCTGCCTCCACCTCATGAGTAGCTGGACTTACACACATGAGCCACCATACCTGGTCAGTTTCTCATTTTAAAAGGGGGCTAATGCTACCTATCTTGTAAGATTCTTGTAAAGATAAAATTAGATAATATAAATAGTAGAGTGGGTAGCACATGGCCACACCAATAAAGTGACATCAATCCATAAAGGCTACTGTCACATGTTTAACTTTATTACTACAGAGCAATCATGTCAGAACCAAAGGAAGCAGAAGGATTGTGGGAGTATAGATAATTATGTTCTAGATAAATGTTGCTATTGAGATTGATTCTCATGGCTTTTATATTCAATTTCTTTAACTCAGTGAAAGATTTGCACATTTTTCCTGTCATGGAACAGACCTTGCATGTTTCACTTAATGCTGATTTCATGGATGTCTTTTCTTCAGCATGGCGTTTCCATTCCTTTGGGGCAACTGTTTGAATGGATTGCAAAGGCAGCCCATTCAATCATTGGCACATGTGTTTTTCGCCATCTACTTTGAGTCAGACACTGCCTTGTGCACTGCAGATAGATACACAGCTGTGAAGCTACACATCTCTATTGTACTGCACGTGGAAAATTCAGGAAAACCTAAAGAAAATGAAAGCAGAATGGTGTCCAATTCCACCATTCAGAGATGACCACGCAAGATTTTACCACTTCATCATCTTTTAGTTTTGGTTTTGTTTTTTTTTTTTTCGCTCAATGTATCATAAGCCCAGTTTTAAGCCATCCTCAGGGTCAGGCAGCTCTTCTGGTTGGGCGTGCTGGTTGACCACTGCCATAGCTTCAGTAAATCTGCCCGAGCATCCCTGGATCCACCAGGAAACAGTATGAGATCCCGTCTCAGTGCCCATGGGTCTCAAGGTCCACTGCATTTGAGTCAACTCCAGCTCATGTGGCATCTGCTCACCGCAGTGGCAGCTGGAGTGAAAGATTAGTTGGAGACCAGACTCTGTAGCTCTGGACTCCTTATTTAAAGAGCTACCATGGACCCTGCCTGAGCGCACCTGTTACTAAGATAATGTGGACCAACTCCCAGCTCAGCCCCTCCATGCAGAGACAGACCAAGTAGTGCATCTGTGTAGCCAGGGTCACCCATCAGAATGAATTAAATGAGTCTGTGTATACCAGCATGAGAAATTCCTTTATTCAGTAAAAGAAAAAAATTAATCTTAAAAATGATGGAGGTTATTAACACATGTAGTTATGGAAGGAGAAAAGATTTGCATTTACTACTTTATATACCTGCAAATATTTTGAATGTTTTGCAATGAGCATATATTACATTTAAATCTTTCTACACACATAAGGGGAGGGAGGGAAGGAGGGGAGGAGGGAGAGAGAGAGAGAGAATAAAAGAGAGAGAACAAATGAGAGAGAACGCTTAACATTCTAGCACATGTCTTCAGGTACTTCTCTGATTATTTCCTTAGCTTATATTTCTTAGAAGTAGAATTTCTAGAAGTGGAATTGTTTTGCATCTTAAAGATTCTTGGTATATGCTGTAAAATGAATCTTCAGAATGGTTATACCCATTTGCACTCTGCCCCCCAGGAAAGAATACCAACTTGTCTTAACCTTCCATACTGCTGGGTAGCTACTTTCAATAATTTCCAATTTCATAAGACAGCATTTCATCTTAATTTCTTCCTTTATTACTAACTGAATTCTAAGTATATATTATCTTTACTTTTTAATTGACAGATACAAATTATAAATACTGGGATGCAATGTAATATTTCCATAGTGTATACAGTATGTGATGATCAAATTGGGGTACATAGCATATCAAGCACCTTAAACTTTGGTCACTTCTTCAGTGTTTGGTGTTTGGTGTGCTCATCTCTTGGTTGAGATTTCCATGGGACTATCAGCTGACTCTGCTGTGGAGATGGGATGGGATTAGCTGCTGCCAGACTAGGACCAAAGCTGGCTTTCAGTGGGGTGGGGTGGGGATGGAATGTCCTCCTGCATGGGGCACCCCAGCAGCTGGCCTCTGAATGCTGAAGCTCTCAGCCCCTTCCAGGTGCTACCTGTGATCTAGAGCTCTCTCTCTCTCGCTCTCTCTCGCTCTCTCTCTCTGCCTTTCTCTCTCTCCCCCCTCCCCCCGTATATATACTACCCTATTATGCAATCAGCAGTGATGGAGTGATGGGAGGACATTCGGGCAAAGACACCCTGTCTTATCGGTCTCTTTGTAAGACCCCAATTCATCATTCAGTGGTCTGTTGCCAGCCCCATTCTGCTTCTGCATCTTGTGCGATGAGTGCTAGGGACACACAATCTGTGGTCACGTTGGCTGGTGCTTTTTCATTTTGATGTCACCCCAATTGCTCCCCATTGTTCAGGGTCTTCCTTCTATCCCCCACCTCGGTCCCCTCTTCCCTCCCTCTCTTTCTCTCTTCCTTCCCTTCCTCCCTACCTTTTGAGGGTTTTGTATGTGATGGGAGATTGATGTATGGTTCAGCTTACCTTCCTAAGAACAGAAGTCTGTCACACTTCTGATGGCTTGAGTCTCATCCATCCCCATCCCAACACCTCCCAGATGTTTCAGACATCGCCATGGAGTGGTAAAATTTTGGAGAATTATGGGGGTGGGTGTCATGCTTCTGGAGGAGTGCTCTCCAGAGGAATGCTCTTCCCTGAGACCTGGGAGGGAAAGAAACCCAGAGATGGTGGATGGACGCTGCAGAGTCAGGACTGGTGTGGGCAAAGATGGACAGGTGGGATAGGGTGGCTTGGTGGTGTCATGGAGTCAGAGCCATGAGAACAATGTGCACAGGAGCCTAGAAAGGAGCAGCTTCCTTTCAAAGAGAAGTTATGGAATTATGCCATGTCTTGCAGACATGAGGCCCTGCCAGCTGTCCTACAGACACCAAGGACAGTCTGTAGTGTGTGTAGTTCAATTGCCTCTCTCCCAACCTAACAGCCCTGCTTAGTGCTTCTTGACCTTGGTCATAGAAAACCATGTCCACAAACGGATGTCCTGTGAAGTTAATGATGCTTCATTTTCAAGGCCCCTCAGCTGCACAGGACTGTTCCAATGCTCTGGGGGGGCGTGGGGGGGGACCCTAGTGAAGTGTTTATGTCATCATATGTTTTCCTTAAAATGTGAAAAGGTGAAATATTTTTGTGGTTTTATTTCAAAAGACACCCAAATTATAAAAGCTTTGGGCTCCACCGAACCTGAATCTGCCCCTGACTCTGTCATCAAGAACTGAAGGAGTTTGTTTCAGTTACCAGGGAAGCAAGACAGATAATCAAGCTGGAGAAAAATGTGAAAGAAAGAAGCATGAATTAACCCACTTAGGGAAGATACACCACCAGCAAGCAGCCCTGGCTCTGAGAAAGCAGAGTTTAAAAAGATCGGATGGTCTCAGGGAGCCTCAAGCCACACCCCTGAAAACCGATGACTATTGCATCTGAGGATATAAATGTGATTTTTGGCTGTTTTTCAGGACCAGGCAGCTAAATGTCACCTGTACCAACTCAGTGGACATGGAGCTCTTCCTCCATTACTCCCTTATTCCATCAGTAAGTAAAGGCAGGGAAGGGGATTTGGGTTACTGCCCCACTCAGGCTCTCAATGAGGCCTGACTAGGTCATGGGAAAGCTATCAGATGAGATTCCTTCTAAAACTGTGACTCAGTTTCTTACATTTTAACAGGCCAACAGCCAGGGCTACTTTTAGGGAAGTCAAAGAAAGGTTTGTCTTGCTGGGGGGTATGGCTCAAGTGGTAGAGTGCTGCCTAGAAAGCACAAAGCTCTGAGTTCAAACTAAAACAAAAAAAGTACTGCTAAAAATAAAAAAGGCTTTCTGAAGAAGTAATGCCAGAGTTGTGTTAAGATGCAAAGTACATTCCAAACATCGGGGAGAGCATGTGCAAAGGCCCTGTGGAGGAAGGAGGAACAGAGTTTGCAGGGAACCAACAAGACCAGGCTGGGATGGAGAACTGAGGTGGAGGAATCTGGGGAGGCGGGCAGGACTGGGCCAGCCAGAGTCCTGTGGGGCTCTGGGTTAAGGAATTTGTCTTCAATCTCATTGAGAAGTAATTGAAGTGTTTCCAGCATGAGGGTGCTGTGATCAGATCTGTGTTTTTAGATGCTCATGCTGGTTGCAGCAAGGAGATCAGGCTGGAGGTGGCAAGAGAGGAGGTTGGAAGACCCCAGAAGACTATTGCATGGGTCCGTAGCGAGGTGACCTCAGTGCCTCCTTGATGACAGTGGTCAACAGAGATGTTGGGAGGTGAAAACAACAGGCCTTCGTGTTGAGTAGGGTAGGGAGGATTGAGAGAGGGAGAGAGAGAGAGAGACGATGGCTCCTGGGGTTCTAACTTGCAGAGCTGTGAGGGTCGTGGCAGCTGTCACTCTAAACTCCAGGAAAAAGAGAAGACACCCAGGTTTGAGGTGGGCAAAGATACAAGGGAGGGAGCCCCATTTAAAAAGTGTTGAATTTGAGAATCTTTCAACACACCCAAAAGAAATGTTTGCTGTGTAGTTGTGCAGTTCTGCAGCTCCTGGGTGGGAGTGGGGCTGGAAACACCATCTTCTGTGAGTCTTCTGTGTACAGAATGTCACTATAAGCATGGACGTGGATGAAGTCCCCAAGGAGGGGATCAGGTACAAGGAAAATGGGCTTGATGAAGCCAGGAGGAGGGTGTAGTCTAAGGTTGGGAGAAGAATGGCCCAGAAGTGGAGACTGAGAAGCAATGCAGGAAGCAGGAGCTGCTTGCTTGATGGAGGCCTAGGGAAGAAGGAGGTGCTTAACACTGGGGACCATGTTGGGTTGCGCTCAGAGCAAACAGTGGACTGAGCACCAAGAAGGCCATGAGTGACTTTGTCCTAGCGGCTGCAGTGAAGTCATGGGGATGTCTGGAAGCCAAAGTAGGTGGTGGGGAGCCATTGAGAGGGGAGGAAATAGAGGTATCATGGGCAGTCTGGCAAAAAAGAGGAGAAAGAGTGTATCAAGTGTAGGAAAATATGGTCGAACCCACAGGAAGAAAGCAAGGAAGGATTTGCTGCCTTTTAACAGACAAGGAAAGCAAGGTTCAGGGAAGTTAGGTCTCCCTCCCAGCCAGTGTGTGGGAGAGGTTAAACTTGAACCCATGTCTGTTCAGGGCAACACAAAGAAAATCTCAGTTCAGAAGCTTCTGGTAGCTCAGGGGTGTATGCAGCCAGCCCCTGACTCTGGAATTCGAGGTGTCACGGACCCTGCTTGTCCTCCACATATTCTCTCTCAGCTTGGTCACCCAGGCCACACTACAGCACTCTGACTTCCTCATCTTCTCTTCTTACAGCTCTTCATCATTTTGGCCTTGTCCTTCCTCCAAAGACGAGCGCATCGTAGACAGAGAGATGACACCTCTCACCTCCTGTGGAACCCCTTTGGAATCATCATGTGAGTTGAGACAGGGTCAGTCCCTACAGCTTGGGCTATCTGTGGTTGGGGCCAATACCAGTACAAGGCCAGATAGCTCTTAGGACCCCACTGCTGCTCCCTCTCCCTCACTATGTACAGCCCTGCCCATCCCTCCCCACCCCAAACAAAGCTCTGAAAGGTCAGAGTCACCTTCAAAGCCACAGCAATTCTCAGAAATATGGTCTGCCCAGATATGCATGGAACCACTCAAGGAGACTCAGACCCCTCTGCAAAGAGTCTTCCTACAGTCAGAACTGTGGCCACCCCAGGAAACCAGAGGAGAGAGCTCCGTGTGACTGGAGCCAGTGAGTCTTCTCACTGGCGTGGCGCCACCAGTCATACATCAGATTCCACTGGGCAGGGGCTTCCAGACCCTTCCTGGTTCTGCCATTCTGAATCTCTGCACCCCTCATCTCATTTTCCCTTGAGTTCTGATTATTCTGCCTCATTACCCCCCACCATTGTCATCATGCAGTCAACATTTTTTGCACACTGTCCATGAGCAATTTAACTTGCTTGCATTAGTTTCATAAACCCTCTTGTGAATATAGCATGGTGAAGGTTGTTATCCTCATACCATAAATGAGAAAAACTCAGACCTGATCAGAGAGGTTAAATGACTTGCCCAAGATCATGAAGCGATCAGGTGACAAAATCTTTAACCCACACTGGTTTGATATTCTCTCTGATTCCCCAGTGTCAGAATGTGAACAGGTCCAAGCTGTGGACATTCTGAGACCTCAGCCTTGGGCTCTCAGAAGGGAAAGGAAGCCAGACTGAGCTGAGAGGCACATGAGAGAGGTCCAACTACAGTATCCAAGGACACTGAATGCCAGCTCTGAGTAGCAGCTGGACTCATTCCGACTGTCCCACTGGGACATTTGGCCCCTCCCACACTGCCAGGTCTAAGCCACATTGGTAAAGGCATGTGGCACAAAGGGACTGGAGCAGGACTTGATAAGAAGTAGAGTGCCTTAGCAATTACGTTAAACTTCCCTGAATTAAATTTATCATGGCACATTTGACTTGTTTCTGGCCACTTCTGTTTCAAAGCTCCTTCTCCTAGTAATTTTGGCCCTGTAAACTTCACTGAACAATCAATTTTTATGTGCATGGCACTCCACAGCTTATAAAGCAGTTTCTCATTTGCTGTCCACAACAACTGTGATGAACAGAGTAGAAGGTTCCATCTGTTTTAAAGATGGTGAACTGAGTCTCACATAGGCCCTAAGTACTGTAAGTAGGGTCTTGACTGGAATTCAATTTAATTCACCAAAATGCATGTCTTCAAACTTGCACCTGGCACCAGCTCTGTCCAAGGTCCTGTGCTAGGTCTGCTCCAGGGGAGTTTACTGTTTCCTAAGTGTGTGGTGACACAGAGGGGGATATTCTGAAAAAAGACATGAACTTGGTTCTGAGGGGCGCAGGTGAGGCAGACTGACTGGGGTGGACAAACAGGATGGCTTCTTAGAAGATGTGCTCCTTAAGCTGAGCCTTACAGAGAAAGACGGGGAAGGCAAGTGTGACTTCCTGCCTGCAGCAACCTGCTGGCCTTCAAGCTCTCATTAATGCCCAGTACACGTGGGCCATTTGGCTGGAAAGCCTATTCCAAAATGCAGCTGCTCACTGATGGAGACAAAAGTGTTCTGGTTAGGAGAAATCTTGTTCACAGGGAAGAAAAAAACCCCAAATTTTAAATAAAATTCCAGAGACTTCCCAAGATCCAAGATAGGTCTCACCAGAACTGGATTTCTAGGGATGGGACTCTATAGGACATTAACTGTTTCTGTCCATCTGTGTCACTGGAGCCCTGTGGGTAATATTCTACCAGGTTTCTTTCTGTCTTCTGGCTTAGGATCTCTGCTTTCCTATGACCTTGACTTTCCTCTAGCATTCACTCTGATCCCGACTTGGTGTGACTTTCCAAGCAAGGACTGTAACAGCTGACTGACTCATAGCTTTAGGTCACAAATTCAAAATGGTGGCTCACGCCTGTAATCATAGCTACTTGGGAGGCTGAGATAGGGAGGATTGCAGTTCAAGACCAGGCTATACAAATAGTTCACGAGACTCCATCTTCAAAATAGCCAGAGCAGAATGGACTGTAGGTGTGGCTCAAGTGGTAGAGTACCTGCTTTGCAACCACAAAGTCCTGAGTTCAAACCCCAGTTCCACCACAGGGAAAAAAAAAAAAGACCAGACATCTGACTGGCCCATTCAAATTCCAGTGGTCACCTATAGCTCTCGGCTGTGGCCAAGAAGATATGTGCATACAGGGGAGGCAATGATTTACCTCTTGATCTGGAGGCTTGGCTCACATGTTAGAGAACCTGCTTAAGCATGAGGCCCTGAGTTCAAACCCAAGGACTACCAAAAAAAAATTACCTCTTAAGGTTTTCCAGTTGGGTCTTAGAATTAGATTTATATAGACAGATCTACAGGAGAAAAGCATACAAAGTGACTTAATGTAAGTTTTACACGACAGAGCTGGGATGTAGTTCAGTAGTAGAATGCTTGCCTAGCATGCATGAGGCTCTGGGTTCAATTCCCAGCACCAAGAAAGAAAAGGCAATAAATAAATAATAAAGTTTTACTTGACACAAGAGCACTCAAAAGGAAATGAAGATGTAAAGATAAAGTTAAGCATGTATATACTGAATTGGACAAAAAAGTAATACACTGTGAAAAAGTCATTAAATGACACAGAGGAGCTAAAAGATAAGAACTATTTTCATAACATCTGTTCAGAATTCTCTCAGTCTCAACTTCCCATCCTTAATGATAAAAAAGTTATTGTCCTCCTCTAGAGGGGGGCATCTTTTACATGAGAATTTCTTGTTTTTAAGAAGCAGCACAAAGGTTAGAATCTTGTACCTGTTGTTTTTGAGTGTCTTTAACTCAAAATAGTCCATATACCACAGTGGGCATATTTGGCGTGGCATAGTCTTAACTCCTTAGTCACATGGTAGCAGCATAACCAGTGGTACCCAGACCTTCATTAGGGCTATTGGAAGGAAGAAATCTTGCAGGATGTGTGTGGGTACAGGGCAGGCTCCCCTGCACCTGGGTAGGACACCTACTTGTTTTGCTCTGTCAATTCATACTGTTTGTGTCTTATAAACATACTTGTTCTATTTTGCTTTGAGTCATGATTACTAGTGCCCTTGCTATATCCCCCATGAGACTTGGAGCAACTCTAGGAAAAGAATTTTGTCTTTCTCACTTCAGCACCCTAAATCATGCCTAGTTTCTGACCCAGCACAGGGATCTTCAGAAAATTTCAGTTGCGATGAATAGTTCGCTGTCTCACAATTCCTCCTCTAGGTGGGATGGGCTACTTTGGAAATGATCTGTAGGAATGTCATCTTCTGGACTCACAGCCGTTTCTGTTGTCTACAGGCCTCTGGACTTCGTGGGGACTTTCAGCAACCGATGGTCCTATGGAGTCGCCTTTGGGGCCACAGCCAACAAGGTCATGTTCTTGTTCTCAGAAGGCTACCAGCCCCTGCAGGTCCCACAGTGGGCACAAGGTATAGGGCTACGTCATACTCTCTGGGAATGTCACTATGGAAATTCTTTTTTTTTCTTTTATTCATATGTGCATACAATGTTTGGGTCATTTCTCCCCCCTTCCCCCCGCCCCCTCCCTTACCTACCCCATCCCCTCCTTCTCCCCCCACCCCCTCGCTACCAGGCAGAAACTATTTTGCCCTTATCTCTAATTTTGTTGAAGAGAGAGTATAAGCAATAATAGGAAGGACCAAGGGTTTTTGCTTTCCTGTATATGTGTGTTACCCTCTAAATTAATTCTTCTCAAACTAACCTTTTCTTTAGTTCCTGGTCCCCTTCTCCGATTGGCCTCAGTTGCTTTAAAGTATCTGCTTTAGTTTCTCTGCGTTGAGGGCAACAAATGCTAGCTAATTTTTTAGGTGTCTTACTTATCCTCATATCTCCCTTGTGTGCTCTCGCTTTTATCATGTGATCAAAGTCCAACCCCATTGTTGTGTTTGCCCTTGATCTAATGTCCATATATGAGGGAGAACATACGATTTTTGGTCTTTTGGGCCAGGCTAACCTCGTTCAGAATGATGTTCTCCAGTTCCATCCATTTACTTGTGAATGGTAAGATTTCATTCTTTTTCATGGCTGCATAAAATTACCATGGAAATTCTTGCTCTCAGAAACCACAGGGGCTCTCTAGTCTCAGGGGGTAAGCTTTTGACTGCTGCATTCTTCCTAGTGTGTTATTTGCCCAAGGTCAATGCCTAGCCCACAGAACCTCAAGGATTTTTTTATGGAACTTTTCCTCAGTTAGATGCAAAAGTCCTTTAAGCATGATGTAACAAAAGTGCATAAAGTAGGTTCTTCCTCACCTACTGACATCATCACCACCCCCCTTTTGCTCTCCTGAGTCACAGCCATGGTGCCTCCTTGATGTCACCTCATGCTCTACCTGAAGGAGCAACTCTAATCCACAGGTTCAGTGACCTCTTATACAAAATCTCTCTGTCCTCTCATGGGCTGTATGAGCTAGGGTTCTCAAGCCTATATGATCAAATGCCTATCAATGACTCATTCACTTTTTTTTCTGTTTTGTTTTTCAGAGCTAGGGATCAAGCTGAAGCTTTACTTGTGCCATAGTAGACAAGCACTCTACTAATTGAGCTACATCCCCAATCCTTGGATTTTTGAGACAGGGTTCCACTATGTAGCTCAGGTCAGCTTTAAATTCACTTTGTAGCTCAGGCTGGCCTTGAATTTGCCATCCTCCTGCTTTGGTCTCCTGCATTTGAGATTACTGAGATTACATGTGTCTACCACCACACCCAGCTCATCAGTCTTTAGGGAAATGGAAATTAAAACCAAAATGGCAACATAGCACTACACACCTCTCAGAAGTATACAATTTGAGAACTTCCGACAAATGTTTGTAGTCATGAAACCATTGCCATAACCAAGATAATGAATCCCGGAAATTTCATAATTCCCCTTTGTGATTGCCTGTCACTGCCCCATCTCCATCCAACCAATGACCTGGTGAGTTTGTATTTTCCAAGACTTCATATAAAACAGAATCATATACAATATCCTCCCTTTTTTGCGCTGGGGGGGCGGGTTCTGGCTTCTTTCACTCAGCATAATTTCTTTCTTTTGAGCAACATCATACAATATTTTTCCTTTCATGTCTGGCATCTTTCACTCACTGTAATGTTTTCAAGAGACATTCATGTAGCATGAATCAGAATTTCATTGTTTTTGTGCTGAATGATACTCCATTGTATGTACACACCGCATTTTGTTAATCCATTCATCTGTTGATAGCACTTGAGTCATTTTTATCTTTTGATTATTGTAAATAATGTTACAATGAACATTGGGGTACAAGTATCTGAGTCCCTGCTTTAAATTCTTTTGGCTATATACGCAGGAGTGGGATTGCTGGTTCACTTGCTGGCTCACAGTTATGACAAGCTTGCTGAGGAGCTACATGCTGTTTTCCACAGTGGCTGCATCTCTTCTGTATTGCCACCAGCAATGTGAGAGGTTCCAGTTTCTTCATATCCTAGCCAACATTTGTTATTTTTTAAAAATTTATAGCCATCATAGTAGTGAAGTGTTATTTTGTTGTTCTGACTCTTGTTTTTCTAACAAGTAATGATGCTGAGTGTCTTTACGTGTTCTTATTGGCCATTTGTGTGTCCTCTTTGGAGCAATGTCTATTAAGTCCTTTGCCCATGTTTTAACTGTTGTTGAGTTGTAGGAGTTCTTTATATATTCTGGATATTAAACCATTTTAAAGTATGTGATCCACAAATGTTTTCTCTTAAATGCTGTAGGTTTCCTTTCCACTTTCTTGATAATATCTTTTAATACATAAAAGTTTTACATTTTCATGAAGTCCATATTTTGCTCATGCTTTTGGTGTCCTGAGGTTTTCCAATTTGACTGATGAAAACAGGCATTATTCCAAGCCCCGTGTGAGTTTCAAGCTTCACTCCCCGATGTTTTCAGGTGGGTCTTTCCCTGGCCTTGCATGGTTTCTTCCCACAACTGTGCTGGTAGGTACTCAGCTGGAGACAAGGGAGCCCCCTGTCTCCTGGTGTTCTCTCCCTGCACAGCTCCCACTTCTCCAGTGCTCTCTCCTGCAAATTCTGTCTTTCCCAGACTCCACTTACATCTCCTCAACTCAACTTGGGGAGCCTGTGGGGCTCTGCCTGCATTTCCCTTTGCTCACTTCACCCTTTGGGAGGGTGGGAAATTGTAGGGCTCACCCCATTTGTTTCCTGTTCTTCAGTGATCCTTGTTCTGTCTTGAAAACAGTCATTTTGTAATATTTTTTCAGTTCACTTATTTCATATTGAAGTGTGATCTCAGTGTGTTCTTTTTTCTTTTTAAAATATAATTAATATTTATTTAACATCTTTATTAGCATATATGAATTGTACAAAGGGATTTCATCTTGTATTGCATATATGCATTAATGTACTTTGAGATTTTTCTTTATCATTTTCAGTGGCTCTTTATATATTCAGAATATTAATTCTGTTTGTTTTACTTTAGTGTGCATTTTTTAAATGATCTTTTTCTTTTATTTCTATTTTTTCTGAGTTCTCTGACCTGTCTTATCAACTCTTTCTTTCTTTAATCACCATCTTTAAAATTTTTTTTGAATTCTGGTTTGTAGATACTTTCATTCCTAAAGTCAATTATTCTCTTAATTATTTTTCTTTATGTTGAAATATTAAGTTACAGTTTTTATTTGTCATATGGGCATCTTACTAGAATGGTTTTAATATCTGTATTTTTTCTGCTCCTTACACCCTGTTTTTCTTATAGTAACTTCTGGACGGTCATACTTCCCTTAGCTCATTTTTAAGTAAAATGAGTTTCTTATGGATTTAAGAGGGAACATTGGAACAGAACATTATTTCTTGCTTCATGGCTCTAGAGTTCCCCTTCTACTTTCATAATTTAATCATTATTTTTAAAAATTTTATTGTTTTTACATTTGCTCATATGTGTATACATTGTTTGGGCCACTTCTCCCCTCCCCTCACCCCCATTTCTGGGAAGAACCTGTTCTGCTCCCTTGTTCTCCAATTTTGTCGAAGAGAAAACATAAGAGATAATAAGAAAGACACAGCTTTTTTGCTAGTCTGGGATAAAGATAGTTATACAGAGAGATTCCTAGCATTGCTTCCAGGCACTTGTGTGTTACAACCCACATTGGTTCATCTCTACCAGACCTCTTCCTACTTCCTGGTCCCCTTCCCATAATGGCCTCTGCCAATTTAAGATTATTTGCTCCTCAACAGGGAGCACATCAACCACATTCAAGTTTTAGGTTTCCTTTCCTTACCCTATTTCTCCTGTGTGTATTCTCTGTTTAGTGTGTGACCCAGGTCCAATAATATTACTGCATTTGTTTTAGGTCTATAATCCAGATATGAGAGAGAACATGCAATTTTGGCCTTCTGAGCCTGGCTAACTTTGCTTAAGATGATGTTCTCCAATTCCATCCATTTACTTTCGAATGATAAGATTTCATTCTTCTTCATGGCTGCATAAAATTCCATTGTGTATAAATACCACATTTTCTTAATCCATTCATCAGTAGTGGGGCATCTTGGCTGTTTCCATAACTTGGCTATCATGAATAGTGCTGCAATAAACATGGGTGTGCAGGTGCCTCTAGAGTAACCTGAGTCGCATTCCTTCGGGTATATCCCTAGGAGTGGGATTGCTGGATCATATGGCAGGTCTATGTTTAGTTTTTTAAGAAGCTCCATATTGTTTTCCAGAGTGGTTGTACTAGCTTACCTTCCCACCAGCAGTGTATGAAGGTTCCCTTTCCCCCGCATCCTCACCATTTGTTGTTGGTGTTTTTGATGATGGCCATTCAAACAGGGGTGAGGTGGAATCTTAGTGTGGTTTTGATTTGCATTTCCTTTATGGCCAGGGATGATGAGCAGTTTTTCATGTGTTTTTTGGCCATTTGGATAAACTGTTTAGTTCAGTTGCCCATTTCTTTACAGATTTATTGATTTTGGAGGAGTTTGGTTTTTTAAGCTCCCTGTATATTCTAGTTATCAGTCCTTTGTCTGATGTATAGCTAGCAAATATTTTCTCCCACTCTGTGAGTGGTCTCTTCAATTTAGAGGCCATTTCTTTTGTTGTGCGGAAGCTTTTTAATTTCATGTAGTGCCATTTGTCCATCCTTTCTCTTAGTTGCTGGGCTGCTGGGGTTCTACTGAGGAAGTCCTTGCCTATACCTATTGCTTCCAGAGTGTTTCCTGCTCTTTCCTGTACTAACTGCAAGGTTTGGGGTCTGATATTAAGGTCCTTAATCCACTTTGAGTCGATAATAGTACAGGGTGATAGGTGCAGGCAGATAACCACTTTTCCCACATTTGTTGAAGGCTGTCTTTTCTCCATTGTATGTTTTTGGCAACTGTGTCAAAAATTAGGTGGGAGTAGCTGTGTGGATTCGTATCTGGGTCCTCTGTTCCGTTCCATTGGTCTTCATATCTGTTTTTATACCAGTACCATGCTGTTTTTATTGCTATGACTATAGTATAATTTGAAGTCAAGTGTTGTGATACCTCCAGCATTGTTCTTTTTGCTCAGTATTGCCTTGGCTATTCACAGTCTTCTGTATTTCTAAATGAACTTTAGGGTAGATTTTTCAATCTCTGTGATGAATGCCATTGGGATTTTGATGGGAATTGCGTTGAACATGTAGATTAATTTTGGTAGTATAACCACTTTTACGATGTTGATTCTGCCAATCCATAAGCATAGGAGATCTTTCTACCTTATACAGTCTTCTTCTATCTTTTTCTTCAATGGTTTGTAGTTCTCCTTATAGAGGTCATTTTCACCCATTGTTATGTTTGTTCCTAGGTATTTGATTTTTTTGAGGCTATTGTAAATGTAATTGTTTTCTTATTTCTTTCTCAATTTGTTCATTGTTGGTGTATAAAAAGGCTACTATTTTTGTAAGTTGATTTTGTATCCTGCTACATTGCTGAAGCTGATTATGGTGTCTAGGAGTTTTTTGGGTGGAGTTTTTTGGGTCTTTGAGGTTCACAATGTAATTATATCCATATCTACACCTATATTTGTAGATCTATCTTCATCATCGTCTACTGCTACACAATCTATATATCATTACCTGTCATCTACCTATCCTCCTCACCACTGTCTATCATCTATCTATCACCCATCTCTCTGTTACCTATTATCTATATATGCATTCATCTATCACTTATCTATTTACCTACCTACCATCTGCTTAGATAGCTCTTCATATTTTCTGAGTTTGCTTCTTTTTCTCTCTCCCCTTTGGACCCGCTATTTTCTACCTCCTTCTCATTTTGTACTCTACTACTAGAAACTTACAGTCAGTGAGAGACTCAGATAACTCCAACCTCCTTAAGTCTTTTTAAGGAGGCTGGTGCTTTCTAAGGTGCACTCACCAATGAATTGTAGCCTGTAGCACCTCATCTAGTTTCAGCTTCAATTTCTAGTTAGTATCTGCTTGAATTTTGGGTTTCTTCAGTTCTTGGGCCTTCAGACACACACTTGCCTTTCTTCTGCTTTTCTTACTGCTGATTTCAAATAGGTCTTGTCACAAGATTTATTTTAGATGTTGTCTAGGGTCCTTGGTTTTGTACCCGAGTTACTCGGCCTGTTTTTGTGGGGGGATTCAGGGAAATGAAGTCCTATGATGCTGCAGCTACTGCCCATACTTCAAATTTGTTCTTTCCTGTCCTCCGGCCCTCCCACTTGCCCAAATACTGACTTACCATGACCAATCATCTCCTACCCTTCACGTCCCTTCCTGCCCTTCTTACTTCTCCCCATCTCACAAATTCCTATGTTATACCTCCTTGCTAAATATCAGTACCTCCAAGAAGTCTTCCCCATTTCCCCATGCCCCATGGAAGGTCACTAGCTTAATCTTCTGTGTCCCCAGGGCAGGATGAATGTGCCTCTGTTGCAGTTCATTTCATATCACTGACTTTCCATCCTGACTTCCCTGTTGGACTGTCAGCATCTCAAAGCAAGGACCCTGTCTACTACTCCTGTGCCTGGTGCCTGGCCCAAGAGCCAGCTCAAAGCAGACACTTAGCAACGGCCATCTTACATGATTAGGTCTTCGCAGAATGCTGCCAGGCCATCTCAGAGTTAGCAGTGGGACCGATATGACTATTGCCTTACAGAGCGAGCTCACTTCAGTGTACACAACACGTCCCTCTCTCTGTGTTGTTGTGGTGCACTTGGGCACTTTGCTGTTGGTGATTTTTGTTTGCTCATTAATATGGTCTGGCTCTACCTGTCATGCTGTGAGCTAATCATGCATGGGGATTGAATTTTCATCTCCATAGTAAGCCCCTTGCCTGGTATGGAATAGGGACCAAGAGGGGTCCATGGCAAGAATGAAGGAAAGATGTTGCTGCGTGCCCTTTGACTTACCCTGGAGCTTTTCCACTCATCTCATTGGGCCGTGAGGTCCCTGACTCAAGGTCAGCATGAAGTAGCACAGCTTCCCAGGGTCTCCGCTGAGCCAGGCGGGAAGAGGAACTTACCGCACTCCGGCCCTGTCTTCCCAGCTTTTCTGCTTCTCATCGGAGGCTTCGAAGTCGGCCTGTCACACTTCCCCTTCTTTGCCTGCCTCTCCTCAGAGTTCCAGCTGGTCAGCTCCATCCTGGGCTTTAGCTACTCTCTGATCTGGTAAGATGTCTTAGCCTCCTCCCTTCTCCTGACTCTTGACCCTGGCTGAACCCTAGGCAGAGGGCTGGGGATGATAAGAGCTCCCTATAGGGAGGCCCAGATCTGAGGCCCTGGGTGGGCAGGAGTGACTTGTCCAAGGCTGCATTGTGACCATTTCTTGGCCTGCATTTGAGGCTCCCAAGGTCAAGCCAGCATTCTGTTTGCCTCACACAGACAGCTAGCTCATGATTAGAATATTCCTAGGAGCCAGACATTTAGGAAAGACTCACTTCTGTGAACTGCTGAAGGGCCCCTGGGGGGAGCAGGAGCCCCATTTGATGTCCTCCACCCTGTCATGACTTCTCTCAGGATCCTCAGAGAAAGTTCTCATGCCTTCACTTGGCATTAAGATCCATCTCAACCTGGCCTCTTCCTCTTTCTTCAGCCCCAAACTGTGGCTAGCGTTCACCTCCATATAGAGACTCCTGCATTCCTCCATCTATCCACTCATTACTCAACAACTGTTCTTTATGTCCCCACCATGAGCCAGGGAATACACTGGAAACAAGAGGAGCCTGCGTGCTGGCCTCTTGGCCAACATGTTTCCACTTCCTTTGTGGGCCATCTTCTCTCCACCCGGCCTGGTGATAGGTATATATATATATATATATATATATATATATATATATATAGTCCTGCTCCATGGACAAAGGCTGCTAAGTCCTTCTGCTCCACCACTGGACTCTGAGTTTGTGTCCTACATCAAGACACATTGAACTTAGTGCTCACCTACTTTGGAATAAGCAGGGTGCCCAATCAAAGAGTAACATACAAGGAGACTGGGAACCGGCACTCCCAGGGGTGCAGGGAAGGGGTCAAGCTGGGCAGGGGGGTTTGGGTTGTGTTACAGGGGCTGTGCGTGGAGTTGTGTTGGGAGGGATACCAGTGCCCCAAACCCTGCTTCTGTTCCTATAGGTTTTCTGTCACCATTCTTCAAATCTCACAGTGTCCCCATGGGCAGGTAAGTCCCGTTAACCTGTATTTAGGGATTTTGGCCACATCACCCTGGACAAGCCCCTGTCAGTCTTGGGCCTCAGCTTTTCAAGCATATAAAATGGGAGTTAGAGCTGCTCACAATGCATCCCTTTGTGTACATCATGACACCTATTCACAGACAGGTGTTGTCTCATATGGTCCTCACAGAAGCCCTTCCAGGTGGGGAAGTTCAGCAAACCTATTTTATAGGCGAGAAAACTGAGGCCCAAGTATACTAAGTAACTCATTGAAAGCAGCAGAGTTGGGAGTTGAGGCCAGGTCTGGGTGTCTATGAAGCTCATTTCTTTCTATAACATGGGAAAATTAGATTAAATGAACTCCTTGGCCATGTATTATCTTTCTCGGAAGCCAGTTCATCTGTATAGAACTCTATAGAACTCTATCCAGTTCGATAGCGCTGGATCCAGGAAAAGGAGCAAGATGAAAGAGGTACAGTGGTGTCCCACTGCACCTAGAAGGGCTTTCTGGCTCCAACCAGGGGAACTCAAGGAGGCTACCTGGGTGTAAAGACCCCCTGAGCCTTGTCAACCCTTTTTAGTGCTTAGTAACAGTGGAGGATTAAAGGGATGTGATGAAGGGAGGTCTGGTGGAGCCCTACTGGAAATCAAGGTGAGGAGGCGGGGCCATCCCTCCACATCTCTGCACTGGAGTTGAGATCATGGCAGACCTTGGCCTAAGACGATGCCTCTTTGCCACTGATACCAGGGCCTGAGATTCTAATCGCAGCATTTTCTTCAGCACCATGGAGATTTCTCAGTCTCCCAGAAGTGCTCACTAGAGCCTGCACACCTTGCTTGCTTCTATTGCAGTTTTTGGGGAGGTACGAGACCCTTGTGTTCTACTGGCCCTCGCTGCTCTGCCTGGCTTTCCTGCTGGGCCGCTTCCTGCAAATGTTTGTCAAGGCTCTAAGGGGCCATGTGGGTTTGGAGCCCCAGACGGTGAGTACTAAGCATCATATTTCCTCAAGGGTTGGAGCCTCACAACAGCCCTAGGAAGTCAGCTCTCTTATTACTTCCTGTTCTGTATTAAAAACTCAGACTCAAGAGAGCTGAGTTGAATTTCCTACAGTCACCCAGTCCATTTGTAGAAGAGTCAAAATTGGAACCCAGTCAGTCAGATTTTGGAGTCTCTCTTTTAACACTGTCATACACAGCCTCTGGCTTGTGGCAAATGACTTTAGCACAGAGGTTACACCGGGGTCAGGACAGGTCCTTTTCTTTACCCACACTGCTTGCTGTTAAATCAGAATTTGGGGTTTCCAGTGATACATGGGGCTCAGTTGCCACACGTTTGGTCTCTACATTTCCTGTGTTTGAGAAAGTTGTGTGTGGTTTGTTTGCTTGACTTTGAATTTTTCGTTGGTTATCTTTTGGAAGTGAGTATGTGACAATCAGGACAAGCTGTAGTAACAAGCCTCTGAATTTCAGTGGCTTAAAACAATGAGTTCATTTCTCACTGTTGCTCATGTCGATCAAGAATGTGCCGGGGACTTTCTCATGTTATCATGTGCACCTGTCCTCACCTAGTGACTGAGGCACATGGAACAGCCACCACTGGGGACAGTACTGACTGACACGGAACAGGGAAAGACAATATGGTGACACTCACACACTGGCTTTTATAGCCTGCATCATGATGCCACTTACGTGGATGCTCTTTTAGGACAGAGCCATCATTTGGCCAGACACACCTGTAAGTGGGTGGAAAGATACAGCCCTATTATGTGCTGGGTCTTGAAAGAGGGAAGAATTGGAATGTTTCTGAATAGCTTCGAGGCTTGAAATCAGAATGATGTGTTATGCAGCTGCTTAAAAACAAAACAAAACAAAAATAACATTAAGATAGCTACCTTATTACACTAGCTTCAAAACTTTTCAGATTTGATTTGAATATGGAAATTAGGCCTTCCTATATTTCCCTCAAATCTAATTGAAAGTGAAATTTTGCAAGGTGCTTCTTGCAAAATGTAAAAGTTTATCTACATGTTATACTTTTTTCTCTATGGAAAAGGGCCATTTTGGATGCCTTTCGGTAAGTACTAAAGAAAAGGACATTTCCTTTCCTTATGAAGATAATAGCCATCACTTCTTGGGTGCTAGTCCTAGGCACTATGCAAGTGCTTAAAGGGTAGTGCCATTTTTAATCCTCACAATAACCTTCTGGAAGATATTTTACTCCATTTCCTGACTAGGGTCCTGAGAAATAGAGCTGGAACTTGCCTGAAGCACACAAATAGTAGTGTTCAATCATCAGATCTTTTGAACTCTATCCAACACCCTGACTCTATAACCTCTCATCTCACAGCATGTCAAATCCACACATTTAATGTATGCAGAAAAATAGTGACTATTGTGAGAGGTTCTTTGTATTTGGAGAAAACATTTCAAAACTTACTGTTAATGTTTCTTTTTTTTAAATGCTGAAAAAAATAAGAGATGAGCAAAAGAAACTCCTCATTACCAACACTAAACTCTGGGATTTGGGGTGTGTCATTCTTGGTTCAATGACTTGAACTATGACAGAGAATGACCAAGTCTCTAAGGGAGAAAGTCTTCATAGAAAGTTGACTGGCACAGCAGGGAGCAGAACAGTGGAGGACACCCAAACCCCTGGCCTTTTGGGAAAGAAAGTGTCTGGTAAACAGGGAATGGGGCTCTCTTCCTCCCTCCAGAAAATGACAGGTAGCTGGGAATGGCTAAATCTCATACCCAAATCCCTGCCCTCTGTGGTAATGACTCCTCAGACAGCCCAAACCCTGATGAGAATTTGTATATTAAAGTGTTCCTGTCTCCTTCCTTGCAGGAAGAAAAGCCCGTGCTGGAAGCCCACCAGGCAGAGCACGTCAAACAGCTCCTGAGGAAGGTCCAAACACAGTAAGCTGCACTTCTGTCCTTTTGTTCCCAGGACAGGCCCTGGGATAAGTGGAAGGTCACTGTGAGAGTTGGGCTCCTGTTTGCCAATGACAGAAACCAACCCAAAGTGGACTAAAGCAAGAAAGGAAAACAGTGGCTCACCTTACTAAGAAGTCTAGAAGGAGTCAGTTTCAGGCCACTAAATCCAGGAGCTTAAGAGACATCTTCAGAATCAGGTCTCTCTCCCTCACTCTGTTGCAGCTCTGCTGTTAACTGTTTGAGCCTCACAGTTAGGTGGTTTTCCTCCACATGGTCCCTCTGTCTCTAAGGTGGTACTGTTCTGGTTTAAGCTCAGAAGAAAGAGAAATTTTCCTTCCTGGTTATTTTAATAAAAAAAAAAAATCTCAAGAATATGTTTCATCGGATCAAATTGGGTCACATGCCACCTGTAACCAATTATTGTGGTTAGCTGATTGCTGTACACTGATTGACTAAGCCTGGATCACATGTTTCCTGTCTCACCTCTGCTCTAGAGCCAGGAAGTAGACTCAGCATCACTTATCCAGTAGGACGCAGGGTGAAGGGTGGGTAGTTTCCCAAATTAAAACTGCTGCTACCAACAGAGGAAGACATTGTTGTCAAGTCAGTCAGGCAACAGCAGCATGAGAGCCTCAGAGATCATCCAAGTCAGCCCACCTCTGCCTCTGCCACGGGCACATTGAGCATAACCCAGAGAAGGGATGTGGCTTGTCCAAGGTCACTCAGTGGCAAAGCTAGTATTTTGGTTAGAATTACATTTGACTACATATATTGGCAAACTCAAAATAATACTAGCACAAACTGGAGAAAGATTTATTATTTTCTCGCAAAAGAACTCTAGAGGTGAGGAATCCATACTGACTGTAGACTGGCCACCTTGGCAGTTCACAGATGACCTGTCTTTCTAATTCTTGTTTGTGCTTTCGCTCTACAATGCTGCCTTATGGGTCTATATGGCTGCTGTGGCCCCAGCCTGGACCAGTTGCCATGTCTCCATTTCAGGAAGCAGGCAGAAGAAAAGAAGTCAGGGCAAATGGGGACCCCTAGCTGTGTTGGTTTCATCTAGGCAGCCTCCCCAAATCCCACATAGCACTTATAGTCACATCATGGTGGTCTGAACTTAGTCTGATCTCTTTGCTGTGAAGGAGTTTGGGATTTGACTTTTTTAGTTTGATGAATTGTTCCTCTTCCACCTTAAACCCAGTCTTTACTATTAAGGATAAGCGGAGATAAAAATGGTAGAAGCACCAGTGTGCTTGCTGTACACTAAACTCCAAGACAGTGAAAAGAAGATGGTGTTATTTCCAGAAGAATTGGACCTTTTTTTATTCATTCACAGAGAGAGAGAAAAATCTTGGTTCCAAACCCAGGTGTATGAGTGGGACCCCTGCTTCCAATTCCCAAGCAGAATGATTGGAACCATTGTGCTGGCTTTCATCTGCCTCTATCTCGTGAGTAGCTCTAAGAAACCCTTCTGTTTTTTATAAATGGAGAAGGGTGTGGCTGGAGCTTTAGAGTCTTTGAAGCAAGCAGTATGTTCCCAAAAATTTGGGTCAAAATTGAATCTTGGTATAAGCCAAAGAAGTCTAATGCTTCAACCATTAGACTTTCGATTCAACCATTTTGATTCTAAGGACACTTTTACACACATGGTGAATATTAGTAGAAAAATTAATCCGTACAAAACTAAACTGATAATGTTTAAGGCTTTATGTGGCAAAATTTATCATCGATGGAAGAAAAAGTAAATTTGAAAGCATTCGATATATAAAATTTTACTCAGGGAAGTTGGTAGAAATAATGATCCCTAAAGAAAACTTACAATCTCTACAGTCACTAAATTAGACCATGAAAAATCAAATCATTTTTATATAGGATAATTGATTCTGACAGAAATAATTTCTTTTTTTTTTTACATTAAAGTTTTTTTATTGTGTTGGGTGGGGATATATTGTGGCATTTACAGAAGTTCTTACAACATATCAAATATTTCTATGTTAAAGTTTTAAGTAAATGTCCTGACAGAAATAATTTAAATGAATTAAAAATAAAAGTAGATAAGCTAAAATTGGTTTATGATACTATATTCTAAAATATGGATCAGAATGAAAACATCTTAGTTTGCTTTCTCAACAAAAAAAATTAAATGTTGACATAATTTTGACTTCAATGTTTTATCAAGTATAGAATCAAAACATTTTGTTTGGTCACAGTTATCTGAGGTAAAATGGTTGAGTCAAAAGCAAAGTCAAAAATAGCAGGAATAAAAATGATAAAACCTAGTTGTCTTTGCTCATTTTCAGTGTACTAGGGTGATACCTATTTAAGTCAATCCTGTGATTAAATTTTTAAGTGAGTGTATTAGTGTATAAGCTATGCTGATGTACCCCACAACTCTCTAAATTTCAGTGACTTAACATTGTATTTTTCCACCCACACAACAGTGCCAAGGGGGTGTTCAGGTAAGGGAAACAGCTCTGCTCCATGCAGTCATTCAGGAATCCAATGTTCTTCCATTATGTGCCTTTCCCATTCCTGAGGACCTCATTGCCACCTGAATGCAGTCAACAGAAGGGAAGGGGTGTGGAGAAATGCTTGTGGGAGGTTTTCATGGACTAGGTGAAGAAATATCACGTGATCCTGCCACTCATTTTCCATTGGCAAGAACCTAGTCATGTGACCACACCTAACATAAAGGAGGCTAGGAAACATAGCCTAAGCTTTATACCCAAGAAGGAGAATGGATTTTTAAAGACAAATTGAGGTCTCTGCAATAGTGAGTAACCCACTTGGAGTTAGATCAGTTCTTAAGTATTTTATGAGCATTGACTGTATGTCAAACACTGCTAAATCTGAAGAAGGCAGAGAGCTAATTCAGCAGTTCTGGCTTGGGAGAAGCTACTGATCTAAGAGAAGGAAGTAAGACATTATATGAGGTACCTGCCATTCTGTGAGAGAAAGGGTAAGATTGAAAGTGCTCTGAAAGTTTGAAAAGCTGCCTGAAGATGACAGCATTTGAATTCAGCTTTCGGTGATAACAAGCTTTGGTTGGTGGAGGCAGCAGGAACTGTGGAAGCAATGGCGGATGATGAGCTGTTAGGATGGTGGCAAGCATGGCATTCGTACAGAAACACCATCACCAGTTTGGCTCCTACCAAGATTAGTGAAGGGGAGTAATGAGAGATGTGGCTGAAGTTGTCCCCAAGGTCACTTCCTTTCCTCACTCTGAGTCTATTAATGTTTAAAGAGTTCTTTGAGTCCCTTTGGATGAAGAACATAGTATAAGTTCTTTCAAGAATGCTAGTCATTTTCAGAAGAGTTTTAACTGCCTGGAAGAGCTTGGCCTTGAGACCAAAAAAAAGATCCATGCTAAGCCAGACCCAGGCAAGACCCCAAAATCATTGCTTTGTGTCCCCAGTTCATCATCATTGAGTTCTGCATGTACGTGTACGTGAGAGACAAGCTGGATGTGTTTGAAGGCAAGTTGGAAAGCTACCTCACCTATATGAACGAGACAGAGACTCTGACCCCAGTCATCCTACAAGTGAAAGAACTGATTACTGTCACCAAAGGTAAAAACATCTCCTACCAATGTTCCATCCACTTGTGTGGGAAACTAGTGGCAGGTGCACACGTGCTGCTAGTTTTGAAATTATCTGGCTGAGATGCCTGGTCCTAGATAAAAATATGTTAGAGTTGATTTGTACCTTTCTGGGTTGACCAGAAGGACAAAGGGGTCTGAACAAGAATCATTTTGTTTAAAACTACTGCTAAACATGCCTGGAGAATTTTCTCATCTTAAACAGCCTTTTTATTCCCCTGTCAGTAGGAAGAATTAAAATAATACTTTTTTCTCCTTGAAAAATAATTAATCACCAAGCCTTTACTTTCTTTAAGATGATATAAAAAGTTTATATCTTACCTGAAAGTCACTTTTAAAGCTATTAGAGTTCATGAACTTATTTCTCTTGTCTAACTGAAATTTTGCATCCTCTGACTGGCATCTCCCTGAGCCCTCCCCTCCACCATTGCCCATCCCTGGTAATCACCATTCTAATCTTCTTCTATGACTTCAATGTTTTTAGATTCCACAGGTGAGTTAATAAGTTTTCTGTCACTCTGCCAAATACCTGAGAAAATCAACTTACAGAAGGAAAGATTTATTTTGGTTCAGAGTTTCAGAAGTTTCATTCAGTCCATGGTCACTTGACCATTACTTCGGGCCTGAGGTGAGGCCAAACATCATGGTGGAGAGCGTATGGTGGAGCAAAGCTGCTCACCTTATGACAGTCAGAAGGCAGAGAGATAGAAGAAGGGTCCAGGGACAGGATATACTCTTCAAAGGCACGCCCCAATGACCTACTTTCTCCAACTAGGTTTCATCTCCTGATAATTCATTGAGCTATGATTGAACTGGATTAACCCATTATGAAATTAGTGCCCTCATGATCCAATCACTTCCCAAAAGCTCCACTTGTGAATTGGGGACCAAACCTTTAACACATTTCATATCCAGACCAGACATGTATTATCTTTCTGTACCACTTTCTTTCTTTATTATTTTTAAATTTTTAGAAATTTTAATACAGGGTCTAGCTATGTAGCTCAGATTGACCTTGAACTTGAGATCTTCCTGCCTCATGCTCCTGAGTACCATGATTAAAGGTGTGAGTCACCACACTCAGCTCTGTAGTTGGTTTATTTTACTTAGCACATGTCCTCCAGGTTCATCCATGTTGTTGCAAATGACAGAATTTTCTTCTCTTGATGGCTGATAGTATTCTATTATGTAAACATTCATTTTCTTTAGTCATTCATCAGCTGATGGACACTTAGGTTGTTTGCATTTCTTGACTGTTGTGAATAGTGCTGCAATGAACATGAGAGTACAGATGTCTCTTCAACATACTGATCTCATTTCCTTCAGCTATACATCCAGTAGTGGGACTGCTGGATCATACAGTAGTTCTATGTTTATTTTTTTAAAGGAACCTCATACTGTTTTCCATAAAGGCTGTACCAGGGTGCAAGGGTTCCCTTTTCTCCATATCTTGGCTGGCAGTTATCATTTGTCTTTTTGATAACATCTGTTCTAACTGGTGTGAGGTGATAAAACCAATATTAGCTTAATTTTCATCTCCCTGATTATCAGTGATTAACATTTTTTCCTATATCTGTTAGCCATTTGTGTGTCTCCCTTTGAAAAATGTCTCTTCAGGTCCTTTGCCCCTTTTTATGGGCAACAGGAAAGTCACCTCATCTTCTAAGGGAAGCTTTACTGGAAAATGATACCCTAATGATATGTCCATTGTCTGTGAAGGGAAAAGTTGTCCACTATCCCCAGATGAGAAGGGACCCTGAACAAAATATCAGGATAGACTTGCACTGTGTCACAGGACAATTAGGAACCCATCTCTTGGCCTTGGTTTTTTGATCTGTAAAATGGAGTTGGGGGTAGCAGGACTAAATGATTTCCAAAAGCTTTTATGGCTCTGAAGCATTAATTGTTCCTTAAGTCATTCAACAGATGTTGAAGGGAAATTTTTCCCTGAAGATTCATGAGCTGGGAGGTGTGTCAACACCACAGGGGACCAGCTTTGATACAAATTGTTCTCTTACATTATATGTGTCACAGAACCTTACTTTTTAAATGAACACTGAGACAGACATAGCTTCTTCCGTACCGCCATGCTTTACTGTGGCTCTTGAAAATTTCACTCATCTTTAGTGCAGATTTGTGTTCAGTATGATGAGCCCCTGAGCTTAACCTTCAGAGAGTAATGCTATTCTAATTTCAGTGACACCATTCTAAGTCCTATTTGTGAACCTCTCCACTTCTCTCCTTGTTCTGGGCTCTGTTTTGGGGGAGGGAGGGCGTACTGGGGTTTGAACCCAGGACTTTGCACTTGCTAGAGAGGTACTGTACCCTTTGAGCTATGCTCCCAGCCCTTTTTGCTATGGTTATTTTGGAGATAGGGTCTCTCTTTTTGTCCAGGCTGATCTATCTGGACTGCAGTCCTCCTATTTATGCTTCCCACAGTAGCTGGAATGACAAATGCATGCCACCAGCTTTTTGTATTGAAACAGGGTCTCGTGAACTTTGTGCTGGACAAAGATTCCCCTGATCTCAGCTTTCTGAATAGCTGGGATGACAGGTGTGCACCACTGTGTCAAGTTATTGGTTAAGATGGGGGTCTCCCAACTTTTTGCCTGGGCTGGCCTCAAACCACGATCCTCCTGATCTCCACCTCCTAAGAAGCAAGGATTATAAGCATAGCTATGAGCACCCAGCTCTGGGCTTGTTTCAAAGCGAACCTCAGTTTCTTGGTCTGGGTACACAATAATAGATACGTCACCATAGTATCCATGTTTTTAAACTATCACATGTATACATATTTCAAGAAGCAACATAATTTTTTCCCTGTATCCTGGTCACTTCCAGCTTTAAAATACTACCCTGTTGCCCCGAGAGGCTGTTAGCTAATACACCTTACCTTCATCTGGTGGGATGAAGCGTTTAAATTAAAGGTGTGAAGTCCCATTTGTGCTGATGGCTAGAGCAAGTCTGAACTCACTCTTCCTGTCGACAAGACTCCTCTTCCCTCCCTTCCAGAAACATCTTCTTCCCTTACATCCCCTAGGCTGGAACTTATGATGTTTGCCTTATTCTTTGAGTTGTTTAGATTTGGGTCATAGCAATTGTCTAGTCTCAGTGATCTGGGCACAGGGACACATTTGGAACTTGAAGGAAAAGGAAATCAGCTTTCATTTGCTTTTTTAAAAATAGCTTTGTGGAGATATGTCACATAGCATACAATTCATCAGCTTAAGTGCACAGCAGTAGTTTTTATTCTCCATGTTTGCAACCATCACTGTGGTGAAATTTAGGACATTTGCATCACCCCCAAAAGGAATCATGACCCGTTTGCTGTCCTACTCCCCATTCCCTCCAACCCTCTCTTGTCCTGGACATTCACTAATCTATTTTCTGTCTCCACAGATTTGCATATTCTGGACATATATAAATGGAATTATGCCATATGTCATCTTTTGTGACTGCCTTTTTTCATATAGTATAATGTTTACAGGGTTGACCCATGTCATAGCATGTATCTAGACTTTTAAAAATTATTTTTATACATTTTATTTTCTTTTTATTGTCTATTACTATTTCATTGTATGGATATACCACACTGTAGCTGTCCATTTGTTAGTTGATGGGCATCTGAGATGCTTTAGCATTTTGGTTATTGTGAGTAGTGCTACTATGAATATTCATGTACATGTTTTTCATATATCTTGGTTATATATCTAGGAGTGGAATTAATGGATCATGTGGTAATTCTGTATTTAACTTTTGGGGGAAATTACTAAAGTATTTTTTTAAAGTAACTATATCATTATATATTCCCACTATCAATGTGGGAATTCCAATTTATACACATCCTCAGTAACACTTGTTATTATCCATCTTTTTCTTGAGCCATCTAGTAGGTAGGAAGTAGAATCTCATTGTTTAATTTTTATTTCCCTCATGGTTACTGATGTTAAACATCCATATATGCACTTTCTGGCTGTTTGTGGACATTCTTCTGAGAAATATCTATTCAGATTTTTTAACCATTTTTACATTGGGTTCTTTGTCCATTTATCATTGTGCTATAAGCATTTTCATAGAGTCTATATACAAATCCTTTATAAAGTTTGTTAATGTTGGCTTCCATTCTGTGAAATGGAAGATGATAATGATAATCTTTCTTTATTTAGTTGTTTTTGCAGTGTTGAGAATCAAACTCAGAGCCTTGCAGATGCTAGGCGAGCACTCTACCACTGCACTACATTTCCAGCCTTTGATTTTTTTTTTCAGCCTTTGATTATTTAACACAGGGTCTTGCTATCTAGCTGAATCTGGCCTGCAGTTCACTGTTCAGCCCAGGCCAGACCTAAGCTAGGATCCTACTACCTCAGCCTCACCTCAGCTTCCAGAGTGCTGGGAATACAGGCATGTGTTACCATGTCAGCTAAATGTTTCTAATTTTGAAGCTAACATATCATTTTTTTCTTATATCACTTGTACTCTGGGTATTATGTCTAAGAAACCGTTGCCTAATCCAAAGTCACATAGCTTTAATCTCTTATTTGCATCTCAGACTTTTATAGTTTTAGCTCTTACATTTAGGCCTTTGATCCATTTTGAGTTCTACTTTGTATAGCAGGAGGTACTGCTCTAGCTTCGTTTCTTGTATGTGAATATCCAGTTGTTCCAACACCTTTTATTTAAAACCTAGTCTTTCTCCAATGAGTTGTCTCATCATCTGTGTTGATAATAGATTGACCATAACTATGAGAGCCAATTTTGCACTCTCAGTTCTGTTCCATTGATCCATTTCACTGTCTTCACACCCCATTACTGTGGCTTAGTAGTAAGTTGGAACTCAGGAACTGTGAGTCTTGCAATTTTATTCTTTTTTGGGGGGATTATATTGCCTAGTCTGAGTCCCTTCATTGTTTATATGAATTTTAGTATTAGCTTGTCAATTAATGCAAAGTGGCACTGGAGTATTGATAGAGATCGAGTTGAACCTATAGATCAATTTCAGGAGTATTGCCATGAATATACTATATGTGAACATGAGATGTCCTTTCATTAATTATGTCTTCTTTAATTTCTTTTAAAATTATTTGTACAAGTTGTGCATTCTTTTGCTAAGTTTATTCTTAAGTATTTTATGCTTTTTGATACTATTATAATTGTAATAGTTTTCTTCAGTGTCAAATTCATTATTTCTTTTTTATATATTGGTCTTGTAACCTGAAAATCTTGCTAAACTCATTTATTAATTCTAATAGTTTTTTTTGTGCATTCCCTGGGAATTCCTATATATAAGATGTTGTAATTTGTGAATGTAGATAATTTCGTTTCTTTTCAAAGTGGGTGCATTTTCTTTTCTTTTTTCTTATCTAATTGCACAGTTCAGAACCTCCAGTATACTGTTGACTGAATTGGTAAGAGCAGACATTGCTTTTTCTTGTTCTTTAGGTTGGAAAGAAGATTTCAATCATTAACCATTAAGTATAATATTTACTGTGGGCTTTTAGAGAGTCCCTTTATCAGGCTGAAGGAACTCCCTTCAGTTCCTAGCTCATCAAGTGTTTTTATCATAAGGAAATGTTGGATTTTGTCAGATATTTTTTCTGTACCTACTTAGAGTCCACTTCTACAGAAGATTTTAAACCAACAAGTCTCCTTCCCTTCCTGTTTTTACATCCTCCGTCACAGACACATAAAATCTCTCTGAAAGTAAATTAGATTCTAAACTTGCTGAAGGGTGGATGGGTGACTAGCCAAGACCTCTTGATCCTGGTTATGTTTGTACCTGATTGCTGTGTAACCAACAGCACTTCCCCCCAAAAAGTGGCAATTAGAAGTCAGCTATTAAGGGCTGGGTGTGGAGGCTCATTTCTCTAATCCCAGCTACTTGGGAGGATTATAGTTCAAGGCCAGCCAGGGCAAAAAGTTAGCAATAGCGAGACCCCATCTCAACAAAAAAGCTGGGCCGGGTACCTAGATCTTTTTTATACAGGAACTGCATTTTGAAAATACCATTTCAGGTTTAGTTTTTAAAGCCTCTTATAATATTTTTCACATTTCAGGAGTCTGGGTGGTGACCATTTTGCCTGCCTCCCTCACATGTGTGAGCTATCTGTTCCACATTTTGGCCTGTTACAGGTAAAGCAACTCTGGGAGTCATGTGTGTGACTTTTGCCCGAAATGCATATGGTAGACTTTTCCTGGAATTTCCTAGCAGTACTTGCAGTGCTCAATATTGGCAAGGAAGTGAATATGAGGTGCAGAGATAGCCACATATTTTGGGGAAGGAAAAAAGAAATTAAAAAACACATCTATTATTTGAACTTCTATGATTAAATAGCATTATACCTAGAATCCTCATCTGAATTTCAGCTGAGATGAATTTACTCCCAACTCTGAGGAGTAACTACTTTCATCTTCATCTTTACAGTTAGGAAAGCTGAGACTCAATGAAATTAAATAACATACCTAAGCAATCAATAGACAATCAAGTCCTTTTGACCCCCACAGACCCTGCTATTTCTTGTATATCTCTTTTAGGGGTCAGACCTGCTCTGATATTCAGGGCTACTAACTCTGGGCTCCCAGCAGATTAATCTGGCTCAAGGTGACATCAGTGGAAGTAGGGTCAAGAGGACAAGGAATATCAATGTCAAGAACAGCAGTGTAAGGAGAGGGGGTGGCCTTAAATATGTAGTGAGCATTGCATGCAGATGTGTTTTGGTACCTGTTGTTCCTTTCACTCTCTCTCAACCCTCTCCCCCCAGATATTCACTCACTCACTCACTCACTCACTCACTCACAGGAACACCAGGGCCAATTTTCAGTCCTCAAGAGCATACTGCCTTTGCTTCCTCCCCATCTGCCTGCCCAAAGGATGGGTTTGTTTTCAGATGGTACTCACAAGACTCTCCACTCACAAGACTCTCCTAGCATGAGAAGCCCGTCCTACCTCTACCAGTCCTACCTCACTTCCTCTCTCTCTGCTTTCTTTTCCCTGGACCCCACAGATGCCTGCACACTACTGCTCCCTCCTTTCCTGATGTGGACATGTGTCTTGTTTCTTCCTTCATCAGTCTGTCTGGTTGGGAGTTAATCAGTGAGGCACTTGAGCACAACCAAGGATAACCACTCTGCAGAGGAGACTGATGGATGAGGAGGAGGGTGGCTGAGAAGGAAGAAGGAGAAGGCATCTGGGGAGAGGAGGCCTGTATTCCTAGCCAGGCTGACCCTGCTCCCTACCTGTTACCCAGGAGTGATGATTCCTGCCCTTCCTTCTTATCAGGACTATGGGGCAGAGGATATTTGGGAAGAAAAAGCCCTCCAAACTGCAGGGCGCTAGCATTGCACCATTTTCGTTTCTCTCAGCATTATTCTAACATAAATACAGGCTTTAAAAAATATTAAAGAATATTTAGTGTAAAGTAAGTCTTCCTCCCAATTGAATCCCTAATTTGTTCCCTCAAACTACCTACTATTAACTGTTTTCTGTGTCCTTCCAGAAATTCCCTATGCACAATGAAACGTGTGTGTGTGTGTGTATGTGTGTGTGTTAGCACACTCAACTCCCGTGCTGCCAAACATAATGAAGGCCATGTGCAATTTGGAAACTTCTAGTAAAAAAGTAAAATAATTATATTCTAGCCCAATATGTCCTGAAGATTCTCATTTCAAAATGTAATGAATGTAAAAATTATTAATGAGAGATTGACATTCTTTATTTCATTCTAAGAATTTCTAATTTAGTGGTCATGAAAAATGTGAAGAGCCTGGAAAAATGCTGGAGATTGAATGCTGAGTAAATAAAGTGCCGCCTTGGCAGGACTGTGGACTAGGCACGTCCATGTCCACCTGACCTTCAGGGCCAAGGATTGGGCTAGGCCACGGGAAAGGAAGTGGTGATGTTGTGCAGGGGCGGTGGTGGGGCATTGTGAGGGCTTGCTACCCCTTTTTTTATTTCCCTTTATGTTTTTATAGGGTTAGGCTATCAACAAAATTGGTTTTCTGTTTTAACTGTTTTTAAGTCTTATTAACTAAATGATGCATGCTCATCATAGCTGAAGGAGAAAACATAGCAAGCAAAGTGAAGAAAATAAAAGCACATACAATCTCATCTCAGTCACCATTATAACTCAGTCAATATATATAATTTTTAAGATGTAGATTAACTTTTAGGATTCTGAAGGCAAATCAGAACTATACCAGGGGCTGTAGTCAACACAGCAGTGTCTCAGCTGCCTCTCACCAGCCTTTTGTTAGTGGCTTTCTCAGGCCTTTCTGTTTGTGTCTTTTGGGCTCTGATTGTGCAGAAAGAGCCATACTTATGAGTATGAATGTAACTTCATTTCCCACTTTTTTCTCCAGAAAGCACATGAAGAGGCTGTGGGCAGGAAACAAACAATTTCTCCCTGCAAAGTTCCATAACCCTTCTTCGTCAGAGAGTGTGGTAAGTCGTGGGCTCTGTTCTGAGACTAAGCCACGAACCTAATCTGCCTCTTTGGGTTGTGGCTGACCCTCAAGTGAGACAGGGGTGCTAGGCACAGGCTCGGAGGGAAGGAGGCGTTCCTCCTGCGCTGAGGCCCTTGTTTTCCTTTCAATCTCAGGTGGCCATTGCAAGGTACTCTGGCTGGCAAATAGCCTATATTCTGTGGGGTAAGTGCTGTCCCATGACTCACTCAACACAATACATGTTCCTTGGGCACCTGTGGGGCCCTGGCTGTGGGGAAGGGAGACAGAGGTGAGTGGAAGGCACTTGAGGGACCTGCAGGATGGCTGAGAAACACACACTCAGTGCAACAACCTCCACCTCTCCTGAACTGATGGGCTGCATGTGCTACTTGTAGTGGTGATCAAAGGACAAAGTGACTATCCACACCCAGCACAGGGCTCGGGCTTTCTAGGGGAGTTGGCATTTGAACCATACCTGGTGAGATGGCAGGAAGACAGGGAATGCCATGCCAGGCAGAAGGAACATTGTCGGCAAACTAGGGCCTCTGGTAGAGGAGGACATAAGGTGGACTGTGGAGAGGGGCAGGGGGGGTCATGGAGGGCCTGAGTGACCCTGCTCCCTCACTCCCCAGGCTACCTCATCATCCATGTGGTACAGAGCCTGTGTGGCATGACGATCATGTATAGCCTGGTGTTGCCCATCATCCACGGCCAGGGCCTCGAGATGCTCCAAGGGCTGGGCCTTGGGATGTAAGTGCTGAGCGGGCATCCTGTCCTTGCCAGGTCTTGGGAACCCACCCTTGGGTTAATGGGCCATAACAGCAACTCACAGGGAGAAGAACCTTGCAGTTTACCAAAGGCTTCCCCTCCTCCCATTACAGGGGACCGTCATAATTGTGTGTGTCCCACTTTCAGCTGGGAAAATCAAGTTTTAGGGAGGTCAAGTGACAGGTGGGACAACATAAAGGAGGAAGGCAGGGAATCCTGGCTAAACTTGTGGATCTGCTGTGTGATTGGGGGTAAATTACTTCCTTTCCCAAGCCTCAGTTTACCTCTCTGGAAGATAAAGTGAATGCTGGCATCACTGAGCATTTATGCATCTTTCTCAGACAGGCCTCTGAGCATGGTGCTTATGTGCAGACCAGGAAACAGAGACACTGGGAGGCCAGGCCCTGTGGCAAGAAGGGAGATGTAGCATTTGGAGCCAGGAAATCCAAAGCCAGAGCCTTTTTTCTTCTTCTTCTTCTTCTTTTTTTTTTTTTAATTTTTTCTTTTATTCATATGTGCACACAATGTTTAGGTCATTTCTCCCCCCTTCTCCCCACCCCCTCCCTTCCCCCCACCCCCTCACTACCAGAAACTATTTTGCCCTTATCTCTAATTTTGTTGAAGAGAGAGTATAAGCAATAATAGGAAGGACCAAGGGTTTTTGCTAGTTGAGATAAGGATAGCTAGACAGGGAGTTGACTCACATTAATTTCCTATGCATGTGTGTTACCTTCTAGGTTAATTCTTTTTGATCTAACCTTTTCTCTAGTTCCTGGTCACCTTCTCCTATTGGCCTCTGCATTAGTTTCTCTGCATTGAGGGCAACAAAAATGTCATCTAGTTTTTTGGATGTCTTACCTATCCTCACCCTTGTGTGAAGCCAGAGCCTTTTAACCACCATCCACACTGCCACTCAGGGGGGTCAACACAGCATGTGGTGCTATGCACAGACCTCCCTGCTGTGAGCTCCTTGGCTCTTGTCTAGAGCCACCTGTGGGGCTGGGGTGGAGCCTGTCCCAGCGGCCCTCTCAGGCACACCCTGAGAAGTGCCACCCCTTTACTCATTCTCAGCCTGTAACACCACTCACCCAGACACCACTCCTGGGAGCCAGAGGTAGTGATCTAGAGCTAGAAGACCTGACCATGTGGTCTTTGGCAAGTTTCCTCCCCTTCATGAGCCTCAGTTTGCCCATCCACACAGTGGGCATGGGAATGCTTTGTGAACTTAAAGCACAGAGCTGGCACTCCCTATTGCTCTGCTGGGTGGTCAGCATCTCTCTCCTCTCTATCACTGGGTATCAGAGAAAAGCCTTGAAGGGTACAACAGGCCACCTCAGGATGGTCCTGCCCTGTGTTTCAGCCTTACCCTATTCATCGTCGTGGGCCTCATGATCCTTCAGGGGTGGATTGCTGCCAGCTTCTTCCTGCAGCCCAAACTGGACACAGCTGACAAGCAGAAGCCCTTAGCCCTCAACAACAGGTGAGGGTGGAGGAGGGGATGGGGGAATTGCCAACTCTCCATCCTTACCCCTCACCTTCGGCAGATTCTGGGGAGGGACCTACAGGTCATGAGAACCCGTGGTGCAGTTCACAGGGGCGGGCACTGGAGCCAGACTGCCTGGGACCCAAGACTGGCTCACCCTTTATGAGCCCTGTGACATGTGTGACCTTACAAAATAACTGTGAACCTCAGTTTCTCCACTTATAAATCATTTTCTATGCCTGAAAGAGGTGTCTTAAGGAAGAAACATATAAAAATGTGGACTTAGAACAACTGTGCCCAGCACAAGCTAATCCTGTCTAACTCCTTCATTGATAGAGGAAACCTGGACACTGAGGATAAACAGATAATCACCACATCACCTGCCTGTGACACGATCACAGCCCACCAGAGCAGATGGGCACATAGAAAACAAGGACAGTGGGCTCCAGAGGGTGTACAAGGATTCCAAGGAAAACAGAATGAAGGAGGGGAAGTGGCAGAGGAGGAAGAGAGGCAGGGGAGGTAGGGAAGCAAAAGGAGTGGCAGGGATGGGAAATTCCTCCATAGATGTGATGATTGAGTTGAAGTGAACATGTGCTGGTGGAATTTCTACAGGTAGAGAGGAGTAGAGGTCATGGCTGGCAGCTGCCACAGTGTGAACGAAAGCAGGAAGCTTGGAAACTGGCAGGATGTGTTAAGAGTAGAGTAAAAATTCAAAATGGTTACCATACAATGGCCTTAGACAGTGAGGAGAGGAAGGGCACACAAAGTGACAAGACCAGAAAGGTCCCTCTCAGTGGAAGCCCTGACACTCAGGATGCAAAGTTTGGGCAATAGAAACCAGTTGGTCCTTTGGGAAGTTTACCCTGGAGGCCTGGGACATCTATGGTAGATGCAGGTCCTTATTGCAACAGAGAGTGAGTTGCCACACTCCCCATACTGCTACAGCCACTGAACCAGCCATAGCCCTGAGATTTCTTGTCATACAGGAAGCCTGAACCCCAGTGGTCACTGGAAATACATACAGTCTCCACAGTGCCATTTCACTGTGCTTAGCACCCTCCCCACCATCCCAAAACCAGTCCTTCCTCCAGTGCTGTGCAGTGGACACTGGGTTCTGCCTGCAGGACAGCACAGGGTCACACACAGGAGATGGAGTCGCAGTGCTTGACACCAGATCTGGAAGCCTTAGAGTCTATGGCCTAGCTGCCTTGCCCTACTGAGGGACTGCCTTGGGCCCACCTCCGTTTACAGAAAAGCCTTCCACAACTTCAACTACTTCCTGTTCTTCTACAACGTGCTGCTGGGACTGGGCGCCTGCCTCTCCAGGCTGCTGATCAGCTGTCTCCTGGGCTCCTGGCTGATTGCACGCATCGACAGGACCATCATGCAGAGTGGCTATGAGGGGGCAGACATGGGTAAGGGCCAGTCCCACTGGCCACTTCTGCAGGGGGCTGGCTGGTCTTACACCTGTGTGGCAGCTGCCTGGGGAGATGGGTATCAGAAGCCTAGAGTTCACACCTTTGCTTATGCTCAGAACTTAAGCTCTGATACAGGCCTTAAGTTGAGCAATAGAAACACGGCAATGGTTAGGAAGGAGTTCAAGCTGTTCAATTCTTGTCCATTCAGCAGAGGTTCAAGGAAGAAAGGACGATAGTCAGAGGCAGTCAGTTTTTTTCTGAAAGGTTAGAACTTACTTTATGCAGGCACAGCTCTCAAAATCTTGAGACAAGAACACATTTCAGAATTATTAATTTTGTCACTTGGAAACTTAGTTAAGAAAATGTTCTGTTCGGTTGAAATACTCTAAAATCAAGGCCATTTGGGGGAAGTGAAAGTAGTTTTGTTTTGCTTCTAGTACATGATCACCCAGTCCCTTAGCTGTTCGTGATCTGCACTGAAGCCTTGGTCTTTGCCATTCCTGCTCCCTGCCCCTTTGGGCTTCAAGTTCTCCATAAAATGCACAGATTAGAATGGGACCTCTAAGAATCCTTCCAGCTCATTATGCTCACTTTCTAGATTCCCAGCAAAAGATTCAGCCACCACTGACTGGCAGTTATGTGATTAAAAAACACAAACTGGGCAATGCTGGGAAATGCTACTTGGCCTGACTTGCTTCTGGGTTTCAGGGTTCAGTGCATGGATTGGCATGCTCTATGTGGACCATTATCACACCAACCCTGTGCTGGTCAGCTTTTGCCACATCCTGATCACAGGCCACAGGGAAAGGAAACTACGGAAGTCCATCAAATACTGGTGCCTAAACCAATCAGCAGGTAATGTCTCCCGTTTGAACCTGTACTGGGTTCAGAGAGCAGGAAATGAATACCCAAAGACTCCCTGGGATCCCCAAGATGCCCCAGCTCCCTCCTTTCCTGCCCCTCTTTCTCTGAACTCCATGTCCAGGGTGCCCTTCAATCAGGGAGCTCAAGAGGCTTAGCTCCCAGTGAGCCGAGCTTTGTGGCCTTGTCCTGCTAACCGGCCTTCCCCTTGTTATTGCTAGTGGAGTCTTTCATACCTCATTTGTTTGGGATTCCAACCCCTATTCCAGGCTACACACCAGATGCCCTCCAAAATGGAGCTCAGTTTTTATTATTCTGCACTGTTTCTTACCACCGGCATGCTGAAGCTCTCTTGCCACTTCAGAGCTCAGATGTGTTCACTGCTATTCCCAGCACTGCAGATACTCAGGTCTGTGGACAACTCACATCCCTCCATCTCCGTCAGGTCCACAATAGTCCCGATCCAGCCCTTCTCACACATTCTAACCACTCTTCCAAAAGCCTTTGAGAGTCATCACCCAATCTCCGGTCATCACCCAACCCACTGGCCTGTCTGCTGTGATTCTACCCTAGGACCCCGCATCTCAGCTAAGTCTAGAACCAGGTGGCTCCTGCTGCAGACCCTCATCAACAACCCCAGACTTGTCTTGCTCAGAAAATCAAAATCAGGGCACGGTTCCCGTGAGTTCACCCAAATTCCGCTGACATGCTCAGATTGCTGACTCTGGCCACCAACATCTGCTCCAAGGCCAGGCTAGACCATCTCCCAAGAGAAGTCTCCATCTAACCAACAGCTGTTCTAGGCACTGTTCACACACATGGAAGAACGGCATTGGTCACTCGTAAGATGGCTACCTGGTCCAAGAGTCAAAGTCTTAGGACTATTTCACTTCCTTGGCAAAAAAAAAAAAAAAAAAAAAGATAAAAAAACTAAAGCAAAGTCTGTTGAACAAACTTGCCCATTAATGACTTCCACTATCCACGGTGGGGAAATAGCCTTGGGGAGTTACCTGTTGAGAAGGACTAAGTTTAACTCCAAGAAAGAACTTTGTCAGGAAACCATTTTTTCCTCTGGGACAGAGAGTGGCCATCAGTCTAGTGGCGAACTCACTGCTTCCTTCTTTCTAGGCTTTATGGTGAGAGGGAGAGAAGGAAATCCATGATCTTGACCCCTAATCTGGAGGACAAACAGGCACACAATGAGCTCTCTGTCCCATGGCCAAGGGGATAAGGAGTGGACAGAGTTGATCTGGGTCTTGTTGACAAAGAAGATGTTCAGATAAGGGTAGGCTCATCAGGGAAAGCCACCTGTCAGAGCAGCAGCGATGGTGTGGGAAGGCATCCAAGTGAGGAATGATAGGCTATAGCCTGAGGATATGTGATGAGGGTGAGTCATGTAGCATTTAAAGGTGCTGGGAGCTGATTAGGAACATTCCAAGGACACTCAAATGCCAGCTGGGAGGCTTGGACATTTGTGGAGATTTGATTCGGTTTGTGCAGAGGCCTGCACTTACCCAAATTTTTCATGCTGAAGAAGAAGGTCTCTGATGGCCCAGGACCTGTGTAAAGTCTGACCATTTCAAGTCCCTCATGGGCCTAGGCAAGTGCCATGCCCACCAACATGGCAGAAGAGAATCCCTAACCATCTCATGAGTCCTAGAGTGATGTAATTTGGTTGTCATTATTAAGTACCAAGTGTAAACTCAGTCCTGTTGCTTAGGTGTGTTTGCCAGAGATGTCTCCCTTTAGCTAGCTCTCCACAACCAAGTTTTGCCATTCTGTTTCTAGAAACTGAGAAAACTCGGATCCCCACACACCATCTTATAGCTGTGTGACATTGGCCAAGTTACTTTGCCATTCTCCATTTACTTTCTTTATCTGTAAAAAGAGTGTGACACTCCCTAACACCCAAAATTATTTTGGGGATAAAATAGGTTCTATAGGAGCACTCTTAAGCTAGTGTCTGGTTTATCCTAAATTTTCAAAGGCAAAAGATTTGACTTTGGTTGTTGCTATGGTCTCCCAAGGATCTGTGGGTTAAAGGCTTGTCTCCGGGGAGGTAATATTGGGAGAAAGTGGAACCTTTAAGGCGGGGCCTAGTGGGAGGTTCTTAGGTCATCTGGGGGCATGTTCTTGAAGGAGATGTGGGATCCTGGTCTCTTCTTCTGTGACCTGGCTGATGAAGTGAGTGATTTTGCCCTTCTATGCACTTCTGCCATAGTGTGCTGCCTTTTAGAGACTCAAAGCAATGGGCCACTCAGCCTTGGACTGGAGCCTCCAAACTGTGAGCCAAAATAAACCTTTTTATCTATAAGTCAATTATCTCAGACATTTTATTATAGTAACAGGAAGCAAACACAGGTGTCATTTTACAGAAAGATATAAATGATCAACTAATATAAGGAAATACACTCCACATTGTTACTCATCAGGAAAATGCAAATTAAAACCACAATGCTATAGTATCACATAATAGCTAAAATAAAAATTAGTGACAATACGAAGTGTTAATGAGAACCTAGAGCAGTGAGAACTCTGATACACTGTGATGTGTGTAAACTTACAACCACTTCCAAAAATTCCTTGGTGGTATCTCCTACAGATGGAGTCATCCTCTGTGACATGATTCCTGCATACACCCAATAGGAACACCTACATATGTTCATGTGAAAAGAGTCAGAGCAGCACTATTGGTATATTCCTAAATTGAAAAACCCCAAATGTGCTTCAGTAATAGAAAGGATAAATAAAATGAGTTACTTTTTTTAGTAATGGGCCTCTATACAGAAATGAACAATAGTCACATTGAAAATGTATGAAACTTACAAACATAATGCAGGAAGCTCAACATAAAATCTTCTATATGATTCTATTTCAACAAAATTTTTTAGAAAATAAAAGTAACTCAGGAGTTAGCATATTTGTTATCTTTAAGGAGGACTGGGCAATGACTTGTGATGGGGACATACAAGTAGATGCTGAGGAGTTGGTCATGTTCTATTTCTTGTGGATATTAGTCCCTTTCAGATAATTCACTGTGCTATGCATTTAGGAGTTCCATACTTTGAGGTATGTAGGTATGCTAGGCTTCAAGATGCAAATCCAGTCAGTTGGATACAGAACTTCTTTTCTGGTTAGTCACAAAGTCAGATGGCACAGTGGTTGGTTCAAGACTCTAGAATTACTGAGTCTAGATTCATATCTTGGATCTATTTCCTATCTCAAAGATTTTGGCCAAGTTACTAACTCTGAGATTCAGTTTTTTCATGTGTAAGATGGGTTAATTATAGCACCCCTCTCATGGTTATTAGAGGGATTAAAACTTCTCAATAAATACTGACTCTGATGAGGGTCTCTGTTGTTCCTCCTTCTGAGTACTATGGAGAAGGTGAATGGTGATCTGGGGTAATAATGGAGAAGGATGTGCTGCAAATCAAAAGACATGTTTAAAAATTTATTTCATTTTTGTTTTTAATTGATACATAATTACACATATTTATGGGAGACTGTGAAATTTGATACATGTATACCATATGTAATGATCAAAGCAGGGTTATTAGCATATCCATCACCTCAGACATTTACCATTTCTTGTACTGGGAACATTCAAAGTCCTCTCTCCTAGCTATTTTGAAATATTCAGTGAATGATTAGCTATAGTCATCCTCCTGTGCCATAGAGCACTAGAACATATTCCTTCTATCTAACTGTAATCTAACCCCCCCACCTCAAAAGACATACTTAAGGTGAAGAGCAAGAGGGGAAAAAATCAGGGGTGATGCCAAGGTGCAAGAAAAAAAGAGTCCAGAGGTGTGGTATCTTTTTTTCTATTCTCTGTCATTGACTTCTGACCCATTTCTAAGCTAACCAGGTGGGGGGCTTGTGAAATGGCTCAAGTGGTAAGAGCGTCTTCCTAGCAAGCATGAGGCCCTAAGTTCAAATCCCAGTACTTCAAAAAAAAAAAAGTGTTTTTAAGTGTCTCTAGCTGGTTAGCTTTTCCAGGTAGGACATTGTTGAGTTGGAAGGGCAATGGAAATGCTATCCAAAAGCCAAACACAGATTTCCACATTTGATCCAAATACAAATACAAAGACTGAAGGACTGGGGACATGGCTCAAGTGGCAGAGTAGAGCATCTGTCTAGCAAGTGCAAGGCCCTGAGTTCAAACCCCAGTACTGCCATAAAACCAAAAACACAATAAAAAATTACAGGGTTCATGGAAAAATGGAGTGAAGGCAAACACAAAGTCTCAGAAACATGGGAGTGAAGGGAGGTAATTCTTAAGGATGGGCTTATGGGTGATTTTTATTTTCTTCATGGAATTATTTTCTAATTTTCTGCAATGTGTGTTTAATCAGAACAAAGGATCATGCATGATACAGCTATGCCTATAATACATACTCATGTAATTTTTTTTAAAGAAAGAGAAAGTTCTCAAAGTTGTGCCAGGAGCTAGAACCCAGAAAGTGTCTGCGCAGGGAAAACGGTGCTTTGATGAATACAGCTTGAGCCAGTAGGGCCTCCCTGGACAGGAAAAAGAGCAGACTGAAACATTTCCTGTTTTTTAGTGTGTTTTTCATCTTTCCACTCTAGACTTTCTTTTATCAGCTAAAATGAATTCAATCTTCATTACAAGATTTCACCTAAAAAATTAGCTAGCATTTGTTGCCCTTAACGCAGAGAAACTAAAGCAATACCTTAAAAGCAACTGAGGCCAATAGGAGAAGGGGACCAGGAACTAGAGAAAAGGTGAGATCAAAAAGTATTAACCTAGAAGGTAACACACACGCACAGGAAATCAATGTGAGTCAATGCCCTGTATAGCTATCCTTAACTCAACCAGGAACACTTGTTCCTTCCTATTATTGCTTATACTCTCTACAACAAAATTAGAAATAAGGGCAAAATAGTTTCTGCTAGGTATTGAGGGGGTAGGGGGGAGAGGGAGGGGGCGGAGTGGGTGGTAAGGGAGGGGGTGGGAGCAGGGGGGAGAAATGACCCAAGCCTTGTATGCACATATGAATAATAAAAGAAAAAAAAAAACAACAAGAAGATTTCACCTTGTAAAGTCCAGGACCAAAGAATTAGACTAAAAGAGTTTTCTTTTTTCTACTCACTGTTTTTAATTTCTGATGCTAGACGGTACAGAATGATGTTTGCTATAGCAAGTTGGTATGGGGAGTATTTATTAACAATCTGAACAGGGATCCCTGCCAAGGGAGGGATTCTCTAAGGAGCTGGGCATCCCATGTGAGTTTAAAACCCTAAGACCACTGACTGGTGCCAATCACAAGCATTTTCAGTTCTGGACAAACAAGCTTCAACCCTGAATTCTGAGTCCTTCAAACTCAAACTGAGAATCAGACGGTCTCTTTCAGAGTCTCAGATTCTTACAGGAAGTACTACACTATGCTATCTCCCTGCACCGGTTGGTTTTAACCAAGGCAAAGAAGATAGGATGGACTTTCTTGACCATGATGGCTCAGTGTTACGTCTGAGGTCTCCTACTAGCTTTAAGAACATTTAACTCGCTACTCGGGATGTTCCCTTGTACAGAGAACCTGGCATTGAAGGAAGCAGTTGATTTTCACGGCTCCACGTGGGGCGCTCCCGTTGCTAAGGGCAACTCATCTGCATGGGAAGGGAAGCGTGGGCGTGGCCAGTCCGACCCCTCCCCTCGTTGCCTAAGAGACCATGTGTGTCGGGCCGCAGTTGCAGCTAGACTCTGGCTGGCCGACGTGAGGGGTGCTTTCTGCAGGTGGGGACGTGGCCAGCACTCGGCAGGGCCTCTCTCCAATCTGAGGAGCGCCCAGGGGCTGCCCAGGTTTCCTGCGCGACTAGGGAAACGGCCAGGATTCTCCTTTGGGTCTCTCCGCACACAGTAGGCGACAAATTGCGTGGCTAGAATCAGGCCGCTCCTTTCCTTCTCTTCGCCCTCTCTTGTGTCTCCTGGAGGGCGGAGTGGGGTCCTGGACCCGAGTTCAGCGCCAGATTGGAGTCCCAATTGCAGCTGACACCTTGGGCCGGTAGACTTTTCCAGAAAAGTTGGGCAGAGTGAAGGGCAGTGATCCTGAAAGACCCTGTGGGTTGTGCCCTGCACGACAGGGAGAGCCAGCCTCCTCCGTGAGTTCGGGGCTCATCAAAGGCTTCTTTCATTGCTGTTCAAAATTAAAAGCCTGAGCCGCCCCGGGGTCCGGCCAGGTCAGGTGCGGCCTCCGGGGCCGAGGTTCTGCCAAGATCTGCACTTGGGGCGAGGGGTGGGAATTGAGACCCAACCAACCCCACGCGTTTCCTGGACTACAGCTTCCCCGCAGCAGCGCCAGCCATCAGTCAAGATGTCGTCAGTGGGGAAGGTGACCAAGGTCCAGAGTGGCAAAGTCTACCAGCAGATCTTCGAAGCTGAGGTAGGACTTCCTGCTGTCCCCTTTGTCTGGGGTCCCTGTGCTACCTCCAAATTTCTCCCCCTCTGAGGGTTTTCCAGCCTGGGAAGCTAATGAAATAGGGCTTTGATGTTACTTTGATTTTTAAAACAATTTCTGTTGGTTCTTACAATGTACTAATAGGAAACTTGCAAACTAGAAAACTTAAATTAAAATCTTAAATTTAAGCAACTCAGAAATAGCTGAACTAACCATTTGGGGCCCTGGGTCTTTTTCTCATGCATAAAAACAGTTCTGACTTTTCTATTTAAAATCTGGATTTCATTCTGTTCTAGTGTGTTCTCTTTAACAGTATCTCACAGACCCATTCCCACATCCATGGGCACTCTTGCACTCCAGGGGTGCTTAGTGGCTGCCCCTCAATGTAGGATCTCCATGCAGTACTAATGTAAAGCCCCTTGATGGCCAACTCAGCTGTGAAAATTGCCTTGTCCTCTTTCATGCATTGTACAAACCAAGCCAGACCTCAAAAGAAACCTACAGACCTTAAACCTTTCCTTCGAAGTTCTGTCCTGTTTATTTAAATGGGATTTTCATTCCTAATGGAAATTATAAAAGTGTAAAGAAACCAAAGGAACAACTGAATTACTCACATGATCCTATAAGCCGTATGCCATTCTAACATTTGACATACTTCCAGTTGTTTTTCTATGCATTTTGAAATTTGAAATCAGACTATGTAATTTTGTTTATAATTTTTAATGTATGCGGCTACATGATATGTTTAAGCATACATCATCTCATAAACATTTCCTCATGTCACACAAATTCTTTGTAATTCCCATCTTTAATAACACTTAACATTCCATCAAAGGGATGTACCATATCTACTCCACCAGTCCACTATTATTAGACAGTCCCATTTTTCTAGTTCCTTATGATTATAAAATGGGTGAGATGAGGATCTTGATCTTCATTTAAATTTCTTTTTTAAATTTTATTTTATCCTTTTTACAATTACATATGTAATTGCCCCTCCCCCCACCTCCAAGCAGAACCTGTTCTGCCCTCTTGTTCTCTGATTTTGTTGAAGAAAAAACACATAAGATAAAAAGAAAGACATAGCATTTTTTGCTTGTTTGAAATGAAGATAGCTATACAGGGAGATTCCTTGTGTTGCTTCCATGCACATGTGTATTGCAATCCATGTTGGTTCATCTCTACTGGACCTCTTCACTACTCCTTAGTCCCCTTCCTATAGTGGCCTCTGCCAGTTTAAGATTACCATATTTGCTCCTCTACAACATGCCTTCCTTGAAGTGATGGGATGTCTGTTAAGGGGGAGGAAAGCCCTCCTATAGGAAGACCTTCAATAAGGTCTTCCTGCAAAGTGCCTTCAATAAGGTCTTCCTGCAAAGTGCCTTCCTGGTGGCAGGTCCCCAAGTGTCCACTTAAAATAGGCATAGTACTGGGATATCTGCAGTTCTGACCAGTTCCTTTCCCCTGTCTTCCATGGATCCAGGTGCAGCTGGTCCAGTCCTTGGCAGCCACCAGGAAACGGACTACAGAGCATTCTGTGCCCTCAAAGAATGACAGGAAACCTGTGATGAAGAAGATGGAGATTCCTGAAGGGGCGACAATTTCCCCTCGACAGTGGAAGTGGGCGCACAGCCTCCCCAATGATGGGGCCACAGAAAACCCTGTTCTCTACAGGTAGGTCCTGCCATCAGGCCATGCTCCCACACTGTGGGTACCTCAGTCTTCCAAGTCTCTAAAAGGGCTCACAAGATGAGTGCCAGGTAGGAATGAAGTCTCATGTACCTCCTTTGAAATAGAGAGGTAGTACCACCAATTTTGAAGGATTATTTACTTTTCTCTCCCCTCCCTAAATAATTATTGAGTGCCTAGGGCTGGGCTCTGGGTAGGGGATCTTACCCCATGGAACTTGAGGCCTCAATAATAATAAATAGCCATGTCTCCCCAGAGTGGTGAAGGCATTGACTCAAGACAACAGCAGACAGGAAAGCTTTCTGAGGAAGGGCTTTAGCTGAGATCAGAGGGTGAGGAAGGGGAAGGAAAGGGGGCAAGTGTCTGAGGGTGGTCCTGGTCCATTCCAGAAGGCTGAAGGTCAGTGAGCCTGGAGAGAGAGCCGGCAGGAGATGAGCCTGGGAGAGGCTTTGAAGGCTGCAGTCAGTGTTTTGTACTTTATTGCAGTAAGCAGCTGATTTGCATCTCAGGTCTCTTGGGCAGTTCTGTGCAGAACGCGAGGGGCTACAAGAAGAGGCAGGGAGGCTAGAGAAGCCCCTTTAGTCATCCTTAAAATCTTAGTAGTGGCTGGAGAGGTAAGGAGAGTATGTGAGGGGAAGGGAAGGATTTTAGGCATCTTTTGGAGGCAGAACCCATGGGACTTTGTGATGGATTGGATGGTTAGAAAGGGGCCCCAGGAGTCCTAGGTCTCTGGCTGTGTGCCATTCCCTGTGATGGGAGCAGGTCAGAGTGGGAGAGAGATCAGGCATTCCTTGTGAGCTTTCAAGTTCAGAAGTTAAACTTGAGATTCCTAAGCATGCCATTTCTGTTGGCTGAGCTCAGACTCCTCAACTAGGGGAAAGGGAAAAGATAGCAAAAGAGGACAACCTCTTCCGCTGGCTTCCTTTGAGCTGGGCTTCCCTTTGGCTCCTCACATCTAGCACCAGCCACAAACCTCTTCCCTGGCCTGGCACTCTGGACTGGAAGTCAGGCTTCTACTAACCTGCCTACTATCTCTTTCACCCACTGTGAGGCAAGGACAGACCAAATTCTGGATACAGATCTCTGTTCTGACCTGACCTTTAAATTTTCCTCGGGGAACTTTCTGACCCCCAACACTGTAACCACTTAAAGATGAGCACATTCACTCCCCACCCAGGCCCACACTCGAGGCCAGCCTTCCCCAGCTCTTGTCCCCTGCCTGAAGCCCTGATGATGATAGAGAGACTCAGGCAGCTGAGGTCTGTCTAAGCTCTACTCTACCTCCCAGAAAGGCTAAGTGGCAGGCTGGCTGTGACTCTGGCTCCTACAAGGGTCAGGAGGCCCCTCTCAGATGACCTCTTCTCATCTGGGCCCTGGGGCTCTTGACAGCTCTGTTTGTTTCCTGAGACCGAGGGACTTGAGAACTCCCCTCTTCTCCAGGGCTCAGCCTGGGATCACCTATCATCCATAAATCCAGATGCAACCATCAGTCAGGAGCCCTTGGTGCCAATAGGACAGAGGCTCAGAAAAGACACTTCTCATGAAGTGTGCTGGCTTCCTGGGACAGACAGACCAGACCATCTCTTTCCTAGACACAGAACTAGAGCACAGCAAACTATGACCTAGGCAGGAACAGAGATGTTTGTAACCTGCTAAAGTGACTGAGGTAACTAACTCCACATTCAGAGTTTCTCTGAGGTCACTTACTCCACATACACACTGTCCATGGCTTTACTTTCTTCCCAACCTACTGTACCTCAGTGGTTGGGTCACTAGCTCACCTTCCTCAGTCGCCATCTTTCTTCCCACCCAGCAGAGGTCCCACCCTCCTTCCTAAGCCAGAGCAGCTAGACACCATCCATCACCTGGTCTTTGAGGAGGGCTGCTCTCAAATGTAGCCTCTGGGCAGCCTGAGGACTCACAGCCACCCTCCTATCTTGCCACACTCCCCATGTCCTTCTCCCACATCAAACCCCACCCCGTAGTCCCCTGCTTACCTCAGAAGACAGGCCATAGCTAGGCCTTCCCTGGATTGCCCATGTACCCAGGGGCTGTGGAACAGCAAGATGTGGCCTGGGCCGCCTGGCACCATCCCCTCCAGCCTTTTCACTTTCCTGATGCTGGAAGTCCTTCCTCAAACATCAGTCCCAGGTCTCTTGCCTACCCTGGGCCTCATCCTGGCACAGAAGCCTTTCGCTTCTTGAAAAGGAGCTGTGTCGGGTGCCAGTGGCTCATGCCTGTAATCCTAGCTCCTTAGGAAGTAGAGATTAAGAGAATCGAGGTTCAAAGACAGTCCCAGGCAAACAGTTCGTGAGACCATATCTCAAAAAAGGGCTGGCAGCTAGAAGGTAACACACACGCACAGGAAATTAATGTGAGTCAACTCCCTGTATAGCTATCCTTATCTCAACCAGCAAAAACCCTTGTTCCTTCCTATTATGGTTTATACTCTCTCTACAACAAAATTAGAAATAAGGGCAAAATAGTTTCTGCTGGGTATTGAGGGGGTAGGGGGGAGAGGGAGGGGGTGGAGTGAGTGGTAAGGGAGGGGGTGGGGCAGGGGGGAGAAATGACCCAAGCCTTATATGCACATATGAAAAAAAAAAAAGAATTAAAATAAATAAATAAATAAAAAGTATTCAGAAAAAAAAAAAAAGGGCTGGCAGAGTGGCTCAAGTGGTAGAGATCCTGCCTAGCAAGCATGAAGCCCAAGTTCAAACCCAGTACTGCCAAAAAAAATAAATAAATAAATACACGGAGCCTGTGTCAACCACTTCTCCCTCCTGCAATTGCAGTGTGTCTGTTTCCCCACCCTTCCCTGAGGCCAAGAGTCTGGGAAGAGCCTCTGCTTTCTGTGATGCTCCTAAGGCCTTGGCATTCCCCCTCCTGCTCACCCCAACTGCTCTTGCTGAGGTCACCTGGGCGCTTATGTCAACTCTCCTCCCGGGGTGGACCTTTTGCCGTCACTCCCTCCTCCAGAATCTCTGGCCCTGGGTTCCTCACATGACTCCCTGGCTGCTCTTGCTCGTTTTTCTTTGCATCCCTTGTTAGTCAGCATCTTCAGGCCTGCCCTGGCCTGCCTCCGTTCAACACTGGAGGGCTAGCAGAGGTCAGACTGGGATGAGCTGATGAGCGACAGTGCCAGAGTCCTTCTTCTTCCTCAAGCCTCAGATGAGGGCTTGAGAACTTGTCCAGCAAAGGCCAATCTATCTGGCCCCTGGGTGGGTAGAGACCAGCACATGGCAGGGAGTGGAGAGCTGCCAGTGTAAACCAAGTCCTCAGATCTCTGGGGCAAGTGGATGAGAAGTCAGAACCAACAGCAGCTCTCCTTGTCCCGTGGGCTTCTATGGGGTTGCTGTGAGCCAGAGGCATTTGAACTAACAAGGCCTGAAATACCCCTGTCTGCATTATTACCTGAGCCCCAGTGGCTGCAGTCTTTCTCTTGCTGGGTCTGCAGTGGGAACTCGTGAGAAGATGGCTGGAAATTATTGATTACATGGGACTTTGAGTGGTTGCAGAGAACTTCGGGGTTTCTGTGGTGCTTTCCCTGTAGATGGTGCATTCATGGATTTTATTCCAAGGCTAATGACATCTCTACCTCTCCCTCCCTGGTCCTCCCTGCTGAGACAGCTTTTCCTGGGTCCCTGCTCTCTCTACCCAGATCCAAGCCCTATGGACCTTGGTGTTATATGGGTCATTCTTAGAGTCCCAGCTCTGCTCTAGTGCGCCCTTTCCCTTTCTGGAAAATGGGGTTACTGTGGCTATACATGAGAGTGTGTGCTGAAAGCTTTATGGGACAGCTTATGCCCTTTCTGGTCCTCAGTTTCCTGTATAGAAAATGGCTTGGGTCCACCACCCACAGGGAAGGGATTTATGGCTTGTGCCTGAGGGCAGGGATCGTTATTTCCCATCTAAGGACCCAAACTGTCTCCTGGTTGGAGATGGTCAGGCAACATTTGTCAGGAGCTCTGGGCTCTCTGGAATCGGGGAGGGCCTGGGTAGGTCATTGCTGCTGCTTGTGCTGTTGGAGGACCAGGCCTTACTCTTCTCTGCTTGCTGTCAGGGAAAAGGAAAGAACCAGGAGGGAAAACGCACGTGAAAGCGAGAGCTCCATTGCCGCTCAGGAAGTCCAGAGCCTCCTGGACGACATTGGTGAGCCTCCCTCCATTCTGCCCCAAGGTCAGGTCTGCCCCAGGCAGCAGAGCCCCAGGCAGCGGTGTATCCTGGGACTTCTCTGAGGCAACCCTGCCACTCCCATTGGGAGATGGTCCTCCACCCAGAGGACTACCTCCCCTGAGCATCTCTTCTGAGGGTTGGTCCAGGACAGGGAGCAGCTGTTTGCACAGTGAGTGCTTCCTAGGAAAAACAGCGGGCTGAAGGATGTGATTTCATAGTGCATTTCTCATATCATGTGTTTTCTTCCTAGTACATTTCCTAGTTTGATTTATATACCTATATGGACGTCCTTTGTCTTTATGATTAAAAAGTAACCCATGATCACTGTAGAAAAAGAGGAGGGAGATGAAGCAGAAAATAAAACTACTCTCCCCAATAGCATCCTTCTTCTCCCCAGAGAGCCCTCATCTCCCCTTGTTAACCCATGTGATATCCAGCTTCCCAGACAGATGCAGGGCATAGCAGAACATGGAGACTCCTCCTTGCAAGGTGAGGAGTAATAGACCATGTCTCCAGACATCATCCCAAGGAGTAATGACATTAGAATAATATGTGGTAAGTGTTCTCAAGTGTTGGTTATTATTTCTGTAAGTGGTCCCTTCCTGATTTATGATGGCTCAAACTTCACCATGGTGCAAAAGCGTACCCATACAACCATTCTGTTTCTTGCTTTCAGTAGAGAGTTCAACAAACTGCATGAGTTATTCAACATTTTATCATAAAGTAGGCTTTTATTAGATGATCTTGCCCACTGTAGGCTAAGGTAAATGTTCGAGCACATTCAAGGTAAGCTAGGCTAAGTTACGATGTTCAGTAGGATAGGTGTATTAAATGCATTTTATCATATTATTATATGATAATCCCATTGTAATTTGAGAAGCATTTTTATATGCTTTTTTATTCTTAAAACTTAACAAATGTAGTATAATTCTATGCATACCATTTGGAAAATTTCCCCCAGTATTGATTTATTTTTTAGCCATGCAGGAAATCAAATCCAGGACTTCATGTGTGCTAGGCCAAGCATTCTACTGTTGAGCTATACCCCCAGCCCCTCTGTACTTAACTACATGTCTGCAGCTTTGTTCCCTACAGCATTCATCGTTCACCTTCATCTCTTCTCTTTTTCCTTAAGCCTCTATCACTGCTGGCCTGGCTTTGGGATCCCCCTCTAACATATGCCAGTGTGCAGGTGCTTGCTGCCTACATGGCCCTTCCTGGGAATGCATCTCTCTCCCTGAACCTTATCAGTTGTTGCTCTCCAGTTCCAGAGAAGACAAGCACCTTGGCCCTTCAAAAGCAAGAAGAGCACAAGAAGAAGAGGCATGAATGTGCCCTAGCACGCTTTCAGGAGGAGATCGCGCAGATTGGGAAGGTAAGAGTCTGCCCTTTCTCCTCTCGGCTCCTGTGGCTTTCTGGAGACAAGGTCAATCTGTCAGCACCCCAGCCTCCTCCTCTTCCCCTGCTGGGAGGTCCTCAGTGGCTCACCAAGACATAAGACATAGATGGAATAAGAGTGATTTGTTACAAGAACTTGTTGTGAGCACAACTCCCCTTAACTCCTGGAAAAGCCCTGTAAGTCAAGGGCTATTACCCCATTTTGCAGGGAGGCCTAGAGTCTTGCTTGACTAAGCACAAAGGAGACCAAGTTGGAAATGAACTCTGGCTGGTACCAAAGTCTAACCTTTGACCTCCTGATAGTCCTGCTGCTGAGGGGTCCATGGGCATACTCCCATTAACAGCCCACCACTGCCGGGTCCTGATGCACTTTCCCACACTGGGCTGCTGCTCTCCTTCAGATTGCATCTCTAGCCACACTGGTACCTGGAATATTCCCGAAATGGAACCAACCTTTGCCCTTCCAACTCCTCTCTGAGCTCTGGATTTTCATTTGGTCACTTCTCCCTGAGTCTTCTCTGATTCCTATTTCCTGCTATGAATCCCAAATACCACCCCTGTACCCAACACACCAAGAACAGCTCCCCAGCTGCATCTCAGTATGTCCCAACTAGATGCCAGACTTACTTTCACCCATGCACTTCTTGGTTTCAGTCAAGCAACCAGCCTGAGCCTTCCTTCCCTCATCTGAAGCAAGGTTGGCGTTCTTTCATTTGGCCACACTGCTTTAATTCATGTTTCTTGCGTGTCAACCAAGGGTTGGGCCTGATGGCAGCATCTCCTTCACCAGCTGTGAGGAGACTCAAGCGAGTGAAGGAGGACAGCTCCACACAGGCCTTGTCCTCTAAATTCCTCAAGTCTATGTAATGATGATAATTTTTGAGACAGGACCAGGCTTGGTACCTCTCCATTACAGGAAAGTATTCTTCCTGCCTGGGGTGTTGACATCTGGTCATACTCTCCTGGCCCATTGCAGGAAATGGAACCTCTCATCTTGGAGACAGGGGGAGTTTTATCGAAAAAACTGTCTGAGTCTGGTGAAAACATCGACTGTCTCTTCAAAAATGTGGAAAACAACATCAACCTTGAGGACTTCTCCATCCAAGTAGGAGTCCTCCCATATCAGGGCCTGCTCTCCCTTTTGCCCACTGCCCTCTGGTGGCTCGCAGCCTGATCCAGCCCCCCTGCACAGATACTGCTGGAACTGTGGGATAAGGTGGCTGAGACATTCTTGCTCCAGAAGGAGGATATCAAGGAACTGGATGAAACACTGCTCTCGTTGGAGGTCTTGAGAGCCGATAAGGTGAGCTGGCTGTGGATGGGCTCCTCAGTGGCTTTCACTTGCAGGGTCTGTGGAACATCCTTTTGTTTCCTTTGAGTGCTCTAGGAAAGGCGAGTCCCTAACTGTGGTGCCTTGTCCTCTCTAGCTAAAGAGCGTGTTGGAGAAATATGTGATTATCATACAGAAAACATCCTACCTCATGCAGCCAGATGTATATAGGCTGATAGATAAAGAAGCTATGGTGAGTGGTTTGCGTGGGTGGGGAGCAGCCTATGGGAGAAGGAGCAGGAACCCCAGGGTGCTCTGAGCCAGGTTCAGAAATGGTGGGCATCTCATCTGTGACCTTTCCAAATAATTCAGGTGGGTCACTTAGGTTGGGAATCAAGTCTTTGCACTTGAAGCATTTTCAACAGAATTCATGAAGCTAACATTTCATACTTCCCTCTGATGTTAAAGCAGGTACTCTCAACATGTAGCATTGGTGATTTTACTGGGCGTACTGGGCTGTGTCCCCACTATCATATGCAGGGCCTACTGCACTGCAGTAGGGAGCCATCAACTTGGGGCATCACGGTCCCAGGGGTCTCCAACCTCACAGGGGACCACAGCCTGCTCCATCGGGTTTTCCAGTTCTTCTTGCCTCTCCTCCTACTGCCATTGTTTTCTGTTAATGAACCTCACCTGCCTCTTGGCTCTGCCCCTCACTCTCAACCTCTCCCAGCTGCTGTCCCTGGCAGTGAAAAATAAGAAATCCAAAGTTGTTCACAATGTCTCCAAACTCAGAATAAAGCCTCACCCCTCTGCTACAATGAAAGGCCTCTTTGTGGCTGCTCAGACACTCATTTTGCCTTCATGGGTTTCCTGGGTCTGTGCAGAGCTGAGCTTTCCAGATAATGAGCTGCCTGGCTGCACGGTGGGCTGAAGAGAGCTCAGTGTTCAGAATCACAGACAGGTCCAGCCTGGCTCCAGGCATGCACAGGCAACAGGGACACAGACCTTCCTCTCCACTGGCCACAGTGGAGACTCCCAAAATGACATGGGCCCTGGGTCTAAAATGCCCTCATCCATAAAGTGGAGAAAACACTTATCCCCAGGACTTGTCAGGAGGATGAGAGCAGAGGGTTCAGTAGCTGTGTTTGGAGATAAGTGAGCATCCTAAAGTTTAGACATTGTACCCATCAGGACAGGGAGTCTGGGGACCAGCTTATACATTGATGTTGTACTTCTCTGTGCTTATTCTTCTTAAAACTAGAACTTGCTCTTTGCACCGTGTGCATTTATCTCATTGAATTTCACAAACCACCCATACTGTAAATAGATTTATCCCCATAGCATGGCTGCAGGCCTGGGTGATAAGGAATTCTTGCCAAGGCTCCAAGCTACAAAATGAAGCTGCCGTCAAGCCTCGGGCCCCACTGAAAAGCGGTGCTGGGCTTTCTGCCTGCTGAGCCTAATGGGGCAGTCACCTAGAGGACTAGGAAGTGTGTGGAGGCATCTGGGCTGGGAAGAGTAGGGAAAGCTGTTCACATTTAAGAAAACAGAGCTGCCAAAGAACAGACCAGTGCCACACAATGGAAGATTTTCCCTGTTCCTACACAGGGGCGCATAGGTGAGAACTGGTGGAAGACAAGCGATGAATGCTGTGCCTGTGGCCTCAGTGGGTCATTGGGCATGCTTTTCTCAAAGCCACCACATGTGGCTGTGCCCTGATGGCTTAGCTCCTTCCTTTTTATTTTTTAATATTTTTATTATTATTATTATTATTTTTTGACGGCGTTAGGGTTTGAACTCAGGGCCTCATGCTTCCTAGGCAGGCACTTTCATCACTTGAGCCACATCCACAGCCCTTTTTTGCTTTAGTTATTTTTCCGGAGAGGGTCTTGCATTTTTGCCTGGGACCAGCCTCAGACTGTGATCCTCCTACATAAGTCCTCCCACATAGCTGAGATAATAGGAATGCCCCATGCCTGGCTTATTGATTGAGATGGAAGTCTTTTTAACTTTTTGCCTTGGCTGTCCTTCTGAGTAGCTGGGATTTCTTTCCTTCTTCTTTAACAAATAACCTGATGCAGCTTTGGAGCTGGGTTGGGGCTCATGTAGTCATGGTTAAGTCTTCAAGGAAGACCCTCATCACTATCCATGGCTGTTTCCTTGAGGGCTGACCCTCAAGAGCTGATCCTCATACCCTGCCATCACCCCACTCAGCCCTGATCTGCACCTCCCCTGGCTCCTTTCCCGCCCTCCTAACTGAGCCTTGCTCTGATCAGAGAGAGCAATGCCCCATCTAGAGCCCTGCCTTCCTGTAACTTCAGGTCATGAACCATGCTCTGCTGGGCAACAAGAGAGCCATCGCCCAGCTGACTGTCAACCTGATGGAGGCCACACTGCAGCAGGAGCTCAGCAGCCGTTACCGCTGGTGGGAGCTGGTGAACACCTGGAAGACACTCAAGAAGGAGTCCGTGCAGCAGAGCTTCAGGTCAGCAGCCACCCTCTCTTCCCCTGCCCCCACGCTGGGCCCACAGCTCTCTCCTGGCCTACCGGAGCTGCACAAGCTCAGGGTGGCTTCCTCCTGCCCTTTTTGTCATTACTTAAAATGCAGCTGTTTTTCTGTGCTCCTTTTTTTTTAAAGTTAGAAATAGATAAAGATATCAAGAAAAAATTTTAAGGTCACCATTAATCTGTCCTCACAGTAAGAAGCACAGCTAATACTTTGGCATATTTTCTCACAGTGTGTATATATATAAATGAGTATATTTGTATATGCATGTATATGTATAAATGTATATATCTGTATATATATATATACACACACATATATATATATTTTAATTTTTTTTATTTTTGGCAGTACTGGAGTTTGCTAGTACTTGTGCTTGCTAGAGAGGTGCTCTATCACTTGAGTCATGCCCCCAGCTAAATCTTATTTTCTCTCAATTTTTTTTTTTTTTGGCGGTACTGGGGCTTGAACCCAGGGCCTCAGGCTGCTAGGCAGGTGCTCTATCACTTGAGCCATCTGACCAGCCCCTCTTATTTTCTTATGAACATTATTTCATGATCACTCTCTGAGCTCAGTACAAATTTCTAGAAAACATTCATACAATTATCTGTATGATTTCCACTCTTCCTCATTATTTGTAACCTAGGGCACTGGGGATGGGAGAATGGACCTTCCTCAGGTCGATGCCTCCTGCCCTTCATAGAAGAAAGGGTGAGGAGAGGGCCCATCGCCACACTTCCCCACCAAGTGGAGTTTTTGCTGTGAAAGAAGGAAAAGTGTGCTGAGGCCTGCTTCTCCCTTGGGGTTCCATGTGACCTTGGTCAAGTCCTTGCACATTCATAACCTATCTTTTTCTGTACAAAATAGGCATGCACATGTACCTGTGATAGGGTTTTAATGATGACCCAGCAAGCACTGTAGAAAGTGCTTGTGTGGGCCTGGGGCTGGGAGGCCTTTGTAAAGGTTGCCTTTTCCTGGGCATTTCCCATGAGCTGGACACAGGCTTGCATTACCTTATTGAGTTCTCACAAGTACCCAGTGAGGAAGATGCTATCATTGACTCTATTTTAAGGAGGAGAAAACTGAGCTCGAAGTAGGGGAGAGCTTGCCCAGGGTCACAGAGCAGGTAGGTAGCAGTCAGGACCCCCACCAGATCTGAGCCTGCTAGACCCAAGCTGTTAGAGGCAGAGCTTTGCTGGCTGTTGCTCAGTTCTTCCCTCTCTCCTGTTTCTCTTGTCTTCAGTGTCCTGAAGGGAGGCCAAGTCAGGCAGGAAGGGGCTCAGTGGTATAAGGCAGAGGTGTGTTATTGCCATGGGTTTCCTCCCCTGTTACCCCTGTCGCCCTTCCATCTCCCCTTCATTGTGCCAACGTGTCTGGCTGCCCAGTGAGTTCATGGCCAGTGAGAGTATCCAGGCGCCGCCGGCTGTACAGAAGGAGCTACAAGAAATGTTGAAGACTCAGCGTGGCCTGCAGCAAAAGCGGCTGGAGCATCTCTGTACCATCTGGTATGGGCAGGAGTGGGGGTCCACTAAGATCAGCACCTTTGGGGTTCCCATGAGGAGTGGTGTGGCCCTAGTTTTTCCCCTGAGGTGTCCTCCAGACCACATCACCTCCTGGAGCTCTAGTGTTGAGCTGGTTTGGAACTGTGTTCTGAGGCATGGACGCCCTAGTGTCAAGAAAGATCATGGCCTGTTCGCTGAGAAAGATGCTTGCTATAGCTGTGTCAAAGAGCTCACCAGAGGCAGTGGCCAGGGGTGAGGGAGAAGGAGACAGGGACTGGGGTGCAAAGGGCCGGTGGGCCAGGTCCAAAGCCTTGAACCTCATCCAGAGGTAGTATGGAGGTGTGGCTCCTAAGAGGCTTGGCACTCAAGGTCAGGAAGTCCATGAGGAGGCTGCTTCCCTCACACAGGGGACCTGCTGGAGACTCTTTTCAGAAATTTAGTTTTGTTTTCTAAGTAGCAAATTGGTTAATATTAAAAGACCTTTTTGTGAGGTATGTTTTGGGCACCAGGAGGTCCCCAGCAGGACTCTTTCTTTACCTCTTTGGTATTTAAAGAATACTATGGTTCTTGAAGATGTCACCCATTTTGGCAAGTAAACATTTTGTGCACGTGTGACTTACTGTTCTATTATTCCGCCAGTGACCTCCTGCCCCCCAACTACAACAAAGACCAGCTGACTGAGTGGCGTTCTTCTCTCAACTCCCTGAACAAACAGCTCGGTGAGCCATGTCTGTGGGGTTCTCTCAGGTCTCTCCAGAATTCTGTTCAACTCATCGTTTCTCAACCTCCCAGTCATTTTTATCTGAGAGGAAATGGTTGGCACCTCCAACCATGGGAAGGAGGGAGGGGTGTGGAGGGAAGAATGAGCTCTGAGGACTCATAAGCCCCTCCTTTCCTCTCAGTGCCTCCTCTACTCACTGCCCAGTCCACAACTATGCCAACACACACTGACCCTTGACCCCAGTGGGGACAGAGATAGCTACTTTGACCACCTCTGAGAATAGCTGAGGGACCATGTTCTGAAAGCAGGATCTTGCAGTCAGAAACACATTTAACACCCAGCCCTGTTCTATCCCAAGTGTGTGACCTTGGGCAAGTCAGGGCATCTCATGACCTCAATTTCCTTCTCTGAAAAATAGGGGTGTTAAGAGGAGTCATAATGTCCCCTACCTCATGGATTTCTGTCCACTTATAGTTTAGGGCCTGACTTACAGTGAGAGCTCATAATCACAAGTAGTAACTGTTTAAAATGCTACATAACAAGGGTTGTCAGACTGCAGCCCATGGCTGGCTGACATAAATGGTTCATAAATACACTTTCCTGGGACTCTACCATGCATGATAAGTTTCCATACTCTGTCTGCATTTGCACTGTAGCAGAAGCAAGTGGCTATGACAGAGACCACAAGGCTAAAACTATGTACTCCAGTGCTTTGTGGAAAGAGCTTGCCAAGCCTTATAGAAGATATATGATAACTTTCCCATCTCCTTTGAGGCTTACAGTAATTTAGTGAGGTTCTCTTTGCCTCTGAATCAGAAGCATTCGGGACAGACAGACAGGAGTTCCTCATGTGAGGCCCTTGCCTTGGGGTGCCTGGAACTGTTAGGAGGGAGATTAACAGCCCTTGACCTGAATTAGACCTCAAATGGATCTGCACCAAAACAACCCTTGCTGTGGAGGTGCTTTGCTTCCTTTTGCAAGGAGCTGCTTCCTCTTTCTAGTTTTCCTCTTTCCTCCCCAAAGAGCCACTAACCTGTTTTCTCTTCTGCCCACGGAGACTCCTACCACATGGACTGCATGATGAGGATTCGCTTGCTGTATGAGAAGACCTGGCAGGAGTGCCTGGCCTTTGTGCAGACTTGCAAGGTGGGCACCCCTCCCTACAGGCTTGCGAAGAGGAACTAAGGTGCCGGGACCTATTTGCTCCCTCTCTCCTGCCCTTCAGCCTTGATCCAGGCTTTTCTTCCTTCCTCCCAGGCCTCAGATGTTCACAGGCCCCTAGGCATTCTGGTTCTTTAGTCTGGCCTCTCTCAGCTGCTCCATCATCCCTCAGGGCTTAGTCCCGCATCACCTCCTCCAGGAAGACCCTGTGAGATGGAGTTGTGCATTCTCAGGCCACATCGGACTTCACCCTTGACTCTGTGTCCCATATAGCATTGGGCCTTGCAGCTTGGGGGTTACTCAGTGCCACTTTCACACATAGTACTGTTCCTGTTGTCCAGCACCACTGTCCTCTCTGCCCTGCCTGCCTCATACAGGATGAGACAGTGAGTTCACTCTCAGCCACCTCCAAGACAGGGATAGGTTTTCTGGAGTAGGAGAAATATTTTGTCAAATTGTCCCCTCCCTGCCTCCTTTTAAAAGTATCTAGGTGAAAACCTTACAACAGCCTAGTCATTTTGAAGCAGGCCTGAGTCCCAAGGGCCCCCTCTGTTGCCCCCTGGGAGCTCCGGCTGATCCTCACACCTCTGCCATCTTTGCTCTGCTACTGGCCTCAGAGAAGCAGAATCACGGGGAGCCCATGTCTAACTTGCAGCCCTATGAGGGTCCTGGCAGAAGCAGTTGATATATGGGGTATACACAACCCTAATTCGGCTCAACCTTGTTTTCTCACCACCCGCACCCCACTCTACCCCTAGAAGCAGTTACTGGACTGGAAGGCCTTCACTGAGGAGGAAGCAGAGAGCTTGGTGAACCCGGCCTTCTTCCAAGGGGTGGGAGAGCTCCAGAGAAGGGTGGAGGAAGAGCTGGAGCTTCTGGATGTACGTGCATGCCTGGTGGGGAGTGTCACCCCAGGTTGCTGGGCTGTTGGGAAACTGGAGGTCTGGAGGCCTCCAGCTTGAGTGTCTGTTGTGCTCACTCTCTGGGCCTCACCAGCTCTTCTCAGAGCAGGCCCCCTGTGCTGCTCCCACAACTCCTCACAGCTGCCCACCATAGGAGCTACCCAGACTCCAGGAAAACAATCTCAGGCCATGAGTGTGCCTGAGTCCCTGCCAACTCTGGTGCTGAGGACTATGGAGGAGCAAGAAGTCCCCAGTCCCAAGTGGCTTATGATACTGAGCCAGAGCTGACACATGTTTTCTGTGAAGGGCAAGATGGTGACTGTCTCAGGCTCTGTGAGCCACAAGACACAACTTGTCAGCCATATTCCTAGGCAATGCAGAAACAAAGAGTGTGGATATGTTCCAGTAACTTTATTGAGGAACACTGGAATTCAAATCCCATAGAATTTTCATGTCGTTTTCCGTCATTTCTTCTGATTTCTTTTCGGCCATTTAAAACTGGAAAATCTGTGCTTAGCTCACACATGTGGGAGGGTCAAGTTTAGCTTGCAGTTACAGTTTGCCAAACCCTTACCCAGATGAGAGCCTAAGATGTGCATGCTTTTAAAAGATGGGGTAGTGGATGAGGATTCTGATGTGCCCTGATGTTATCAGACAGGGCACTTTAAGAAGGAAAGATGTCCAAGACCAGGTAAGGATGGTGATGCTACGCCCATGGACAGCCGGGGAGCCCAGGTGTGTGGCCCAGAAACTAACCCTAAGGGATGGTGTCCAGGCAGTGACTCCTGTTTGGAGACATGGGACCCTACGAATAGGACTTCCTATTCATCTGGGTCAGTTGGACCTCAAGGCCCCTTCCCTGGATTGTGTCACTGCAGAGCTCCTTCGAGGCCCTGGCCAAGCAGACAGAGTGGCAGAGCTTAAACCTATTCAGGTACTTCCAGGAGGCTGTGTGGCTGTGGGAGGCACACCAGAGCATGCTGTCGGTGCAGGAGGTGGAACTCGAGAAGAGGATGGAGGAGCACCGGCAGAGAAACAGCCTGGAGAACCAGGTGCTCTGGTCCCTGGAGAACCCCAGAAGGAATGAGGGATGGACCATACTCAGGGTGCCAGCCGTCCCAGGCCAGCTCAGTGAACTCAACCACCATTCAGATGCCAAAAACCAAAAAAACCAACCAAACAAAAACACCATAAACAAAATTTAACTCAAAACAGATCCTAGCCCCAAAAGTAAAATCTTAAGCAGTAAAGCAGATAGGGAAATTGAGGCTTGCCTTGATCATGGGACCAGATGGAACTAGTGGAAATCTTGAACTAGGTCATAGCTATGGGGTTTTTTTGTTTTGTTTTGTTTTTATTTGCTTTGTTTGTTTTGTCTTTTTGAGATAGTCTCACTAAGTAGCTCAGGCTGGCCAGGAACTTGCTGTGTAGAACAGGTTGGCCTTGATTTTTTTTTTTTTCTTTTTTCTTTTGGCAGCATTGGGGTTTGAACTCAGGGTTTTGCACTTGTGAGGCTGGTTGCTCTACCACTTGAGCCACACATCCAGCCCATTTGATCCTCCTGTCTCAGCTTCCCAAGACTAGGATTACAGGTGTGAAACATGGTAACTAGCCACATGGCTGTTTTGAGTCTGAAACTAAGTCTGTTCTGTAAGAGAGTGCAAAAAAAGATAGACAGACACACTAAATGGGGGAGCATTTGGATTGTTAAAATAAGGAGGTGATCAAGGAATGATTTTATGAATGACAATTTGCTGCTATACAAAGAGAATGTTTTTGTTCATAGTGTTCAAAGAAGAGGAGAATAAAATGACAGACCTCACAGGGAATACATTTGATAGGCAAGGTACACTGACCACACAGTGAGTGAGTTCCAGAATTATTAACATTTAGATGCACAAGTAGGATGGAAGCAGGCCTCTTTGGAAAGTAAAGTCTAATTAAAGACTAAGGTGAACCTTTTTACTAGTGGTTTCCTAGGAGAAACTGGCTTGACCCCAACACAGCAGGTAAGGCTCCTTATACTAGAGGGAGGAGCTAGTGTAGGCTGGTGGCCCCGACGCTCCAATGCCTATGCCAGCCTGAGCTCTCCCAGTCTAGAGAGAAACAGTTGACAGTGATACCTGCTACACTCTGAACTCGCAAACTCTTGAGTTTATCTGTCTTTTGAAGTATAGTAGTTGGGATCAGTAACTTACATATGGGGACTGCTAAAGTGTGAGGGGAATGATGTGTACATCTTTAGTCCCCTGCCCCCACAGATTAGCTGGGCCCCACCTTACCAGCCCTCACAGGATGGGTGGTGGTGGTGTAGAAACTCAGCATGTGATATCAAGTATGGTCGGAGAGTGAGGAGCAGGTGCCTCAGGAATATGTAGCACGGGCCTGAGCAGGTTTGGGTGGGTGTGAGGGAGTTGGCCCTGAGAATCCCATCTGAGCTGGGGAAGTAAAATGGGCAGGAAAAAATATTCCAGGAACAGAGAAGAACCCAGAAGCCTGTACTGGAAAGAGTGGGAGCAGTTGCAGATTGTGGTGTCCTTTTTGTAGAAAAGGAAGTCACAGGTATGCCCCAGATGTGGAGACCTTGGTTTCAGCATCAAGGGCTGTGCACGTCATTTATAATCTGCAAGCTCCAAGAGATCATGTCTGCTTCCTTTTGTTTTGGGGTGGCTGCCAAGGCCCAGGAGGCCCAATTTGATAGACTCTTGGACCAATTGAGGCAACAAAGCCATGAGGAAGCACTGAGAACACACCTGGACAAGGCCAAAAATTTTCTGAAGAACATGAAATCCAGGTAGGCTGATCAGACCCCCAAAAAAGACAGGAAGGGAGGACCTGACTCATATTTAAGGTCACAGGCAGCCTGCACAGAAGCCTGGGGTTGTGCTCCTATGAAAGAAAGCTTAAGATAAAAACTCTGCCGCCAGCACTGGAGAACACTGTGGTCCTTTGCAATTCTTCTTGGGCTGACACAGAATCTTCCAGGGAGAATTTTGAAATTAGACGCTTCAAGGCAATGTAGTTTTAAAGATCAAGAACTTGGGCCTCCCTTGAAAAAATTTAAACATGTATGCTCTTTGTTAAGGAAGAAAAAAGGTCAACCACTACAAACACATAGATTTCCCCCCTCATTTCTACCCAACTATTCCTTTTTTATGGACACATACATTTAATACATATATACATATACATATGTGGTTTTAAAACGGGGTAGATTATACTATGAAATTTGTTCTATAACTGTGAATTTGTTTCAATTTTAACTGACTATATGTAATTTATTAATATAGATTTTATAATGATTTAGCCATCTCTCAATTAATTAGCTTTTTTGATTGGTTCTAACTTCTCTTTACAATACTGCAAATAGTTCTCTATAAACTTCCTGTATCTTTGTGCCTTTGTGCAACTAATTCTGTAAGGACCAGTCACAGAAATGGAATTGTACTCTAACTGATTGCAGTACTTAGATCCAGAAGTATAATTTTGGGCAAGTGTAACACCCTGAGTCTTGGTCTCCTTGTCTGAGAAACAGATAAAATTTCTCCTTCTTGGGATGTTTCAGGGTTTGATGGGGTAATGGTAAGTCTTTACCTACCTTGAACTTTTTCAAGGACAGGGTTAGCACAGTAGACAAGAAAAAGGACTTCACATTACAATCATGTATTTCTTGTATAATCAGAAAAATAGTAAAACAAACCAAGAACTGATTTTGTGAAAGGAACATCCACATAGCAATTGCCAGACCACAGACCACCACCTCCTTGGGATCAAGGGTGTGGCTCCTAGCTCAGGGATCCCACACCCAGTCAAGCCCCACTTAGATAGTGGTGTGACCTCCCTTTCTCCCAGGTATGAGAGTTTTCACCACCTCATGACCAAGGAAGTGATGGAGTACCCAGTGATCTTACTGGAAGAACTCAACTCCTACAGCTGCACCCTCAGCCAACATTTCTTTGTTCGTGAAATCTTTGAGCAGGTATGGAGAGGCACAGGATACCCCAACCATACATGAAGTAGCAAACGGGAGAGGATAACTTCCTGTCTGGTCTGCCTAGACTTTTGGGAGTCATCCCTAACACTGCAGGGTACAAATCCTGTCAGGACATCAAGGAGAAAACCTGAAAAAGACCATCTTTTTCAGTTTAAAAGGGGCTGACAGGCTCTGTGTTTGAATGGACTTATAATGAAAGACTAATTTCTATGATACTTTGAGTTCTATTTATCATACCTACGACTGCCGCATAACTCTCCTAAAATTGAACTCTGCTTACTCTCCACTCAGAAGCCCCTCCTCACCAACTCTGCCACCCCCACCAAGTCTAACTCACCTTCATCCCTAAGTGACCAGAGAGGCCCCACCAGAGGTTGGGGTGCTCCCCACCTTGACTTTCCCTGGCTCAGCAAAGTCATGACCCTTCCTGCATATACCTCCAACTTTCAGTCCTTCCTCAGCCTACTCCCTGTGCTGGGATCTTCTGTCTCCACACATCCTAAAGTCACTCATACTCCCAGTCTATTACCAGAAGCAAGGATCCCATCGTGCAGCCTAAGACCTCATCTCACCTTCCTCATTCCTGCCACCTCTCTGGTCTCTGAACATGCTTGTTCTTGGTTGCCATCAAACACTGGAGCTCAGAACACCCAACTAGAACATGTTTCTTGAAGAGCAAATATGCCTTACTAATTTTTATGCAACTTTGATTGCTCTTAGAATAGGGCCTCATGCATTATTCAGACACAATACATGCTCTTTTGGTTAAACATGAATCCCTGGAATGTGCTGGTTTGAATATCCCCAGAGTTTTTGCCCTTTTCCCACAAGCCCAGCCATACTCCTTCCTGGCCAGAGTGAAAATACTTGTGGTTGACACTGAACTTGGCCAAGTGTTTCCCACAGATATGGAATACCCATATCTGTGAGATTCTCCATCCTTGAAAATCTCTCCCCTTAGAGGGGATCCTAGTTCAGATCGCTAATAAATGGTCTCCAGCATACTTGGGTTGAAGTGGAGGCTCAGTCTATATGAAGGCAAGCTCATTGTTTGCCTTTGAAGTCATTCTGCTTGGTTGGATAAAAGGTGTGAACACTGTTAACAATTCCCCATTTCTCACAGGGGAAGATACTGAAGTCCATTGGGTTAAACGGATCTGTCCAAGGTCCTTTAACTTACATTTCTCTTCACTTTTCTCCAGCTCACTACCAAAAAAGTGTCCCAATGAGTTTTTATTCCATTGCTGTCCAGGATTTACTAGCCTGCTTCGAATTAAGAAAACCTGGTTCCTTGAATTGGAAATACCCTGATTGCCCCCCAATAAATGAAACTGGTCATGACCTACATTAGATTTTGGAGGGGAGGATCTTTTTACTTAAGAGAGGCAATACTTTTAGAAGTGGCACTCTGAAGAGAGGCAGTGTAGCTCCTTCAGTGACCCATGTTTTTTCCTTGTAGAACTTGGCCGGGGACATCATTTTCAAACTCAGGCAACCAGGTAACACTTTTACAATTCAAATGTGAGCCTTCCTGACTTTGCCCTTATACATCTGTGGAGTACGGACCCAATCCAGGTAACACTGGTCATTGTCTCCTTACACTTTGATGTTGGTCCCAACAGAAGCACATGAACAGCCCTTCCTGCGGAAAACAAGGAGACTGAAGAAAAAAGGAAGGACTAAAGTGGAAATAAGCAGAGCTGAGGAAAGTATAGGTAGAGAGACAGGTTCTGAAAGGTCAGAGGAGATAGAAGAAGAACAAGATCAAGAAATACAGTCCTGGGTAACTGATGAGGTGCTGAGCCAGCAGGAAAAGTCTGCTCAGAGTGACCTTATAGATGAGCCCAGAGAGGGCTCTACACAAAGACCAGAAGAAATGCAGGGTAAAGAAAAGGACTCCACAAAACTGATCCTAACCCAGGAAGATGTGAGGATTGAAGAAGAAAAGGAAGAGGAGACAGAGGAGGAAGAGGAATTTGAGAAGGAGGAGGAGGAGAATGAGGAGGAGAAGAAAGAAGAGGAGGAGGAGGAGAAGGAAGAGGAAGAGGAGGAGGCAAAAGAGGAGGAGGCCAAGGAGGAGAGGTGAAAGGGGAGGAAGCAAATGAGGAGGAAGTGAATGAGGAGGAGGCAAAGACAGAGAAAGAGAGTTTATCTGTGGGTGAGGTAAGTCATCAACTGGTTCATTCTTGGATATGGAGAACATTTGCTATTTCATTCTGTGTGTATTCCTCATTTAAGCTGGGGTCCCCAGTGGCCCAGTCTTCATAGAGGTACATATAACAAAAACATTTATTCCTTTTGACGTTTGTCAACACATATCCAATTTTTCCTTCACAGCAGTGATTTTTTAAATTCATCTTTCTCTCCTCATGTCCACGTAGGCTACTCTGGAGTCCCTCCTCAACTACATGACTTTCCTCATCCCTCCCTTGGGCCTCTCTTTCTCAGCTGCTCTATATTACAGATTAACTCAGCCTCTCCTGCTTTACCCCAGCGTGTTTACTCTTTCTTCGTATTCACTCTCTGTGTAATACAAAAAATGCGACAAAAATCTTTGAGTGCTGGGCAATGACTCATATTAAAAGACTTTGTTCTCAAAACACATTCAAACTCCCAACACCATAGCTTAAACTTCATGATGACATTATGACAAAAGATTCATTTCCCATATTGTTGTGGAAGAGTTGGTATATGAGACTTCTTTTTGTGCAAAGATCCCTAACTCAAATGCCCACAGGTGTGTTAGAGAAAAGGGATGGAGGCTAAATGAAAAATAATGACTAGTAGGGAGGACAGTGGTTATTGTCCATAATGTCAGGGCATGAAGCCCTGAGTTCAAACCCCAGTATCAGCCCCAGCCAAAGATGCTGTGTGGGAATGCAGGCTCTGAATTGACATGTATTCTAATGTTTTAAGAGAAATCAGGAACTCGGATCTTCATGTGGCACTTCTCAATTTTAAAAGCACTATGGAGCAGGATATATAGCTCAATAGTAGAGTGCTTGCCTAGCTTGCAAAAGGCCCTTGGTTCAATCCCCATGCCACAGACAAACAAACAAAAATAAATAAAAACACAGTGTGTGTGTGTGTGTGTGTGTGTGTGTGTGTGTGTGTGTGTGTTGGGGGAACAATTTTTTTTTCTTTTTCCCCCTTCATTTTTTATTAGTGTATGTATCATACAGTTTCAATTTTGTTTTATTATTCATATGTGCATACAAGGCTTGGTTCATTTCTCCCCCCTGCCCCCACCCCCTCCCTTACCACCCACTCCACCCCCTCCCTCTCCCCTCCCAATACCCAGCAGAAACTATTTTGCCCTTATTTCTAATTTTGTTGTAGAGAGAGTATAAGCAATAATAGGAAGGAACAAGGGTTTTTGCTGGTTGAGATAAGGATAGCTATACAGGGAGTTGACTCACATTGATTTCCTGTGCATGGGTGTTACCTTCTAGGTTAATACTTTTTGATCTAACCTTTTCTCTAGTACCTGTTCCCCTTTTCCTATTGGCCTCAGTTGCTTTTAAGGTATCTGCTTTAGTTTCTCTGCTGTTAAGGGCAACAAATGCTAGCTAGTTTTTTAGGTGTCTTACCTATCCTCACCCCTCCTTGTGCTCTCGCTTTTATCATGTGCTCTAGTCCAATCCCCTTGTTGTGTTTACCCTTGATCTAATGTCCACATATGAGGGAGAACATACGATTTTTGGTCTTTTGGGCCAGGCTAACCTCACTCAGAATGATGTTCTCCAATTCCATCCATTTACCAGCGAATGATAACATTTCGTTCTTCTTCATGGCTGCATAAAATTCCATTGTGTATAGATACCACATTTTCTTAATCCATTCGTCAGTGGTGGGGCATCTTGGCTGTTTCCATAACTTGGCTATTGTGAATAGTGCCGCAATAAACATGGGTGTGCAGGTGCCTCTGGAGTAACCTGTGTCACAGTCTTTTGGGTATATCCCCAAGAGTGGTATTGCTGGATCAAATGGTAGATCGATGTCTAGCTTTTTAAGTAGCCTCCAAATTTTTTTCCAGAGTGGTTGTACTAGTCTACATTCCCACCAACAGTGTAAGAGGGTTCCTTTTTCCCCGCATCCTCGCCAACACCTGTTGTTGGTGGTGTTGCTGATGATGGCTATTCTAACAGGGGTGAGGTGGAATCTTAGTGGTTTTAATTTGCATTTCCTTTATTGCTAGAGATGGTGAGCATTTTTTCATGTGTTTTCTGGCCATTTGAATTTCTTCTTTTGAGAAAGTTCTGTTTAGTTCACTTGCCCATTTCTTTATTGGTTCATTAGTTTTGGGAGAATTTAGTTTTTTAAGTTCCCTATATATTCTGGTTATCAGTCCTTTGTCTGATGTATAGTTGGCAAATATTTTCTCCCACTCTGTGGGTGTTCTCTTCAGTTTAGAGACCATTTCTTTTGATGAACAGAAGCTTTTTAGTTTTATGAGGTCCCATTTATCTATGCTATCTCTTAGTTGCTGTGCTGCTGGGTTTCATTGAGAAAGTTCTTACCTATACCTACTAACTCCAGAGTATTTCCTACTCTTTCCTGTATCAACTTAGAGTTTGGGGTCTGATATTAAGATCCTTGATCCATTTTGAGTTAATCTTGGTATAGGGTGATATACATGGATCTAGTTTCAGTTTTTTGCAGACTGCTAACCAGTTTTCCCAGCAGTTTTTGTTGAAGAGGCTGCTATTTCTCCATCGTATATTTTTAGCTCCTTTGTCAAAGATAAGTTGGTTATAGTTGTGTGGCTTCATATCTGGGTCCTCTATTCTGTTCCACTGGTCTTCATGTCTGTTTTTGTGCCAGTACCATGCTGTTTTTATTGTTATTGCTTTGTAATATAGTTTGAAGTCAGGTATTGTGATACCTCCTGCATTGTTCTTTTGACTGAGTATTGCCTTGGCTATTCGTGGCCTCTTGTGTTTCCATATAAATTTAACAGTAGATTTTTCAATCTCTTTAATGAATGTCATTGGAATTTTGATGGGAATTGCATTAAACATGTAGATTACTTTTGGGAGTATCGACATTTTTACTATGTTGATTCTACCAATCCATGAGCATGGGAGATCTCTCCACTTTCTATAGTCTTCCTCAATCTCTTTCTTCAGAAGTGTATAGTTTTCCTTGTAGAGGTCTTTCACATCTTTTGTTAGGTTTACACCTAGGTATTTGATTTTTTTTGAGGCTATTGTAAATGGAATTGTTTTCATACATTCTTTTTCCATTTGCTCATTGTTAGTGTATAGAAATGCTAATGATTTTTCTATGTTGATTTTATATCCTGCTACCTTGCTATAGCTATTGATGATGTCTAGAAGCTTCTGAGTAGAGTTTTTTGGGTCTTTAAGGTATAGGATCATGTCGTCTGCAAATAGGGATATTTTGACAGTTTCTTTACCTATTTGTATTCCTTTTATTCCTTCTTCTTGCCTAATTGCTCTGGCTAGGAATTCCAGTACTATGTTGAATAGGAGTGGAGATAGTGGGCATCCTTGTCTGGTTCCTGATTTTAGAGGGAATGGTTTCAGTTTTTCTCCGTTAAGTATAATGCTGGCTGTAGGTTTGTCATATATAGCTTTTATAATGTTGAGGAACTTTCCTTCTATTCCTAGTTTTCTTAGAGCTTTTATCATGAAATGATGTTGGATCTTATCAAAGGCTTTTTCTGCATCTATTGAGATGATCAAGTGGTTTTTGTCTTTGCTTCTGTTAATGTGGTTTATTACGTTTATTGATTTTCGTATGTTGAACCACCCCTGCATCCCTGGGATGAAGCCTACTTGGTCGTGGTGAATAATCTTTTTGATGTGTTGTTGAATTCGGTTTGCCATTATTTTGTTGAGGATTTTTGCATCAATGTTCATTAAGGAGATTGGCCTATAGTTCTCCTTTTTGGAGGTGTCTTTGCCTGGTTTTGGGATAAGTGTAATACTGGCTTCATAAAATGTGTTTGGCAGTTTTCCTTCCCTTTCTATTTCATGGAACAGTTTAAGGAGGGTTGGTATCAGTTCTTCTTTAAAGGTCTGATAGAATTCAGCAGAGAATCCATCAGGTCCTGGACTTTTCTTTTTGGGGAGACTCTTGATTGCTGCTTCAATTTCATTTTGTGTTATAGGTCTATTCAGGTGATTAATTTCCTCTTGGTTCAGTTTTGGATGATCATATGTATCTAGAAATCTGTCCATTTCTTTAGATTTTCAAATTTATTTGAATATAGGTTCTCAAAGTAGTCTCTGATGATTTCCTGGACTTCCATGGTGTTTGTTGTTATCTCCCCTTTTGCATTCCTGATTCTACTAATTTGGGTTTTTTCTCTCCTCATTTTAGTCAGGTTTGCCAGGGGTCTATCGATCTTGTTTATTTTTTCAAAGAACCAACTTTTTGTTTCATTAATTCTTTGTATGGTTTTTTTGGTTTCTATTTCATTGATTTCAGCTCTTATTTTTATTATTTCTCTCCTTCTATTTGTTTTGGGATTTGCTTGTTCTTGTTTTTCTAGGAGTTTGAGATGTATCATTAGGTCATTGATTTGGGATCTTTCAGTCTTTTTAATATATGCACTCATGGCTATAAACTTTCCTCTCAAGACTGCCTTAGCTGTGTCCCATAGGTTCCGGTAGGTTGTGTTTTCATTTTCATTGACTTCCAGGAACTTTTTAATTTCCTCTTTTATTTCATCGATGATCCATTCTTCATTAAGTAATGAGTTATTTAGTTTCCAGCTGTTTGCATGTTTTTTGTCTTTACTTTTGTTGTTGAGTTCTACTTTTACTGCATTGTGATCAGATAGTATGCACGGTATATTTCTATTTTCTTATATTTGCTGAGGCTTGCTTTGTGCCCTAGGATATGATCTATTTTGGAGAAGGTTCCATGGGCTGCTGAGAAGAATGTATATTGTGTAGAGGTTGGATGAAATGTTCTGTAGACATCTACTAGGTCCATTTGATCTATTGCATATTTTAGATCTTGGATTTCTTTATTGATTTTTTGTTTGGATGACCTATCTATTGATGATAATGGGGTGTTAAAGTCTCCCACAACCACTGTGTTGGCGTTTATATATGCTTTTAGGTCTTTCAGGGTATGTTTGATGAAATTGGGTGCGTTGACATTGGGTGCATACAGGTTGATAATTATTATTTCCTTTTGGTCTATTTCCCCTTTTATTAGTATGGAATGTCCTTCTTTATCTCATTTGATCAATGTAGGTTTGAAGTCTACTTTGTCAGAGATAAGTATTGCTACTCCTGCCTGTTTTCGGGGGCCATTGGCTTGGTAAATCTTCTTCCAGCCTTTCATCCTAAGCATATGCTTATTTCTGTCGGTGAGATGGTCTCCTGTAAGCAACAAATTGTTGGATCTTCTTTTTAATCCATTTTGTCAAACGGTGTCTTTTGATGGGTGAATTAAGTCCATTAACATTAAGCGTTAGTACTGATAGGTATGTGGTGATTCCTGCCATTTAGTTGTCTTAGTTGTTTGAAGGTTTGATTGTGTGTACCTAACTTGATTACTCTCTACTGTCTTGCTTTTTCTTTTCCTGTGGTTTGGTGCTGCCTGCCTTTTCATGGTTAAGTTGGGTGTCACTTTCTGTGTGCAGAATCCCTTGCAGAATCTTTTGTAATGGTGGCTTTGTGGTCACATATTGTTTTAGTTTCTGCTTATCATGGAAGACTTTTATTGCTCCATCTATTTTGAATGATAGCTTTGCTGGGTAGAGTATCCTGGGGTTGAAGTTATTTTCATTCAGTGCCCGGAAGATCTCACCCCACGCTCTTCTTGCTTTTAATGTTTCTGTTGAGAAGTCTGCTGTGATTTTGATGGGTTTACCTTTGTATGTTACTTGTTTTTTCTCTCTTACAGCCTTCAATATTCTTTCCTTAGTTTCTGAACTTGTTGTTTTAATGATGATATGTCGTGGAGTAGTTCTATTTTGATCTGGTCTGTTTGGTGTCCTGGAGGCCTCTTGCATCTGTATGGGAATATCTTTCTCTAGATTTGGGAAATTTTCCGTTATTATTTTGTTGAATATATTACGCATTCCCTTCGCTTGCACCTCTTCTCCTTCTTCGATGCCCATGATTCTCAAGTTTGGTCTTTTGATGGAGTCAGTGAGTTCTTGCATTTTCTTTTCACAGGTCTTGAGTTGTTTAATTAATAGTTCTTGGTTTTTCCTTTAATTACCATTTCATCTTCAAGTTCTGAGATTCTGTCTTCTGTTTGTTCTATTCTGCTGGATTGGCCTTCCGTTTTGTTTTGCAGTTCTGTTTCGTTCTTTTTTCTGAGGTTTTCCATATCCTGGCAGTTTTCCTCTTTAATGTTGTCTATTTTTGTCCTGAGTTCATTTATCCATTTATTCATTGTGTTCTCTCTTTCACTTTGGTGTTTATACAGTGCTTCTATGGTTTCCTTTATTTCTTCTTTTGCTTTTTCAAATTCTCTATTTTTGTTGTCTTGGAATTTCTTGAGTGTCTCCTGTACATTTTGGTTGACCCTATCCAGTATCATCTCTATAAAATTCTCATTGAGTACTTGTAGTATGTCTTCTTTTAAATTATTCTTGTGGGCTTCATTGGGTCCTTTGGCATAGTTTATCTTCATTTTGTTGGAGTCTGGATCTGAGTTTCTGTTCTCTTCATTCCCCTCTGGTTCCTGTACTAATTTTTTGCTGTGGGGAAACTGGTTTCCCTGTTTTTTCTGTCTTCCCGTCATTGTCTTTGGTGTTGTTACTGTCCCTGTACTGTGTGCAATTAAGTATTTTCTAGCTTGTAATAATAACAATGGTAATATTTAGAATGGAAGGGTGAGCTGAGATGGAAAGCAAGAAGTTAAAGAAAAGGGGAAAACAAATATACAGACAAGAGGGAGAAGCAGAACAAGGTATCAGACTAGAAAGTTTCAAAGGTATAAACAGGGAGTGTTAGTGTACTAATCAACAGTAAGCTGAACAGACATTAGAGAGACAGAGAGAGGATTGAAAATCTAAGATAAAAAAAATAAAAACTAAGTAAATGAAAGAAATATCTATTTATAAAAATGAATTAAAATAAAATGGAAAATAGAAAATTAAAAAAAAAAACTTCCAAGTTTATATGCAATGCAGTTTCAGTCTTAATAATTTGGGTATCCATCTCAATCTCCAGTCCTGGAGTTGGTGCCTCAGATGTTGTTCTGTAGTTGTCTCATCAAAGGGGATGCATAAAGTAGAACAAAACTACACACTCACACACACACACACACACACACACAAAAACCCCACCAAGTGTCCCCAGTTCAAATGCAATACAGTTTCAGTAAGTTTTTTGGCTTGCAGGTGTAATTCGGTTGTTCTCTCATCAAAGGTAGGGAGAAAAAGAAAAAAAAAGAGTCTGGAGGCAGTTCTGAGAGTGGTATCTGCAACTGTGGCTTGCCTGCCTGCTGCTCTCAGCCTGTAGCTGGCGGCGTTATTTATGCAGATCTCTGGGGTGAACTTAGCACTCACCTGGTCCCACAGGCTTTGTTTGCTCAGAGTTCTCCTGTGCGGGAGCCTCTGCTACAGGCTTTCCATTGGGGGAACAATTATAGGAAATTTGACCCACAGGCTTACAATCTGTGATGTCAAGTGATTGGCATCCCCAAGTCTATTGAATGATGTTGTTTCTCAACCTGTACAGGCTGAAGCCAAGGAAGAGAGTCTGGAGGAGGTATACTATGAGGACATGGAGTCCTTCACAACCTCCAGTGGAAACACTTATTTTGTCTTCCTATCTCTGGAAGAAGAAGAAAAGAGTCTCAGGAGACCCCATTCCAGCCTCTTGGCAACTCTCAACAATACTTCCACCTCCAGGTTCATAGAAAAAGTGATAGTTCCAACCAGACTTATTTTAAAAATTAAGAAACGGTAAGTAGAAAACCCTTGTATCTCATTCTCTTGCTCTGAGTCTAATTCACAAGGTGATAGCTAGAAAGATTAAAAATGTAGGTAACTGAGGGAGGGGAGGGATGAAAACACAATAAAAGATAACAAATATCCAAGAATTACTTGCAGACACAGATATCCTCAGTGAGAGAGACCCCCTGCATCCCAGGATGCTCTGTGGGCCTGGACTTAGTACACAGAAACAGTTTTCCCTACCACATACTCCTGGATTCTAATTCCTAGTTCATCTGTGGTTTTAGGGTTTTTTTCCCTCATTAAAACATTCTATATATAGAAACCATAGGTGTGAGGGGCGGAGACAGCTCAAATGGTAGAGCTCATGCCTAGCAAGCATGAAGCCCTGAGTTCAAACTCCAGTATCGGGGCTGGAGGCATGGCTCAAGAGGTAGAGTGCCTGCCTAGCAAGCTCAAGGTCCTGAGTTCAAACCCCAGCACCATAAAAAAAAAACAAACAACCCAGTATCACCCCCACCAAAAGGCCATAGGTATGAATATATCATGTATAGTATTTTGCACTGATTATTTGACACATTCATTGCAGAAAATAGAAAAAGAACAATGAAGAATAAAATATGGCCTGTAATGTTTTTTGTTTTAAGATAAGGTCTCACTATATACCCCAGGCTGACCTGCAACTCACAGTGCATTCCAGGTTTGTGTAGAACTCCGAGTCCTCCTGCCTTAGCCCCCAAAGTATTAGGATTGCAGATGTAGGCCAGCACACCTGGCCTGACCCATAATTTCAGCAGAGAATTTACCCCTCCTAACTCCCAAGTTTCTGTGCTTTTGTGTTAGGGTTTGGACCAAACATGCAAATTTGCATTTGACTTTTGGGTGGCCCTTCCATTGCCCACCTGCCTTATGATGATGACTAATCAGCTAGTTGTCATCAGGCTAGTCTACATTAGCGTGAGGCCAGAGACAGGGAGCAGAAGGGGTAACATCAGCCTCTGGGCTCTTTCTCCTGTACTTCAGAATTTTCTCACTTCTGAAAAGTCTCTTGACTCAAATGTCATCTTCTCCTTCCTCCACCACATGCCATCACCTTTTATATCCATAACCAACAGGACAAAGACCAGTAAGGGGTCACAAAAAGAGCCACTACTTATGGAGCGTAAGTAATTCTCTCACTGTGAACTAACTCCATTTTACAGATGAAGAAACTGAAGGTCTTGGAGTTAGTCACTTAGCCAAGATCTTCAAGAAAGAAAGCAGTTAGATCCAAGACATGAATCTAGACCATATAATTCCAGAATGTGGCACCAACCACTGTGCAATCTGGCCTGTTACAAACCAGAAAAAAGTTTGTATCAAACTGAATTTGCCTATTGAAGGCAAAGGATAACATACATACTAAAAGTATAGGAGTCGTAAGTACATAGTTTTCAAATATCCCCAAGGAAGATCCTCTGTACCCAGAACCCACAAGAAATAGAACCATTCCAACCCTCCAGGAACTCACTCATCCAGGTACCTATCCACCTACCCAGTAGTTACAGCCATTGAAATGTACCCATCGTCAGTCACTGTCCTCTCTTCCAAGGGTAAATATTCTAACCCTCAAGTTTTTTGGTTGGTTTTGAACTTTGTTTAAATGAAATCATTTAGAACTCACTCCTTTATGTTGGACCTTTCATTATGTTTGCAAGATGCATACAAATTCTTGAATATGGATAGAGTTCATTTTTTGTTTCTGTATGGTATCCCACAAAAGCATATAATCTATTTTATTTATCCATTCCGTTGATGCACATTTGGGTCTTTTCCAGTTTGAGGGTGTATCAACATGCTTCTCTGAATGCTCTTATACAAGTCTTTTGGAGAGCATATACACGCATTTCTGTTACACATGTAACTAAGGGTAGAATTGTTGAGTCGTAAAGTATGTGCATGTCCGTCTTAAGATAAAGCAAAAAGCTATTACCAAAGGCTCATCAAAAGCAGCTTTAGTTTTAACATTTTTACAGTTTACAAGAGTGTAAAAACTTCCAGTTGCTCCATATACTCAACAACAGGTGTTATTGTCAGAGATTTTTATTTCAGCCATTCTGGTGTAATTGTAATAGTGTCTCATTGTGGGTTTAATTTGCATTTTCCTGGTGAGTAATGATGCTTGTTCCTTTTCATACACTTGTTGGTCATTTGGGAGGGTGTGTGTGTTGTGTGTGTGTGTGTGTGTGTGTGTGTGTGTGTATTTGTGTGTACGATGCCTACTTTTGTCAATTTTTTCCTGGTGATTTATCTGTCTGAGCCCTAGGTCAGAGGCTACTATTGTTAGTCCTCAGTGGGATTACAATATGTCAGGCCATTCACCTCAATACACCCAATGAAATAGACAAGTAGTGGCTGGGTATGGCGGATCATGCCTGTAATCCCAGCTGCTCAGGAGCTGGAGACTGGGAAGATTGTGGTTCGAGGCCAACCTAGACAAAAAGTTAATGAGACCCCCCCATATCAACCAATAAAGTTGGACATGGTGGCATCCCAGCTACTGTGTCATCCCAGCTACTGTGCAGGCGTAAGTAGGTGGGTCATGGTCCAGACCAGCCCAGACAAAAAACATGAGAGTCTATTTGACAAATAACTAAAGCAAAGAGGCTTTGGGGCATGACTTAAGCAGTAGAGTGCCTGCCTAGCAAGTGCAAAACCCTGAGTTCAAACCCCAGTACTACAAAAAAATATAGATACAGACATAGTGATAGAGATAGAGGTATATAGATATAGATGTAGACTAGTGGTAAAGGTCAGAGAAGAAGACTTATTAAAGCACTACACACACAGGAAGGAGAAGAATAAGCAGTACCCCATCTTTGGGACACTAACAGGAGTTTTAGGATAAATGGAGGAAGGATTGGGGCAAGGGGTAAAAGGTATGCATAATTAAGCAGTCCTAGTCAAAGGTGTGGTCTAATTGATCATTATCTCAGGATTGGTCAGGTAGGACCTTGTCATGATAAGAAAGTCATTGGTGCCTGGAAAGGGGTAGATTCAACTCTTGTTATAAGGTATTTATCCATGAGTCCTTTTGTTCCTGGAATCCAAGGTGACTGCAGGAGAGAATGGCTCAGAGCAAAGGAGACAGATACAAAATGAGGTGGAGTATTTGCAGGCCCAAGTAAAGAGTCAGTGCTTCTAAGTACCTGTCATAATCCCCCTCTCCCTCTTATTTGAACATTTCTGTCTTGAGGGAAGTAGGGTGTTAACCAATCTGGCTTTGTAGATTTCCTGACTGGGTAATAAACTAGGACATGAGAGCAGTACGACTCATAATGGCTGGAGCATATAAGTGAAAAGAACTAGTTGTTTAAGCCTAGGAGCAGAAGCACCATCAGAAAGCAGAATATGGGAGGGAGCCAAAGTCAGAGGATGTCCAATTAAATGAAGTTGCATACAGAGTCCTCTTTCCTTTTCTTTTTAAATATGGAATGCATCACGAATTTGTGTGTCATCCTTGCACAGGGGCCATGCTAATCTCTGCATCGTTCCAATTTTAGCATATGTGCTGCTGAAGTGAGCACCTCTTTTCTTTTAAATAACCGCACAAGCTACTAAAAGTATGTTTGAGTCAGTGAAAAGCTTTTTTTTCTTTTTTTGTCTCTACTTAAATAGAAGGCCTTTGCTAAAGTTATGAGTTCACCTCCTTTGTGGAGGTGCCTGGTGGGGAGGGTGTTAGTGTCAGAAGCCTGCCTCTATGACCTCTTGGCTTTAGTTACTTTTGGAAGGGTTGGCACAAGTAATTCCATTTCTGTCATTGGGTTTTTTGGTTTTGGTTTTGGTTTTTTGAGATAGGGTCTTGCTGCATATCCCAGGCTGTATGATCCTCATGCTGCTACCTCCCAAGTACTAGGATTACAGCTGTGTGTCACTGTGCCTGGGATACCCCATTTTGACAGATTCTCCCCTTGCCTCTGAACAATTCTGATAGTGTCTTCCCTTGTCACTGAACAACTCTTCTCTGAAGACATCACTGGTCAACCATGATGTGGTTTGGTTTTACTCATCTCTCTCTCTTGCCAGGATGAGATTTGTCCCAGTTGGTCTGATCTGATCCCATGACATGGGCAGGGAGCAAGAGATAGCAAGGCATCAGTGCCAGTAAGACCCTTTTTAGCAAAATTCAAGTAACTAAGGAGTTTAGAAGGAGTTGTTCTTAGGCTGGATTTCATTCTTAAGTTTAATTCTGTGTGTCCTGTAGGTGATGTCCTAATATCTCAAAATACTGCTCCAGAGTTTTTTGTTAAAAATTGTACTTCTAAAGAATGTCATCAGCCAACAGCTACAGAATTTTAGCAGGAAAATACACAACAAAACCAAGAAGAGACAATATTTAAAGAAAAACTAATTTGTTTGAAAAATCAGTATTTGTTAGAGTCTTTTTTTCATGAGCTTGATTGCAATGCTTTAGAAAAGGGTAAAAAAACTGCACAGTCAAGACAGAATAGCCACAATTTGAATTATGAAGAAAGTTTAGCAATTGACAAAACACTCTAGTTATTTCCACTGCATACAGCATTTTAGGAAAATAATTATGATTGACAGTATTATGTCAAGCACTCATTATCTTCTCAAAAATATATTTACATTTTTAGTGTAAAGAATGACATAACTTTTATCTGTATCTCGTCAATAATAGGTTTCTTTTATACATTTTGTGTTTCAAGACCAAATGAAAAAAATTCTAAATGAAATAAAATATACTCGTTGGCCCTAGATGACCAATGTCTGATCCTTTTAATTATTAGAGTGGCACTGTGTTTGGAAATATCTAATTGCCCTGATACAGTTAGAAGCACATGAACACAAGTCTACCACTAACAATTTTTAGTTTGGAGGATGCCAGCTTGGTAAAGTGTTTTCCTAAGTTTTGCATTTTACAAGGCTTATATACTTGGGGAACAGAAATACATTTAACATATATAGGATCCAGCAACAATTAGCATCACAGCTATGCAGAAGTCCTATATACTAATTTAATACCTACTTTTGAAGAGAATTTTAGAATCTCTGACTTGGTAGGAAAATAGGTCTATAGCACTAACAAAAATCAAATTTAGACCTCTACAAGTTTAGGGACACAATGCTAGTAACCACAAGTCCATCTCATATGTATAGTAACAAAATGCTTAATCAAGGCAAATAGATGTAACCAGGTTTTAAATAGCAGGACTGCCCAAATATCATAGTACTTTTTTCCATCCGAATGGTACTAATTACAAATAGCAGAAATGCCAAAAGTTTTATTGGTCATTTTATATGTTGAAGCTTCAGATTTAATGCATGTTGTATAAGAGAGCACTTGTTGGTCACCTTACATGCATTAAACCTACATGCCTTTAACTCTGCTAACACTAGCTAAAGTTCAGACACATAGATCTATGCATTTCTGGTCACAGACATAAAGGGTGTTAAATGCACTAGAACCTCATAAAGTAATTGTCCATAAACTTTTCATTTAAAAGACTTTGACATAAAAAGATATTTAAATGAACTCTGACTCTGTTAAGATTCAGTTTCCAAATAGTCAAAGGCCTGATAAAATCAGCAGGAAACACAAGCATTTATTTTGATAAAACACAAAATCTTTGTCCTTTAAGCCAGGTTTTTGCAGACATAGAGATTAGGTTCTAGTTTTACATCAGTGCATTAAGTTTTGATCTTAGAAAATCCTTTTGATCAGATCCTGTCTGGGGGTTGTCACCAGCAGGGTGGGGAGGTATAAGGAAAGAGTGCAGGAGGTGAATGTGGTGGAAATACTATGTACTCATGTATGAAAATGGAAAATGAGTTCTGTTGAAGCTGTTCTAAGAATGGGGGGAGAGGGGATAAAGAAGAATGATGCACGGGGTGAATTTAACTAAGATACATTGTAAGCACTTTTGTGAATGTCATAATGTATACCCAGTACTACAATAATAGGCAATAAAAACTTAGAAAAAAGGAAAAATCCTTTTTATAACTTTTTCATTATAGGCAATTTAATCACATACATAAACTTTTCATATGCTCTATCTTTTATACACTTTTTAAGACACACTCATTCACTTCTGCAACATTATTGAGCCTCCTGGTTTTTTGTCCCTTGCCTTCTTTTTCCATTTTGGAACATCCCTTTTCTACTAGCTACCAAAACAACAATACAATAGAGAAATGGGCAAAAGACATCAATGGAGTACACAAAAAAGGAAAATTAAGTAATCTTAAACATATGAAAATATGCTCAGTCTCAGTCAATTAAAATATGTAATGATATACTGTAAGGCTGTGGATAAACAAGAATTACTATTTATTGCTAATGGGAGTACAAGTCCCTCCAATGGAAATAGCTTGGCCATATCTACCAGAACCCAAAATTTATTTTAACCTTTGATCCATCAATTCTAGTTCAGGGCATTCATCTTACAGAAACACCTCTACACTTGACATATGTACAAGGTTATTCACACAGCCTTCTCCATGAGAACAAAAGGTTGGAAACCACCCAATGTCCTCTAGCAATGGTCTGGGTGAATAGACGATGGTTCATACACATAATGAGATACAATGGACTTGGGAAATAAAATGAGAAGGTGTGAAAGGGGGGAGCACTCTGAGTCTCAATATGAAAAGATTTTATTGATAATGATAATTGGCAGTGTGATTGACCACTGCTCATCTCTCCCCAGACTTCGAGTAGGCTTCTTTGAACACCTTGAGAAGTGGTTTGACCAATGTGCTCTCAATGTCCGAGTCACCGTGGCTACTAAGATTGATGAGCTAGATTCAGAACTGGAGCTTCGTCTGCACCTGCACAAGCCAAGAGTTCAGCACGTTGAGAGGGATATCCACAATGTCAGAGCAGGTGCAACCCTGCTTGGGAAGGCCCATCCTGCCCCATGTCCTGTGACTCCATTTTTTGTTAACTGTCCCAGTTCTCCCCATGCTATTAGCAAGTTATCATCACACCTTGAAAAATGTGCATGAGGGTTTCTATGTCCTTGACTTGCAGAGAAAGATAGTTAGTACCTGAAATCTTTTTTAAAGAATTCTTTAAAAAAAAAGAATGCTAGAGGCTGAAAATGAAGAGTGTCAACCTGCTGTAGCTTTTGAGTTTCAGATCTTCTCGCATGCCTGTTAGATACACACCTGCACGGGCATGCTCTACAGGTGAATCCTTGGCTCAGGGTCAGAGCTCTCAGGCTCAACTTCTCTGAATTTGTGGCTCTGGGCCAGTCATCAGACCTCTCTAATGTTTCCCTGCAGAAGGGGTTTGGAGGTGGTATAATGGAATCATGAGCACCTGGCATAAGACACAGCCCCCCCCAAAGGGGAAGCCATTATTTCCATTTTTTGTCATTTATCATACTTTAAAAGGCATGCCATTTCTGTCTTAGGTAAGCTCCATTAATGGGTGGAGGCACAATTTTAGTAGACTCCTTCCATGACCCCTGGAAAACCCCTCGGTTTTCTCTGGAATCATATTTCAAGCTCCACCCTAGGCCAACTAGTGGAGAGACCCCATCTGATTGTATCCAAACTCCTGTTGCCTAGAGGAGTGAAGGATGTGTAAGCAGACAACAGGCTTCCAGTCCCAATGCTTGCATCCTTGGGCACCTTGTCCAACATTTGGAACCTCATTGTCCTCACCTGGAAAATGTGTGCACTGAATGCACTGAGTAATGAAGACTCTATGTTCACCACAGAGTAGAAGTTCCCTGAGGGCTGGTTTCCTTTGCTGTTCTGGTTCCTAGCCCTATGTACAGCATAGAAACTCAGGCCAGAGAAATGAAGTCCCAGCATCACTCCAGACAGTAAGAGAGTCATGGGTGATCTGGAGCTTTCTGCTTGCTCTAAAGGCCAGTAATGGGGTTTTGGAAGTCCAGTCTTGTTCTTTCTACTCCACTTTGAAAGCCAGTTGGAATTTGGGCCTTTACACACGAGCATCCGCCAATGAAAAGAAACAAACTTGGACTGCCCAGTTTGTGCATGTTTTTGTACCCCCCCAGGCCCTTCTCACCTAAATTTCAGCACTTTTAAACACCCCTCACTTATCCACCCTACTCCTAGGCTACTCCCTGGGACTCTCCATCTCCTTGGCTTTGCTCAGGGAGGGGGCTACCAATGGGGAGTTCCTGACTCCAGCAGATCCTCCTCTCCAGTGAGAGACCCTGGGGCAGGCTTGATCTGTGATCAGAACCCATTCCCAGTCCTAGGGCAGGGCAAGGGACCTTGACCCTCATTTCATGGTCTCAGCTCTGTAGCTGGCATGGGAGTGGTAGTGGCTGGGCACTCTTCCAAGAAACGAATGGATCCCAGAGGGCTGCAGCTCTCCTTACCCTCTTCCAGCTGAGCTCTTGCTTCACCAAAAGCGGTTGGACAGCCACTGCACTGGAGTGATCGAGACACTGAGGAAGGAGAGGCTGATGTTCTGCCAGTTCCAAGAAGAGCAAACAATGAGGAGCAAAAACTTCCGCCGTAAGATTTTTGATATGGAGCACATCTTCTTGAATGCCACCAAGAGCCAAAAGTAAGGAATCCAGGAATCTCCTTCCCCAGCCAAATGACTGTAAAAGTAAAGCCAGACTGCTGCTTGCAAGAAGGAGAAGGTGCTTGGGAATCTGTTTTGGAGCTAACCTCTTCCCAAGCATCAAAGAGCCAAACTCTGTGGGCAGCATCTGGTGTAGGGGGGCAGGCATGAGCAGCCAGAAAGATAAGTGGGTTCACACACACAATCAGCATGCAAAGGTGCAGATAATGCACCCTGAAATGTCCATGATGAGAAAGACCACTTCCTTCAAGGAGGGTCAGGAAAGGCTTCCTGTAGGAGGGGGCATTTACTATGAACCCAGAGGTACCTGGCTTGAGATGGAGGAAGGTGGCAGGGATCAAGTCCTCAAATCAGACAAGGAACACTGGCCAAGCTTGGGTTAGGCTTCAGGGAGGTCACTCAGAGATGTGAAATGAAGGCCTCAGGTCACAAGAAGGACACTCGACCTACACAGGGACAGCTGGGTATGGTGACTTTGTTGCAAAGAGGAAATTTTTCAGGGAATTCTCTGGGGAAGTGAACCATGTTGCTGGGGGGGTCAGAGTGTTTGCTGGAGAGGGGGATAAGGATCCAGCAGGACCCGAGACTCTTTTACCAATTTGGTGGCAGAGATGAGAGGGAGGAAAGGATACAGTAAACCCAGGGTGACAGTCTCCCACACACCGGCATTTTAAGCATCCTTTCCAGTGCTCCTTTGCTACACAGAGAAGCTGGGCAGTGGTTCTGGTGGTCCACAGCTGGGCACTGTGTGCAAAACTCAAGCAGCATCCCAGGATGCCTACTCAGGCTCAGGTCATCCCCGGGCCCTCTCGCATCTCCCAGTTTGATCACCCATTACCACCTACTCCTCCCTTGTCTCCATAGGCTGGTCATTCTCACCAACACACTGCACCGGGAGCTGCTTAGCCACGTGGATGTCATCCAGGTGTCCCTGCGCAGTTTCCGGCAGTACTTGGAGGAAAGTCTGGGCAAACTCCGCTACACCAACGTGGAGTTCATCAAACGCTGCAGGTGGGAGCCAGGGTCCAGGCCTCCATGGACCACCAGAGTCTCTCTATTGGGAGTTAGTTTCATTCCTCCCTGAAGTTTGGTTGTGTTAACTATATGTGACATAAAATTTACCATTTTAACCATTTTGAGCTGTGCAGTTCAGTGGCATTAAATATATTGTTATGCTACCATCACCCTCAGCTATCTTTAGAACTTTCCATCTTCACAGATTGAAACTCTGCATCATTAAACAGTTAACTCCTCATTTCTCCTTCCCTGAGCTCTTGGCAGTCATTTTACTTTCTGTCCCTATGAATCTGACTACTCTAGGAACTTCATATGAGGGAATCACGCAATATTGTCCTTTAGTATTTGGTACATTCCACTTAGCACACATAATGTCTTCAAGATCCATCTATGATTGTGTCATGCGTCAAAATTTTCTTCCTTTTTAAGGCCAAGTAACATTGCATTGTGCATACATGCCACATTTTGTTTATACATTTCTCTATTGATGTCATTTGGTTTGTTTGAATTTTCGGGCTATTATGAATAATGGTTTGAGGAACATCAATGTTCAAACATCTATTTCAGGCCCTGCTTTCAATTCTTGAGATATATTCCTAGAAGTAGAACTGCTGGATCAGACACTGATTCCTTAATTTTTGGAGGAACCATCACTCTGTTTTCCATAGCAACTGTACCACTGTATAGTTAGTAATATGTAAGAGTACCAATTTCTCTATATCCTCACCAATGCTTATTCATTCTTTCTTAATAGTAGCTATTATAGTGGCGGTAAGGCAGTATCAAGTTGTGATTTTGATTTATATTTCCCTAAAGATTAATGATGGTAAGCTTCTTTCCATGTACTTATCAGCCATTCTTTCCCCTCATTTTCCTCCATGAGCTTAGCTCACTACTATATGCAAATAATCTGGAACTTGCTCTTTGACATTTGTGACAGTCTATGTTTGTTTTCTAAAGCTTATATAGTTTTAGAAATTACAAATATTTTACTCATTATAGCATAATCAAATACAGAAGTAAATAAAATAAAAAGTGGAAGTCCTCCAAAAGTAGATTTTCTATGTGGGATACATAAGCAAAAACTGTTAGTTTGGTACAGAAATGGAATCTTTGTACATGTGCCGACAGCCACTGCTCACCAATCACGGTGGGCACCTTCCATGGCCATGTCTAGGAGGCTTTCATTTGTTTTAAATATGATTGCTTTTTCTGATTATAAATATATAGCATTTTAAAGAAAAAAATGCAAAGTTACAAAAACTGGAAGTATAGGTCGGTGCATTTGGCACTCTGTCCTTGCATATCTCTACATCACTCTCACATATTTTAGCTCTACTTTAGCTGGTTTCTTCACATTGTCCTTCCTCTATAGCTGTATTTAATCTTCTAATAAATGTACTCATTGAACTTGAATTTTAACTATCAGTTTTCATTTCTAGTTATATTTGATCTCCTCTCAAAACTGGCTCCTCTCTGCACATATTTCAAGCTTCTCTTTTATTTCTTTGAACATCTTGCACTTAGTTATTGATGTGTATAATTCTAACATCTGAGGTCTTTGTGGGGGGATTTGTTTCTGTTCTCTGTTGTCTTTCTAGTTCTCATTCATAATATCTTGTTTCCTTGTGATTTTTTTTTCATTACAAGTCACTTATTTTCCTTGGGATTTACCTGTGTCATTCTTTGCGGCCTGTACTCATGTGGCATTCCTTCAGAGAGAATTAGTATTTGTTTCTGCTGGGCATCTGGGGGCATTGCCCACTCAGGATCCATTACAATTCTCTGTATGATGTTTCTTGGTTTACTGTGGAGAACGTGAATTCAGATGGCAAAAGTGTATCATGTCTAGTTTGTAATTACAAATTCTCAGGGGAGGGAGATCCATTTCTCCTCCCTAGCCTCAGATTTAGATGAGACAGTGTCCTGGTACATGGCAGGGTTAATTTCTCACTCTGTCTCATACTGGAAATGTTATCCTCAGGGTCCACCCCCGTAATGTCCCCAGTGCCTGCAGTCATCGAGGCTCAGACGCAAAGTGTCCAGGGCAAAGCCAGCCTTGGCACCCACTCACATTCCAGGGACTTTATCTGAGACTCTGCAGAACTCTCATCCTTATGCGACTCCAAGAAAACTTTCTGCTTTGAATTTTGTCCAGCATTTTCTTTCTTTCATTGGGTCTTCCGTCAGACACCAGACATAACTGGAAACTCCACCCCTTTTGTACCCTGCTCCTGTACTTCCCTACCTGCACTTTTGATCGAATGCCACAGGATCTGGGATGAGTGGAAACTTTGACATCTGATTGGTAGCTTTTATTTCTCACCGATTATTATCAGATTATTTTCGGAGGGAGGCGACTTTTCCCCTGAAGAAATCGACTCACTGTGTCATCGACTGGAGAAGGAAACTGCCCGGATAGAGTTTGTTGAAAGTGTAATCATGCTCCACATGGAGAAGATGGAGAACGAGTATCTGGACCAGGTGGGGAAGGCCGCTTGCCTCAAGGCAGCCCCCAGGATTGCCTGTCACAAGCTGTTGCCTCTGAAGGGTCATGCCCCTGCCCAAGCAATACTTGACCTGTCCTTCCCGCTCCCAAGGTCCAAAGTCCCACATTAAGCCCTCTGCTTTACTTGTCTTTATCCACAGGCTAATGATGTCATCAACAAATTTGAGAATAAATTCCATAACCTGTCTGTGGACCTTATTTTCATAGAGAAAATCCAGCGGTTGTTGACAAATTTGCAAGTGAACATCAAGTGCCAGGTAAGACAGCTTCATCCTCCATCAGGGGGCATTAATCACACACAGCTACACACCAGCCCTGTCCTGGTGTTGGGACACCAGCATGGTGTCCGTCCCTCAGGACTTGCTCTTCAGGGGGGAAGACAAATGGACTCTTAGCAGCCCTTACCATTCAGTGAATCATTACACACTATCATCATTCTGACTTACTTTAATTAGCTCTGTTAGTTCTCACAAGAACTGTATCAAGTGAGTATTGTTTTTGTCCCCACTTCAGAGAGAAACAAATTGGGCCAGAGTAATTCAGCGATTTAGACAGGAACACAGAGATCTTAAATGATGGAGCCAGAATGTGAATGTAGGTCTGTCTGGGACCAAAGATGATGACCTTGACCATGGACAGGTCATGTGTGCCCAAAAGAGGAAGAGCTGTGTAGGGCATAGAGGGGAGGATTTGGACTGGAAGGGAAGGTGAGTGTTGAAAGAGAAGCAGGAGCCAGCCAGGCGGGGATGGGGGAGCAGAGTGACCTGGAGGGATGATGGAAGACATCTAGGGTTCTGGTGCCAAAAGCATCCTAGCGAGCTAGCGAGTGGGAGCAGGACGGAGTGAGGAGCTGAGGCTAGAGAGTCCAGCAGCCGGCAGGGCTCTGATCAGGTGGGGAGGAGGAGGGCTTGGACAGGGCTGGAGATGGAGGCTTCTGGATGCTAGCTGCAGGAACTTGGCAGTGAATGGGTGTGAGGCAGGGTGTGAGACTGAGACCAAGAGACCAGTGACTTGGACAAGATGTTGTCAGAGACACGTTACAATTAAACAGGTAGCACTCAGGGTGAACTGGCCATGAAGGCCTGGGCAAACACCGAGCAGCACAGTTCAGGGAGCAGTGTCTGAGGTCCCACGCTGAGGACGGCATTCCAACAAAAAGGGTTTGCTGAAGTCTTAAGCTGACACTGGACTCAAATCCAGCCTCCTGCTGTTACCCCAAGAGGAACTTAACTCACTCATATGTGAAATGGGAATCAGAGGAGCAATTCATAAGATTGTGGGGCCAGTGGAGGAGTTAGTATGTGCTAAGCTGTGACCTCTGGTGCAGAGAGAATCCTCAGAGGCAGGTATTGCTGGAGGCACCCAAAAAACCTCCAAAGGAGGCTTCTAGTCATTCCAGAAGGAGGGGGAGGGGCAACTTTAAGAAGCACAGCAGTACACAAATCTGTCACCCCTGTCCTATTAAAAGAGCACACTTGGCCAAGTGCATTTCCATTGTGACCAATATTGAAAATATGGAACAAATACAAAAGGGAAGGATCGACCACATAGTTATAATTCTTGCTTAAGATTTCGATTTATTGTTAAGATTTTTTTTTCTGTCCATGAGAAGATGGAAATATATCCAGACTGACCCTTTACTATTTCTACAGTTTTATAAGCTGTATATTTAAATATTCTTCAAAAATACCCACTGGACGGCTTCCCTCTCATGGATGTTCCATGGTTTTTCCTTGTAGAGGAATTCTGGGCGGATTTCCTTTCTCATCGGAATGCCCAGGCTGTGAGAAGTGCACTTGCCCAGGACACTCTGCCTGTCTCCTTGGGTGTCCTGAGAGCAGGAACCCTGGGCCACAACATGGACGGTCCAAAGTTATTTACAACTTTTGTGGGTTTTGCAGACTTGTCCACACTCTGGAGTGCCAGTTTCACTCATACTTTACCTATTTCATAAGAAAACAAATCTTTTTAATTTGTATTCATCTAGTTTCTGATATACCTGTGCATTTGTGCCATATTTCAATTTTTATCATTTTCTCAGATGTTTTGCTGAGTATTTTCCTGATCACAATTTATATTCTAGAAACAAAATCTGGCACCTCTGGTTTTCTAGGTGGCAAAATCCAATTCACAAACAGATGGATTAAATTTTTTTCTGAAGCAGCTTCAACACAACATAGAAACATGTCGAAACCCAAGAGGAGATAAAACAGTGAGTGCTCAGTAGATTCTGCATATGAATAATCAAGATATGCTTTGCTAGAATCCTAAACTTGACACAAACTTACATGAGGCATAGGATTTCCTCAGCACGAGCAAGGAGGTATGGGATGGGATGGGGTCTTTGAGCCTTTCCCATTTTAGTCAGTGAAGGAAGAGAAGAGAAACCAGCCATGGTGCCCTCTCCCCCACCAACCCCAGACAACCATGCAGAGTTCAATGACGGTCTGGGCTTGAGTCCTTTGTTCGTGGGCCTCACTCTCCTTGTGATGTCATCAGGCATCCTTTGCTGAAATGAGAACTCAGTCCTAGATGGATGACAGAAGCAGGGCTCTACCTTCTGAACATTTTTTAAAAACAATGTGTGTGTGTGTGTCTGTCTGTCTGTCTGGTGGTGGTGGGAGATTAAACTTAGGGCCTCATACTTTCTAGGCAAGTACTCTACCACTTCAACCATACCACAGTCCTTTTGTTTTTACGACAGTGTCTCTCTACCTTTACCCAGGCTCAAGATCTCAAACTGAAAATCCCTCTGCCTCCACCTCCTGAGTAGCTGGGATTACATGCATGCACCACCATGCCAGCTCCAACAACCACTTTTTGTTTGGCTTCACTTTCTCTCTCTCTTTTTTTTTTTTTGGTGGGACTGGGGTTTGAACTTGGGGCTCCACTCTTGCAAGGAAGGCATTCTCAAAGCAGGCACTCTACCGCTTGAGCCACACCTCCAGTCAATTTTATTCTGGTTATTTTGGAGATGGGGATCTCAAGAAATATTTGCATGGGTTGGCCTTGAACCACTATCCTCCCAATCTCAGCTCCCCAAGTAGCTAGGATTATAGACGTGAGCCACCAGCATCCAGTTAGGAAACATTTACTTGTATTTGTTTGTTTGTTTGTTTGGTGGTACTGGGGTTTGAACTCAGAGACTTGTACTTACTAGGCAAGTGTCCTCCACTTGAGCCACACCTCAGCCCTCACTTTCATCTTTTGGTCATAGCACACAAACTTATTTTCTATGTCTAAGCCATGAAAACTCAGATTGGAGCAAAGTTTGGCAGGAGTTTAGTTCTAAATGTCTCCAGGTTCCCAATCACCTGAGCAGGTCTCAGGATGTCTATATGCTTTGTTTTTCTGCCACAAATGTGCATTTCTGCCCCCTTTCTACATGCACCCTGGCCATGTAAGGAACTTTTCCTCAGCAGCTCAACCAGGGGCCTCCAGAACCAGACCCTCAGCCCTGGCCTGAGGGTCTTGAGTGAGGCATGCCTCCCCTCTGCCTTTTCCATTTCATGACTTGGAGTTGTGGTTCCATTGTTGTGAGCATCAAGAGGACATTAATTTTCCACTCTATAGTGACACATGATTTGTGAGAGAAGATCAAACACCCACAGAGCATAGAGTGCAGAATAAATGTCCCTCTGTTCTCATTCTCAATGGAGACTCTCCGCCCTGCCACCTACTCTGCGCAGGTTTCTACACATCACTGAGTTAGTTGCGCTGCAGTGCTGATGTGCTGATGAAAAGTGGTTTCTGTATTTTGCCCATGACTTACCTGGTCTCCCTATGAGCCCACCTACTTGAGAGCAAGGGACAAGCTGGTTAACCTGCTGTGACCCTTGCAAAGGCCCTGTAGGACAAGCACTGTCTCTCCACAATAGAGATGTTTAGTCCCTCATATTTCCTCCTCTCCTGAACCCCACTCTTCCATCTCCTGTCAGGCCATTGGTGGATGCCAGAAGGCTTGCCAAGCTAGCATTTCTGTGTTGATGGAAGAGACTGGCTTGTAGCCTGCAGAGCAGTGATTAGGAGACAGTAGTTATGTTTTGGATATGTGGTGGGGTAAAGATGGTTGAGGGTACATCCCTGTGCACCTTTAGAGTACTGTTCCAAGGGGGGTGTCTATTTGATGTTTCTATGGGGATGGCCAGTCAGCCCTTCTACACCCTCCCACATACCCTTGCAACCTGGACTACATATTGCCTTTTTCTTTTATTAGCATATATTAACTGTATAAAGGGGTTTCATCGTGATATTTCCATATATACATTTAATGTACTTTGATCAAATTTACCACTCTGTTACTCTTTCTTCTCCCTTCTCTTCCCTTTTTAAACAATTTAATGAGTCTCATTATTGTATTTTCATAATGCATATAAAGTACCTTGATCATATCCATCCCTCCTTCAACCTTTCCTTTCACCATCTCCCTCCCACTGGTTCTCACCCCCAAGTAATCTCTGTTTTACACTTATGTCATTCATTGTTTTTTAAGTCTATATTCTGCATATGAGAGAGAACATATATTTGTCTTTCTGAATCTAGCTTTTTCACTTAACATGAAGATCTCCAGTTCTGTCTATTTTTTGCAAACAATATAATACCTAGAGGAGATCTAGGGAACATTCCATGTCCCCATTTTAGAGATGAGGAGACTAGGTCAAGCAAGTTTGAGTCACTTATCCAGAGTTGAACCCATAGAACGCCTCAGGCCTCTGTTAGTGAAGGATTCCCTGCCCCCGGTCAGCCACAGGGAGAGCCAGACACTATTCCAGGGGCCTTCCTGAAAGTGAGGGAACTTCAGGTTACCAAGAGGCATCCTATGGGACCAGCCCCTGTTCCTGCACTTCTGGTGGATCTGCCTGCTTCCTTGGGGCTTCTTTCCTCCATGTTTCCTCTAGGTGGTGACCACAGACGACCTCCTTGGGTTTGTTCAAACTTGGAAAGAAAAACTGAGCCAGAGGATTAAGTACCTCAACTGCAGCCTGGACATGGTGTCCGTGACTCAAGAGGTCTTTATGGTAGGGAATGGCATGGGGCGGTAGGCAAGAGTGTATGAGGTGTTATCTAAGTTCCCAGGGGACCTGAAAGGCCTCAGCGTAACCTAAGGGAAGAGGAGACTCCCAGGACCCTGCTAAATAGCAGCCCAGATGGGATGCCATGGAAGGGTCACAGCTGTGGGGTCAGATCTGAATTGAGATCCTACATGGGCCACCTCCCTACATTGGTCTCTTAGGAGGCCCCTTACCTCCTGGTGTCCCCTCCCCTTCTCCATCAGGAGCCTCAAGTCACAGGCCTGTGGTTCACAGGCCAGCCCCATCCCATCTCAGCCTCTTCCTTCTCACCTGCAGCCCACCATCAAGTCCAAGCCCCAGTATCTTCCTCATCTGGCTGCCATGTCCTCTTACATCCCCTGTGGTCTGTTCCCTAAACTTCAGCTAAACCAAACACCAGAAAAGGCCCAAATAACTGTCACTCCCCTGCCCTCTAGGTCAAGTTCAAACTTATCATGCCACAGCCTCCATGGTGCTCAGTCATTCACAGCTTCTTTATCCTTGTCACCCAGCCTAGACAGCACTTCCCCTAAGCCCTCTTTCACCTTCTTGTCTGGGTGGGAATCCTCTAGCCTCAGAGCACATCCCATTTCCTCATGACCCAAGACCAGGTGGTGAGTTCTCCAGTTAAGGGGCTTTCTGTCCAAGACTGTGAGCTCTTTGAGAGCAGAACCTGCATGGCTCTCTGCTCAATCCTCACATGGAGCTTTGCCCACATGAGGTTCTTAGCTACTCTCAGGGAGGGCATCTGAGAGCTGACTGCTGCAGGAGTGGTTACTGCTGGCTCTGCTTCTGCTGCCAGGTTTTGGCCACCCTTTTGTCTACAAGGAGGCTTTTTCCACTGTGGATCCAGCACTAAAAATCCATCCTCCCACAGTACTGTGCATAGCAAGCCAGAGGCACCAAGGGTTCAGCCTGGGTGGGCCCTTTCTTCATGAGGCTGACAGGAGATGAGACTCAGAATAAGCACTAACCACTCACCGTAGGCACCATTGTCACACTTTTGTCAAAGTCCCATTCACAGGGGAGTTACTCACTCAGCCTTGCCTTCATTCATTCCATCATCCATTTGGTCAAAAACACCACCAGGGCACCTCTGCAGCCAACCCTGCAGGTCTCACTTCACTCACAGAAGATGCTGGAACTTTTCCTTCACAGCACTCTCCCAATTTTGACCAAGCATTTGTTTGCCTAAGTGTAAATTAAATGTCTTGTCTCTCCTGCATAGATTGCAAATCCATGAAGGAAGGGACACCATATGGCCTGTCTACCCCTGAGATCTGGCCTGTCTACTTCCTGAGATCTGGCTCTCAGGAAGCATTTCTAAAGGCATGAATGAATGAAGGAATGGATGAATGGGTGAACAGCCATCCCACGGAAGATAGGACTTTTACCATCTTATAGGAGAGAAAAGAGGCTGCAAGAAGCCAGGCAACTCATCTCCAGCCACCACTTAGACAAAGAGATAGTGGAGTGTGAACCAGCTGGTTGCTTCCCCAGCATCTGAGCTGGGGCCCATATGTTCAGCCCTTCTCTTTGGCCTGCAGGACAGTGTCCTGATGGACTTGGAGGCAGAAAGTGACATCCAGGTGTCCTCAGAGGCCCTTGAGGAGGAGGCCAAAGTGGGCCTGGTCACCCCTGAGTCCTTTGCACAGCCAAGCCGCATGGGGAAGCCCATGCTTGAAGACCCTGCCATAGAGGTGGTCAAGAAGATCCTGCAGTGAGTGCCTGCCATTATGGCCCATGGCCCTGACCCTTCAGGATTTAGCACACTGGGGTTCCTATGGGAGCTCAACCCGGGAGCCCATGTGTTTGGGCCAAGGGCATCCCCTCTTGGAGCTTCTGTTCCTCACCTGAATGCCTGAGCTCATGATGGCATCTACACACATGATGTTGAGGACCAATAGGGATGCTGCCCAGGGCCTAGCATGAGAGGTCCCCATGGTCACCATAGAGAAGCTCACTCCCTTTCCTTTGGTTTTAGAATTCCCAAGACAAAATCAGGGCACCACTGTGAAAAAGATCAGTCACTAACAAGTTGCAGCAAACACACCTGTGAGTCTCAGGGAAGCCAGAAGAGGTGTGGGGGGGAACCTAGTAGTGATTGTCGCCCATCCTCACCTGATGTCTTCTGCTCTTGTCTTCTGCATTTGTCACCCAAAGTCTTGAAGCGATATCACTGTCGGGCAGAAAACTTCACAAAGAAGTCCTTGCACAATGCCAGTGCCACCTCAGAAGGGAGGTAGGTATGCCAGGCTGCCCAGAATCTCCCCTTTCCATATACTTCTCGCCTGGACAGGTGTTTGGGAGTTGGGTGTTTGTCCATGTGGGGAGGTGGGAGATTCAGTCCTGCCACCTCCCCACATGCATGATCATGGCTAGAAAGAGGAATAGGTGGAACCATGGAGCAAATGGTTTTCCTGGAGTGACATCACAGATACAGGGGTCTGGGGCCTTGATGTCCTTCTGTGCTCCATCTACTATACCCTGGAGGGGTCCTTAGATTTGAGGATCTGGCCACCAGCTCCAAATGGAAGATTTTATGGAAGATGGATAACAGAAACTACATAGCTGAACTGACTCCCTAATCTTTCACAAACCCTGGTTGACATGGGTGAATTCCTGGTTTCAAGAAAGAGACGGGAGGCCCTTCCTTTACCTGCAGAAGGTATTTTAGAAGAAACAAAGACCAACCAAATAAGAAGAGCAAAGGCACTTGATTCAGAGCTGGCTGGGGCAGAGAGTTGGCCACCATCAAGTATGTTTGGATGACTCAAGGGTAGGCAGGGGAGTGGGAAGCCTGCTAGTGAAAAGCTGGGAAGGCCCCAGGTATGTCTGATTGGAGACTCTTGGTCTAGGGAAGCTGGAAGCCAGCCCACTGAAAACAGACCTATGTGGTGCCTTAGGTGCTTATCTGGCTTTCTCTGATTGCTTTCAGAGTAAAAAATTAGGGAAGCTGTCATTTAATATTAAAGTCCTGGCCAGGGGGTCCTATTATATGGTGAATATTGTTTAGCTTCTTAGACAATCACTACCGAGAGCAATCTGACTTCCTGTCAGTCTGATCTATAGCAGGACTGTTTACCATAGACAACAGGGCTGGTGTTCTGGGTAGTGTGCTACAGTCTGTGTGTAAGAGTTGTGTTTTCTAATATATGATCCCACCATCAACTATTTTAATATTCAGTCTCTCAGAGGTTATAAAATGTAACCAGGGATGCCAGATAAGAGAGTGCGCTGCTCAATTTAAATTTCAGATTAATGACAACTAATTTTTTAACAAAGTATGTTCCAAATATTACATGAGACATCCTTATTCTAAAAATTACTCATTACATATATGAAATTCATGTCTCACTGGGCACACCATATTTTTATTCACTAACCCTGGCAAGCCTACTTGTGGTTCACCCTGTTTTTCTTTAGGTCCTTACCACAGGGAAGGGAGGATGCAAATTTCCTGGCCTAAGCACCTGTGCCCCTTGTCCTCCTCCTTTGACCTTTGCTGGGCATTAGCAGTAAAAGTTTCACCCTAAGAAAAGGTTGTCTTCAGAGCTGTTGAGGAGTTGAAGGGCCTCCCAGGTTACCCAACATCTCTATGTCCCAGGCAGGGCTCCTGAAGGCCCAGTCCTGCCTTCTGTCTGTACCTACACTATAGACCACTGTATACCTTCATCCTACAGCATGACACCCATTTCTCTTTTATTTAATTGTCATTTTAATGAATGAAACAAAATCTGGTCCAGTTATACTACACCTTCATTTCAAGAAAACCAGCAAAATATCAAGTTCAGAAAGTTAAAAACCTTTGGAGAGTCAAGCTCCACAGTAGAGCCCCGATTCCCCCTCATGAGTGATCCCTCCACACAGCATCTCTTCTTGGCAGCCTTTAACCCCAGGGGTCTTATCTCTGGAGCTGGGGAACCATGTAAAGCAGGGTAGCTGATCCACCAGATGAACCAGAGTGGCCTGTCAGTCAGTAGCCCTTGTCTCACACACCAAAGACAATCCCACACTGTTGAAACTCTGATTCTCTTTTCTGTAGTTCTGTGTCATTTTATCCTATGTAGAGATTCCTGTAATCACTACCACAATCGCGATACAGAACTCTCCCACTGGTTCACCCTTCATAATGCCACTTCCAGCCCCCTTCCCACATTGTCACAACCTCGAGAAACCTAGAATCTGTACTCCATTCCTATAATTTTGTCACATGGAGAGTATCATATAAATTGACTAATGTAGCATTTGACCTTCTCAAAGTGGCTTTTTGCACTCAGTACCATGCCCTTGAGATCTGTCTTAGTCCGTTTGTACTATAACAGAATACCTGAAGCTAGATAATTTATAAGGAGCAAAGATTAATTTGGGAGGTTGGGAAGCCCAAGGCCATGAACCTGGCATCTAGCCAGGCAGGGTGGCACTGTCCTATAGTCCCAGCTTTCAGTAGGCTAAGGCAGAAAGATCACAAGCTCGGGATCTAGCCTTGTCTATATAGCTAAGACCTTGGCTTAAAAGTGGGGGTGGAGGCAGCATCTGGTGAGGGCCTTCTTTTCTGTTTTTTCTTTTTCAGTACTGGGGTTTGAACTCAGGGCCTTCACCTTGAGCCACTCCACCAGCCCTATTTTTGTGAAGAGTTTTTTGAGATAGGGTCTCACGAACTATTTGCCCAGGCTGGCTTCAACCCAAGATCCTCCCCATCTCTTCCTCCTGAATAGCTAGGATCACAGGTGTGAATCACTGGCACCCGCTTGGTGAGGGCCTTCTTCCTGCATCATCCCATGGCAGGAATTGGAACAGCAAGAGAGGACAAGAGACGGGGAGGGGAAGAGAGAAAGAGAGAGCAAGGGGGTCCAAACTCATCCTTTTATCAGGAACCCACTCCTATGATAATGGATGGTATTAATCTAGTCATGAAGGAAGAGACTTCATGATCTAATCGCCTCTTAAATAAAGGCCCCACCTCTCAACAGAGTTGCATTGGGGGCTGTTTCCAACACAAAACTTTTAAGGACACATTCAAACAATAGCAAGACCCATCCACATTGTCACATGTATCAATAGTGCATTCCTTTGTATAACTGAATAGTATTTCAAAATATTGATGCACCACAGTTTTGTAGTGACTTGTAAAAAAAACTGTAGGGCAAATAGAAAAAAAAATTGAGCATTTATGAAATCTCTGAAAAAGAGGAGACTCTTCTGACATAGTGCAGTGGTTGATTGTTGAAGAAATGGAATCAGACTCATCCTGTTTGTATCCCCACAAAGGACCCACCAAGGGACAGAAATTCTCCCCAAACCTCAGTCTTCCTGCCTGCACGGGGGCTGAGAAGAGAGCTCTCCTTTTAGAACTGGGGAGAAGAGCCTGCCAGTTCCCTGGATCCTGGGATGGAACCTTCAGTAACACGGGATCATCACCCTAAGACACAGTAGTAGAATTCTCAAAATATGGTAAATTTGCAAAAATAAATAAATAAAAGACAAACAAATAGATTAATGCCTCCCTCATCCACAAGTAAGTTGTTAAGGAAACCTTGAGATTTGAAGGGTGGAGATTCAAAGAGGAACCATGCCCCAAAGAGGAAACATGGTTAGAAATAACCACTTAGATTTGCTGATATGCAAAAAAAAGAAAGAGGAGCAAGTCCATTCCATGCTTCACCTGAGGATAATGAAGGCATGAGTGAATGTTTGTAAACTGCCAGTTTAGAGAAGGAGGGTGGAGATGGCTGCCCTCTTGCCCTGAGGGCTGGAGTCAGCAGCACATTACATTTCCAGAAAGCAATCTGCCAGCATTTAGTGAAGGCCATGAAAGTGTGCCTTTCTGCAACTCTTCACATCTTTCTCCCAAGGAAATCACACCCATACTCATTCACAAGAAAAAAACTTCTTGCACAAAGATATTCCATGATATACTTTTTATGCTAAATGAAACTGGGGAAAACCTGAAGTCCAAAACCACAGGACTATAAACTGTGGTGGATATACTTAATGATGTCCACAACCATCTAAAATCACATCACAGAATGGGGGACACTTAACAGTTGAATAAGTGACCAGAGCAGAATGTGAAATACACACAAACCTAATTATAACTAATTTAAAATAAAATTAGTAGAAGAAAATATATTAAAAGGTTGGTATTAATTTATCCCTCATTTTCAATGTATTTCTACTTTTCTTCAGTGAATTGCAACATGAATTATCAAGAAGCCAATACACAAACACTCTAGAGACTGGTAAACAGTGATTGTATGTGTATAGCAGTCACTGGGCCACTTTATACAGATTGTGAACTATTAAGTGTCCTGTGGGTACATGAGGTTCTAATGCATGTCCCTGATCTCTTGCTTTCAAAACAGTTGATCTAATGGAGCAGGATCATCCATCAGGTCTGTGGTAATTTGCTGTAAGCCCTGGTTTGTGCACTGTGGGCCTAAAGGCCAGTGAGCAAGAGGACAGGAAATCCTGCTCTTTTGGTTACCATTTGCAAGAAATCAGTCTTTCAGCCAACACTGAGGCACCGACAGTTGTAGGCACTGTACTGGGGTTGGGGATTCCATGGATAACAAAACCAGATGCACACAGCCCACGTCCTGTGCCTGAAGGTAAACTCAGGCACACTACAATGTTAATGTGCTTATTTGAACACACTGATTCATGAACTGGCAGTGCCTCAACACTGATGGCTCAGGGCTCCACCAAGGCAGCACCGAGGCAGTAGAAAACTTTTATAAGGTGTTCACAGAAGCAAAATGAAGAAAATATGTGACTAGATAGAGTGGAAAGTCCCAGATTTGTTATGCTTGAGTTTCTTAGACTGTGGCCCTTGTAAGTTGGGTTCTGGTTTGCTTATGCAGTAACCCTAGGTACTAGAGCTATGGATGAATGGCACCCTCTCCCACCTTCCCCAGTTAGCATTTTTAAATAACTGGTGAAGTTTACATTCTATTGGGAGAGATAGAGGCTAATCAGCCAGTCAAACAAATCAAAACCAAGATGCTTGTTTAGAGTGCTGTAGGACTGAGCGGCTCTCTGAGAGTACCAGACCCAGGTAGTTAGGAACTGGCACTGAGCTGAGATCTGAGGAACAGCAGGAACAAATGTGACCAAGAAGAAATTTCACAGCTTTTTTGGAGAGGAATCAGGGTGTGCACAGGTCCTGGGGCAGTAGCTCCTAGGAGTGACAGGACTAAAATAGAGCACTCAGAACGTTCTGTTTTGGGTTTTGTCTGTGAGATATATGCAGATGAGGCCCCTCACAAATCTGCCTCATGTGTATTGCAGGGATTTTAAAAGCATCATCCTGGCCCTCCTCTGGGAAAGCAACGAGCACCTGCTGAGTGTTGCAGAGGTGAGGGCCACCACCCTTCACAGGCTTGACCCTGGCTGTCTCTGCCTTCTGAGGTTTGCTGGTCATGGACACTAAGGGGAAAATGATAAGAGAGGCCCACCCCGCCTTAGAACCTCCCCAAATTCTGTTACCTCCTGTGATTTCTGTCCTCCTAGAAACTGAATCTCATTCATTCAGCATTTATTTATTCATTATTCAAGCAGCCACCAAACATTTCTTGGATGCATATCAGGTACTGGGTGTGCCAGAAGGAACAAGCCCAGCCTCTGCCCCTTAGGTGCCCAGCAGGAGGCCAACAGACATGGTGGGCACAGGGAGCTGGGCAGGGTATGGGGGCAGCCCAGCATCCTGTTCCTGCATACCCCACACAGTGTGCCCTGGCCTATACCCATCTTCCTACTAAGTTCCTAGCCTGGTCACAATTTGAAATGTCATTGATTTGGGTCTTGAAAGCTAACTAGGATTTTGCCACTCACTCAAGAAGTAATAGGGCCAACTGTGGCCTCAAGTCTGCTGGTCATCCGTGGGATGCAGAGAAGGTCACAAGGGCAGAGAAAAGCAAGAGCAAAGGCTAAGAGGTAGAGGTGAAAGTGGGCTGGTCAAGACAGGGCCTGAGTCCCTCGAGGAGAATCCTTACCCACATGTAGTCACCTCTCTCTTGCAGGAGTTTTACCGCAAAGAGAAGCGTCCGGTCACCAGGCCCGATTGCATGCATGATAACTTTGACCAGTGCGCTGAACACATTAGCAAGAAGATACTGGAGTACCAGACCCAGGCAGAAGAGTACCATAACTCCTGCCTCATTGGTGTGTGCGGGTGGTGGGATGCTGATGGCAGGTGGGATGTGAGTGTGGCACAAAGCCAGTGATGGAGTTTGACCTCATTCCCTCTTCATTCAGACTCACTGGGGAGACAGAGAATCCTCTCTGTGAAAAGCCAACCTCTTAGAATTAGGTAAAAGAAATGATCAGGTTTAACTGGGAGGAAAATAATGCAAAAAAATTCACTTTTCTTGAGAAATTTGTTTGAGTTTAGGTTTTTTAAGGGTCTTACTATGTAATCCAGGCTGGCCTTGAACTCTAATCCACCTCCTTAGCCTCAGTGCTGGGATTACAGGTATGTACTACCATGCCCAGAAAATTGTGATCTTTACCACTAAAAATACTGTTCATTATTTGCTTACCATAAAATTCACCCAGGTAGTAAAAATCAAGTTCCATTATGGTTTTTAGTTTGTTTAAAGGGTTTTGCAACCATCACTACTGCCAATCTTAGAACCCTCATCTCCCTATCCTCTCACAGCCTTCAGCAACCAACATCCCACTTTCTGTCTCTGTGGATTTCCTTTTCTATACACTCATGCAAATGGACTGATATGGCCTCTCATTTTATGTAATGTTTTCAAGGTTTACACATATTGTAGATTGTATACATATTTCCTTCCTTTTTAATCACAGAATAACATTCCATTGTACAGATCTACCACACTTTGTTGTACTCAGTTGTGTGGTTTCAGAGGCACAGGTAGGAGGAGGGGAGTACTAGGGGATAGCCAGACCGGGGGCCAAAACCCTGCATTCTCATCTTCCAGCTATGGGACTTTGGTCAAATGATCTCACCTCTCTGAGACTCACTATTTTTGTTTGTAAACTGGAGATATTAACAACACCCATGGTGAAAGGCTTTTTTGAGGTTGAATCCCTTTCACAGATTTACCATGCACAGGGAATTGGTACAATAACTAGAATCAAAGCTACGTACAGCACTTTGTTTCTCCAGCTCAGGCTTTCCCCAAATAAACTCTGGGGTATCCCCTCCTACATGACTGTCCATAAAACAAAGGCCCCATGCTCAAATGGGCTTGGGAAAGGTTGTAGATTATGTCCCTGTATGACAGACTCACAACTCTCCATCAAGAGAGACTTCCATTTTCTTCAGTTTCACAGCTCAACACCCTCCCAGCTCTCCCACTGACAACATGTAAAATGCTAGACATGACATTTGGGAGATAAAGTCTTTTAAATCCATTGATGAGGTAGCTGTAAAATAAGAAACAAAAAATCCAAAAACTAAGAGAAAATAGGAGCTCTAATAAGTTCAACAGTGACCTTAGCTACTACCCTAAATGCATTTGCTGGCTTCCATTTGGTGACCTTTATTTTCATGGCCTCCAGGGCATTAGGAACAGGATTTTCCCAAGGTGGAAATCTGTACATAGAGCAGAACCCCATAGGACTCCACCTGCAGATTAAGGTGAATAGGACATAAAGCCCCTCCCTTTAGGAGCTAGAAGGAAACTGTTTTCTCAGAAACCTTGGTACTGAGTGAAGAAAACAAAACAAAACAAACTCCAGTGGGAACCTAGACTGTAAGTTAGCCTTTCCATGATTTCTAAACCTGAATTCATACATATCTAAACATGAATTCAGTTTTGTGTTTGTGGACCATCCAAAAGATCTTAAACTGATAACTTAAAAGGATCTTGAGTCAATAGTGTCTACAACTTTCTTAATAGATATTCTACAGATCCTCTCCAAATCCTCCACCTTTAACTCAGGCCTCAAACTATTCCCACAAATAAAATTCCCAGAATAAATACTCACTGTAATGAATAAACACAACAGCAAAACCCATACAAACACAAGAAAACAAAGCATGAAAAGCAGGAGGTATAGAAAGAGAATAATAAAGACTACAGATAAAGAAATCTCAGACACAGAATATAAAACAATGTACTTATAGTTAAATAAAAGAGGGAATTGGAAACATGAGTAAGGAGCAAGAGACTGTTAAAGTGACCAAGTAGATAAAAAGAGAATCAAATAGAACTTCTAAAGAGGAAAAATAAGAGCTGGAATTTTTTAAACCATGAATGGGATTACTAACAGGTTATATACAGCTGAAGGTCGAATTGGTGAAGAGGAGATTAATCCAAAGAAAATATCCATAATGCAATATAGAAGGATAAAGAGATGGAAATGTGGGAGAGAGGTGAAGAAATTAGAACAAAAGAGGTCAAATGTGGTTATTTAGAGGTAGAGAAGAAGAGGGAGGAGAGTAAAGGCAATATTTGAAGAAGTAATGGATGAGAAATGCCAGAGCTGCTAAAAGACACAATGCATTTTAAAAGAGCTGAGAAAAAGAGGTGCCCTTGAACTTGCTTAACCAGTACTCTCTATATTGGTTTGACTAAAGGGCCTCTTTTGATGGAAAAACTATTACCACAATAGAGATCAAAGTTTTCCCTTTGGGAAACTGCCTTGAGCCTTTGTTGTAGAGATCACTTCAGCAACTTGGTTCTACTCTGTACCCGCCCCTGGTCCTGTCCCCCTAATTCCTGCAGAATTACGAGCCCAGATGAGGAGATTTGAGGAGCTGCTGCCCCACGTGTGTTGGCTAGTGATGGAGAATTTAAAGGAGCAGCACTGGAAAAAGTTTTGCGCCTCCATGACAGAGATACGGGCATGGTTTGAGGAACAGCAGACACTGCTGGAGAAAAGGAAGGTGAGGGTCTCAGGACCAGCCAGTCCCACTCTAAGACCAAACATGCTAGGAGCTCAGAATGGAGGTAGGTCATGGCAAAGATGAGTTCAAGGTAAGGAGATAAGCCAGACTTGGGATTATTAGATAGGAGCTGAGAGACAGGAGGCATTGGCGAAATAAGAGCCAAGCCAATACTTCTTCAATGAAGTTCAATAAACTCCATGTTGGATTTAATGGGAGGATCTACTGGGTTTGGTGGGCCATAGGTTTTGAGATCAACAGTGGTTGTTCACACTGGTCCTTGGAGACATGAGACACAATTGGTGTTGATTTTATTGGACTAAATCCCTGACTGTGCTGGGAAAGATGTTCAACTCACTCTCTTTACAACTCTCAGAGTTAGCTTCAGCCATGCCCCTATCCTGTCCTTGCTGCCACTCATTCCTCTGCCAACCCACAGCCCCTCAGACACTTGGTCATAGGACACATCTGTCTAGCCATAGCCTTAATTGTCAGAAGACATACACCAGTGACTTTTTGGTCCTGACCTTAATTCTGAATCTAAATCTCTGCTGAATTCTGGATTGTTTGATCAAAGGATGAAAATGCCCAGCAGCTCCATCCAAATCTTGGACATCCCACACATGCCCCCAAAATGGAGATTCTAAACTTAGAGGAAAAGAAAAGACAGGACGAGCTGGACCACGTGATCACAAGAAACAGGGAAAGACTGGAGGTCAGTGGTCAATGGCAGGGGAGATATTGATTCCCAGGCCAGGTATTAAGAGCCACACTGCCCTCCAGAAAGCTGGCCCTAATGGGCAGACACCAGCAGTGCAGAGTGTGGCCTTGGGTGGCACCTGGGCCAAAGAAGGCATAAAAGTGGGTGGATTTTGTAGGTGAAGCAGTCATTATTGGGGTGTTTTATTTTGCATCTCTTTGATTTCTAAATTCATTATTTACAAAATTGGTAATGACATTTCCCCTTTGTAACTAGTCTGTATGTGTTCCTTTGCCATTTCTGAATCCTTTCTTATCCTTAAGCCAAAACAGCTCTTGAGAAAGGCCTCTTGGTTCTAAGGATCAGATGCTGGTTAATTCAGACACAACGGGCACAATGATATTTGGCCTTGATTCATCAGTGGGCTCCCCAAATCCTCCTAAAGAGCCAACCCAACCCTTCTTCAGTTGTCCTTGCAGAAAGCCCTGTTCCCTGCAGCTCTGCACTCACTGTGTTTCCTCCAGGAATTTGCCAAGAAACATGGCCGCTTTTTCATAGTCAGCTTGGCCTCCTTCACTGAGAAATTCCTGCTGCAGTTGGATGAATTGGTCACCATGGATGACATCCAGGTTGCAAGTAAGCGAGCACCAGCCTTGTGCTCTGGCCCCAGGGGTATAGGGGTAGCTGGCAGGTGTTAAATGGGCATCTGCTGTCTCCCAAGTCCAGCATGGTGCAGTTTCTCCATTGAGGGACTCAATCTTTATTTGTTTTCAAAAACGTAATTTTTGAATTAAAAAGGAGGATAAAAGATTATAGGTAAAAAATGGAACCCTAGCAATAAGAATTTTGGGGGGTTAGGGATGCCTTTTTGAAGTATGCCATGAGAACCAGAAGCCATAAAGGAAAAGTGACACTTCTCTGAAAAAAAAAAAAAAAAACCAAAGCAGAAAAATGTTAAGTATGGAACCACAGAGTGGAAAAGTATTTGTCATAACCTGTCATTCTAAGAAAGAGTTACTATTCCTGAGGTACGAAGAACTCTCATTTTTAAAAGGAGATGAAAAACTGGAGGTCATCATGTTAAGTTAAATAAGCCAGTCCAACAAAGACAAGCATCACATTTTTCTCTCATTTGTTAGAGCTAGGGAAAAACCAAACACAACAAAAAGTCAAGGTCAAGAAAGTAAACGGGAACTATTAGGGGTATTGAAGAGGAAAGGAAAATGGGGAGAGAAGAGAAGGAGATAAAAAGAGTAATAGAGGGGTGAGGGAATATGATCAAAGTACATTATATCCACGTACGGAAACATCATGATGAAACCCCTCACTATATACATTTTACTATATGCGAATAAAATGCATTAAAAACCATATGTGTTTCAAAAGAGAAGACATTCCTGTGGCCAGTGACTAAAAGAAGCTCAACCTCACTCAATGTGAATATAAGCATCACTTAGATATAATTTCTCACCAATAGCCCGCCAAAGTTGTTTTGTTTTGTTTTTTGAGACAGGGTTTCACTATGTAACCCTGGCTGGCCTTGAACTCAAAATCCTCCCATTTTAGCCTCATTAAGTGCTGGAATTACAGGCTTGCAACCAGCTTCCTGGCAAAGGATTAGGTTCAATGACAACCAGCCCTGGTGAGGATGTCAGGGAGCAGAGGCACCCCAGACTCCTTAACAGAAATGCACATTGACAAATACTGTCTTAGAGAATGTTTTGTCCATCCCTGTCAAAATTCTGCATGAGTCTGCCTTTGACCTAGCAGGTGTAATTCTAGTTCCAACTGAAGGCGTGCTCACACTGCCCAAAATATATCTCAAGAATATTCATCACAGAATTGTCTGAAATGGCAAAGAATCAGAAACAACACTAATATCTATTCATAGGAGATTTGACATATAAGCGGTGGTACAGATATACAAGTGAAAATGGTGCAGCTGTTAAAGTGGGGGTAGAAGATCTTTATGCACCAACATGGCACATGGACCTGAAGAAGGGAAGTTAAACAAGTGGATAACCAAGACATATCTATGATCCCATGTTTAAAAACACAACATGACATCAACATTCATAGCTCACAGAATCTTTTTTTTTTTTTTTGCCATGGATATCCTTTTTTTTTTTTTTCATTTTTCTTTTATTATTCATATGTGCATACAAGGCTTGGTTTATTTCTCCCCCCTGCCCCCACCCCCTCCCTTACCACCCACTCCACCCCCTCCCGCTCCCCCCCTCAATACCCAGCAGAAACTATTTTGCCCTTATCTCTAATTTTGTTGTAGAGAGAGTATAAGCAATAATAGGAAGGAACAAGGGGTTTTGCTGGTTGAGATAAGGATAGCTATACAGGGCATTGACTCACATTGATTTCCTGTGCGTGGGTGTTACCTTCTAGGTTAATTCTTTTTAATCTAACCTTTTCTCCAGTTCCTGGTCCCCTTTTCCTATTGGCCTCAGTTGCTTTAAGGTATCTGCTTTAGTTTCTCTGCATTAAGGGCAACAAATGCTAGCTAGTTTTTTAGGTGTCTTACCTATCCTCACCCCTCCCTTGTGTGCTCTCGCTTTTATCATGTGCTCATAGTCCATTCCCCTTGTTGTGTTTGCCCTTGATCTAATGTCCACATATGAGGGAGAACATACGATTTTTGGTCTTTTGGCCAGGCTAACCTCACTCAGAATGATGTTCTCCAATTCCATCCATTTACCAGCGAATGATAACATTTCGTTCTTCTTCATGGCTGCATAAAATTCCACTATATATAGATACCACATTTTCTTTATCCATTCGTCAGTGCTGGGGCATCTTGGCTGTTTCCATAACTTGGCTATTGTGAATAGTGCCGCAATAAACATGGATGTGCAGGTGCCTCTGGAGTAACAGTCTTTTGGGTATATCCCCAAGAGTGGTATTGCTGGATCAAATGGTAGATCGATGTCCAGCTTTTTAAGTAGCCTCCAAATTTTTTTCCAGAGTGGTTGTACTAGTCTACATTCCCACCAACAGTGTAAAGGGTTCCTTTTTCCCCGCATCCTCGCCAACACCTGTTGTTGGTGGTGTTGCTGATGATGGCTATTCTAACAGGGGTGAGGTGGAATCTTAGTGTGGTTTTAATTTGCATTTCCTTTATTGCTAGAGATGGTGAGCATTTTTTCATGTGTTTTCTGGCCATTTGAATTTCTTCTTTTGAGAAGTTCTGTTTAGTTCACTGCCCATTTCTTTATTGGTTCATTAGTTTTGGGAGAATTTAGTTTTTTAAGTTCCCTGTATATTCTGGTTATCAGTCCTTTGTCTGATGTATAGTTGGCAAATATTTTCTCCCACTCTGTGGGTGTTCTCTTTAGTTTAGAGACCATTTCTTTTGATGAACAGAAGCTTTTTAGCTTTATGAGGTCCCATTTATCTATGCTATCTCTTAGTTGCTGTGCTGCTGGGGTTTCATTGAGAAAGTTCTTACCTATACCTACTAACTCCAGAGTATTTCCTACTCTTTCTTGTATCAACTTAAGAGTTTGGGGTCTGATATTAAGATCCTTGATCCATTTTGAGTTAATCTTGGTATAGGGTGATATACATGGATCTAGTTTCAGTTTTTTGCAGACTGCTAACCAGTTTTCCCAGCAGTTTTTGTTGAAGAGGCTGCTATTTCTCCATCGTATATTTTTAGCTCCTTTGTCAAAGATAAGTTGCTTATAGCTGTGTGGCTTCATATCTGGATCCTCTATTCTGTTCCACTGGTCTTCATGTCTGTTTTTGTGCCAGTACCATGCTGTTTTTATTATTATTGCTTTGTAATATAGTTTGAAGTCAGGTATTGTGATACCTCCTGCATTGTTCTTTTAACTGAGTATTGCCTTGGCTATTCGGCTCACAGAATCTTAAATGACTTTGTGTGAGACAGAGACCAAGAGAGACAAACAGAATGTGAGAGACAGACCTGAGGGGCAGGCACCTTTCTGACAATGGTCATCTCTGCTGGATGGCGAGAAGCTCCCTTTTTTTTTCTCTCACTATTAGGTGCCATTTAAATTTTGTTGTTGTTGTTGTTTTTAGATGTACTGGGAGTTGACCTCAAGGCCTCATGCTTACTAGGAAGGTGCTCTGCCAATTGTTTCACTCTACCAGCCCTTTCGTTTGTTTGACATTTTTTAAGTTTTCTGTAATGTACATATCGCTTTTGTAACCATTAGGATGTTAAGATTGTATATTCAATGTTATTCATTTATTGCTAATCTAAGATGTAAGATCCATTTTTTCTATTTTTAAGTTTTTGTTACAAAGGCACATTATATATATATATATTATATATATATAATATATATATATTAGTTTACAGAAATTTATTAAAATTGTTGATTTAATCTTCTGTCCCAGAGCATCCATCCAGCTGCCTTTCAAAGGTTAAGATGCATGCTTGCTGCCACCATACAAGCCCTAAAAGCCAAAATTACAACACATTAATCATAGTTAAAAAAAAAACTTGTGTGATGCTTGTTATCCAGTTATACCTCAGAAAACATATTTATTGTATTAAATAAACATTGATTACAATTTCAATATGAACTAAGAAGCAAATGAAGGACACATTCCTTCCACCCAGAAATGAGTGCCCTTTGCCCTTGCTTTTCATCCTTCTAGTCCCCTCCCTGTGGGCACAGGCATGCCAGGGTGGAGATGGGGAAGGGCATGGGGATTGTGCACTTAAGTAGCCAAATTTCCCTTCCAGTGGACTGGGTTAAGCTGGTTGATGCTCTTCTCTGAGCATTTCCCATTGCTGCGCAGTGTGATTTACTAATACATACCCTGCTTTTGAACATTGGGCCATTTCTAATTTTTCACTCCTGTCATTGTGCTGAAGAGAATTTCTGCATCTATATCCTGCTATTCAGGGCAACAAACACCATAGTTTCTGGGTCAAAATATATGCAGATTTTTGAAGTGTTGGCCACTTTTCAATATGGCAGGTCTCTATGTCAAAGGTAAACTTCATTATAAAGGCAGGCCCTCCAGAGAACAGGGATTGAGACCCCGGAGAGGCCAGGCAAATGAGCTGCAGCAGAGCCCATCATGGTACCTTGCACAGGCCACAGGGCCAAGAAGATCCATTGCATGGGGCCCTAGGCAGCTTCTGTCTGCACTTGTCTCAAGCTTCTGGGCCAAGCTGCTGGCCCTACCATCCATGCAGGCAAGGGTACATGTCAGGGAGTCTCCTGCTTGCTGGCCCTCATTTCACATATGGAGCTCCCCTCTTTCCATCAAGAAAGCACATCAGGCCAGGTGTGGTGGCCTACACTTGTAACCCCAACTACTTTGGAGTCAGAGATGTAGGTGGGAGGATCAAGGTTTACAGACAACCCAGGCAAAAAGTTAGCAAGATCCTCTCTCTCACCCATCTCAACCAATAAGCTGAGCATGGCGGGGCACATCTGTACAGAATCCCAGCTACTCAGGAAGTACAGATAGAAGAATCATGGTCTGAGGCCAGCCCCAGGCAAAAACATAAGACCTTATCCCCAAAATAACTAAAGTGAAAAAGTACTGGGGGCAGGGTCAAGTAGCAGAGCACCTGCTTAGCAAGTGTGAGGTCCTGAGTTCAAACTCCAGTACCAACCCCCCCCACACACAGAGGAAAGCATATGAAATTTGGGTCAGCGAGCAGGACATTCAATGGACACAGCCTTGAATATGTTCTTCTCAGGGTAAGCCCTCCTAATGCCAAATGTTACCACAGGGAGAGGCTGCTGATCTATTATGTCATAGAGTCCATGGTCAGTAGCCTATCTCTTTCCTTCCAGGGATGGAGCCCCCCAAGCAGAAAACATCAATCCTCATACGGAGAAAACTAGCCAGGCTCTCCCTGGAGGAAGAGTGTGAGAAGCCCCTGATTGAACGTGGGAGCAGGTGAGAGCCTGGGGTAGCAAAGGACACAGAATGGCTGTATCTGCAGGGGCTGGGTAGTAGAATAATCAGGACTCAGGCTCTGAACCCACACCTGGTAGCCTTCAAAAGGCACTGTGCTCTGAGCCTCAGTTTCTTCATCTGTGGCAGCCTACCTTGCATGGCTGTATGAAGAGAAAGTTAGAGGAAGTTGTCCATAGGGTACCCCTGGCACATAGTAAAGCTCCACAATTACTAGTTCAGGAGCCTACGAAGAAAGGGAGGCCTGACCTAGGGGAGGCACATTCTCAGGTCATTGCTGGCACTATGAATCACTCCAGCTGTCTGCTGTGTGTGACAAGAGCTGTCTAAGTGCCTGTCTTCTGTGCCCCAAGAATATGACGCTGCTGCAAGAGGACACAAAGTGATCTGCTCAGCCATGTTCTTAGCAGTAGACCCTATAGGCCAGGAGCTGATAACTACTGCTACCTGGCAGCCTGATAAGGAAACTGAGGCCCAAAAAAGGGAAGCAACTTTAGGTGTGGCATCCCCTTCCCCACACCAAATCCAAGACTGTACACTGTTATCTAGCAGTATGGAAGTGTGAAACAGAGAACTTAAAGACGACATGAAATGCTCAGTACAGCCTTTTCTTTTAGTTGAGCAATTAAAGCCACGATAAACTGCTAAGCTTTTCCAAGAAGAGTAGGGAGTAGATTGGGAATGATGAAAACAAACATGTCTGTTTTTAGGAAGTGGCCAGGAATCAAGCCCACTGAAATCACCATCCAAACCAAGATTCTTACTCGGAAGACACCCTCAATAACCACCTTAAAGACCACCCTGGGCCATCTGGCAGCTGTGGAAGCTCGAGATGCTGTATACCTGGTGAGACAGGGTGAGATGGGTGTGTTCCTAGGAGCACAGGGAAGCTCACTTTGGCTGCCTTGGGGAGGAAGTTTCCCACCATCAGGCACCCCAACATTTGGCCCATGGAGCAGACAACATACGCTAGTGTGCCCCTGAGTCACAGGACTCAACACTCAGGGAAGCTCATGTCCACTGATAGGCAGGCACAAGGACATGAGCAAAGATCATGTCCAGTCCCAGTGCTAGCAAGGGACCCTGGTGCTGTGAGGCTAGTCAAGGGACATGTCACCCACACTGGTCATTGAGAAAGTCTTCACAGAGGGGCAGTAGAGTCAGTGGATGGGGAGACAGGCACTGTAGCATTTAGGTTCATACTGGGAACATGGTAGCAGAACAGCCCCTGAGACATCTCAGGAATCCTCCTAGAAACCCGAGGAAGAATTTTAGTCCCCATTTCACTGACAGGACACTGATGCCTAAAGACATTTACCCTCTTTGACACTATAGAGTGGCAGAGCTAGGATTTCATTCCAGTGCCTGTTAAATTCCTGAGGGGATGGTCTTATGAGGAGTCTGCACACAGATGCTACCCGAGGAACCTCTCCACTCTGAAGATTCATGGGCCTTTGGTCCTGATGCCCAGAGAAAAACCTTATCCTGCCTGGAGATCCTTTGGGCTTGGGATCTCTTGGGAGAGCCTGAAGTGCCACTGCTGGCATTTTCCCAGTTGCTGCTCCAAGCACCAGGCCAAAGGAACAGCTGTGTCCCCTGAGTTCAGTGAGATATTGGAGGCCCACGCTTAGCCTCCTGCAGAAGCCAGGATGCCAGAGCTCCAGGGAGGCTCTCCTGCAGGACAGAGGTCAGGAAGGTGCAGGGTCCACAGCCAGAGAGACACAGGTCCTAGTCAGCTTTTCTTGAGCTGGTGACCCCAGGCAAGGCTCTGAGCTTGACTTCACACCTGTAAAATGAGGAAAACAACAGGACCTACCCTGTGGGCTGTCTCAACAGGTTTTTGGGCAAATTCATGGGATGACTTGTGGAACTCGTGCTGGTGCCTGCAGGGCAAGAGCGTTGTGGCCCAGGTTCCAGCATTTTCCCTGGGCAGGGGGTGCAGGGATCCCTCACCATGGCCCTCCTCCTGCTTTTCTCCCAGAAATACTTAGCATCATTTGCAGAGGAGATGAAGAAAATCCACAAGGACGATGCGGCACTGGTGAAGGAGGCTCAGCACTGGAAGGACAGCTGGAAACGCTCCCTGGACACCATCAAGGGCCTGTACTTGTGCCAGCCTTCTGCCAAATAAAGCTTTGTCTTGTGCACATTTTTCTGACAGTCTGTCTGCCTGCTACCTATCCATCCCTGATCCATGCCACGCACTAGTGCTTTATCACTGGCAAGTCACATTATGTCACTGTCCATGTGGAACTCGTTTGCAGCCATGAACACAGATGTGAAAGGGATGTCCACATAGCTAGGAGGGATGGATGGTAGGTACCAGGATTTAGTCACTCAAAATAGACATGAGGTCCCTCAATTTTCATTTCTCTTGAGTGCTGCTCTACAGAGACAGTGCCTAGCAGCCAGGCCATGAGGTGTCAGAAGCCTGCCTGGCCATGATTGCTGAGGAACACCTCATCGGGCACAGAGGGGCAGCTGCACGGACCTCTAGCCAAAGAAGAAAGGAGAGGAGAGCCCAAGGGCTTGAGATTAACATCTGGAGAGAGACATGCTCCAACCAGCATACACGTTTCCATCCTGTCAGCCATGATCTGGGGCATGAACCTGTAGGCCCAACAGGGTTCCAATGCCTGACAACTTGCTCCTGCCCAGGAAGGGTCTCCTCTGCCTCTTGCCTAATACACACACACACACACACACACACACACACACACACACACACACAGTAAGAAGGAAGAGTGTAGGGCTGCAGGTGGGATCACAGTTATGGAGTTATGGCCTGGTCAGAATGGGGCAGCCCTGTGTTACGTTGGGGTACCCTCCTGTCAAATGGTCAGAGTCTTCAGGCATGAGGGCTTAGTCAATGTCTGTGATGGTGGAAAAGGCTCTTGCTCTGACAACAGCCTTGAAAACTGAGGAAAGCACTTTGCTCTTCTCAGAGTCCCTGAACAAATAAAATGCACAGGGAACTGTCTTTAGAATGTGGGTGCCTGATTACCAGAGTTCTAAGTTCTGTTTGGCTCTATCACCAAGGAACTGAGGTCACTTCCAGGTTCCATTACCTGGACTCCTTCCTTAACTAAGACCTACCCAAAGACATCTCTGACATGGTGATTGCTCACTGTCCTCCCGTGCCATCTCCTTAATTTCAGTGTCACCATCACTGGGAAGATCTGAATGCAACCAAGGTCACAAGGTTGATGAAACAGAGCTGGGCTCAGAGCCTCCTTTTTCCATCAGTTCACTGTCCCTCTCAGGGCCCCCAGTCTCCCCAGCCTGCACAGTGAGGATTATCCTAGCAGCTGCTTCCTAAGAACATCATCAGGTGACTATGAGACAATACTTTAAAAACTTATGGGTTGGTGTCACAGGTAAATGTGCAGAGTTAAAGCTGGAAGAATGACAAGAATGGGAGGACCACAGCACAGAATACAACCTGTCTAGGTTCTGCCAGTGCAATATTTGAACTTACTTCTCCCATGGTCTTCACTTTCCATTCTGTGCCATGAGGGGGTAGAAATGACAGAAAGTTCATATGTTGTTATTCTGTGGCATAAAACCATCCCATGGCTTCCTACCATGTTTAGAATGAGACCTAGGAACCTCATCAGGTCTGTGTGGTGGAATTAGTCACAGCAGCGAGCAATGATCTCTTCTGGTATATTCAACCTGTGTAATCATTAAGTAGTTAGTGACTTGCTTCTGACCAATAGAATATGACAAAAGTGACAAGATACCACTCCTGTCTAAGTCAACTTGGGATGCTGTACAAAGTACCATGAATGAGTGGCCCATATAGAACAGAAATTTATTCCTCACATTACTGGGAGTTTGAGATCAGGTTAGGGGCCAACATGGATTGCTTTTGATGAGGTCCCTCTTCAGGACTGCAGACTGCCAACTTTTCACTGTGTCTCCCTGTATCCTCACAGAAGTGAAAGAGGAGGAGAGAGTTCCCTGGGGTCCCTTTTAAAAGAGCACTAATTTCACTCATCAGAACTCTACACTCAGGACTTAATTACCTCCCAAAGGTCTCACTTCCTAATACCATCACCTTGGGGGGGTAGGATTTCAACATGTCTTTGGGGGATATAAATATTCAGTTCACTGCAACTTCCAAGAGTTAATTGCCAAAACCAACAGTGTTCTTGTTTGCACTCTCCTGTGTTCCTTCCCTCCTTTTCCATCTCTCTTCCTCCCATCCTCTTCCTTGCTAAGCTCTTGAACTGCTTGCTCCTCTCCTCAACCATCTAGCTGGGGAAGCAAGCTTCCATGTGAAGAGCTACCCTATGGAAAGAACCAGAGGCGTACTCAGGCTCTCAGTCCAGACTGAATCTTGCCCCCTGAGTGGGACTGCAGCAGATCCTCCAAGGTCCAGCCTTGCCTGAGACCACAGTCCCCAGCTTCCTGAGGGCCTGAGGCAGAGGCCCCCAGGTGAGCTGTGTGCAGATTCCTGGACCACAGAAATTACAAATATCAACTGTTTGTATTTTGTGTTCTCATGTTGTGAGAACAGATAACTAGTCTAGATTGCAAGGCCCCAGGATCTAGCCCTACCCCACTCCCCACCTCCCAGGTTCATCTGGCCACACTGTCTGCCTTTCTAACACCTCTGCCAAACTCACTTCTACGTGTCTGCCTCAGTGGTGCCTTCTCCCTGACAGTTCCCAGACTTGTGCAGGGCAGTTCCCACTCGTCTTTTTGGTCACAGCATGTGTTGGGGTGGAGTGGCTTAGGTAGACCCAGGTACAGAAGCCTTCCTAACTTAGGGAGATGCTGAGGGACACCAATAGTAACAGCCAGGTCTAGTGTCCACAGCCAGGCATACATAAGGGACTCTATGGCTAGACTGAGAAGAGAATATGCTGGTGAGTTCTTGCCTTGCTGCACCTACAAGCTCAATATAGCAATGATCCACAGGTAAGGTTGGTCTAGGAAGTCAGCTCTTCCTGCCACACCTCCTTGGCCTGGGTCCCATGTTCACCACTGCACCCAGGAAATGCTACCTCACTTAACTGGTAGGACTGAGGGCAGGAGAGTAGTTCCCCCAGGAAAACTGAGGTGTGTCCCAATGGAAGACAGACCAACCTGGGCCTGGCAAAAGCACCAGGCCCGAATTATACCCATGGACTCTACATCTGCCTCTGCCATGATGCTTGTGGGGCTGTCCCAGAGGAAAGAAGCAAAATTCATACTTTGGTTTGTATTAGACATGGCTACATATACAGTTACATGTCATTTAACAGTGGAGACATGTTCTGAGAAATGTGTTGTTAGATGATGTCACTGTGAGAACATCATAGTGTACTTACACAAACCTAGATGATTACAGGCCAACACTTAATATGGCCTTTTGATTAAAACAACAGACATGTTAAACACCAGGTGTATGGGGCTTCTACCTGTGTAACAAGCATACTGTTTTACAGTGTTTTTATTTATTAAGTAGGAGTACTCTCTAAAATAATAATACCAAGTATGGTATAGTAAATATATAAACCAGTAACACAGTCATTTATTATCTGTATCATGTACTGCACATAATTATACCTAATACACTTTTATAGGACTAGCAATGTAGGTTTACAACAGTACCACCAACAAATGTGAGAAATGTGGTGCACTAGGACACTAATGACAGCAGCTATGACATCAGTAAGCAATAGGAAATTTTCACTCCATTATAATCTTAGAGGACCACAGTCATATGTATGATTTGCTGTTGACTGAAGCATCTTTATGTAGTGTATGACTTCATTAAAATCCTCCCCCCCAAATATCAGTGAGCTCCAGGCAAACCAACACTACACCTGTACTGCAGAAGGCAGGGTGGAGGGCACCTCCAGAGGTGTCAGTTCTATCTAGGCAGCTTCCCGAAGTCCCACACCATTCTTCTGGTCACATCACAGTCACCGCACCTAGTTCTAGGTGCCACAGAGGTTATGAATTTTATTAGTCTTTTAGTTTGGTGAATTTTGCCCTCAATAAAACTGAGAATGAAAACTGGAAGTTACCTGTGTTCTCTCCCTATACTGAACAACAGGAAGAGGAGATGGGGTTATTTTCAGAAGAACTGGTTACTTGTTTTCCTACTATACCTTCTCTCTTCTTAGTGCTTATTTATTCACGGGGAATGGGAGAGCTTGATTCCAAACCAGGGTGTATGAGTGGGACCCCGGCTTCCAATTCCCAAGCAGCATGGTTGGAATCACAGAGCTGTCTTTCCTCTGCTTGCAACTTGTAAGTAGACCTGATAAAATCCTTTCCTAGTTCATAAAGGGAGTAGGGTGGGGCTGGGAGCCCCTGAATGGCTGGGTCAAAATTAAAGTTCTGTAAATCAAAAGAGTACAATGCATTGACCCCACCATTTTGAATCCAAGGACACTTTGACTGGGTGGTAAATATTACTAGTAAAATTAATTTACCCCAAATAAACCTTCCTTACTCTTTTCAGGCTACTGTAACAAAATACTATAAAGTGGATGGCTTATAAGCAACTGAAATTTATTTTTTCATAGCTCTGGAAGCTGGGCGGTCTTAGGTCAAAATCCCAACTGACTTGATGAGAGCCCACTTCCAGGTTTGTAGACAACCATCTTGTTGCTATGTCGTTAGATGGTAAAGGGCAGAGAGGGAGCTCTCTGAGGCCTCTTTTATAAGGGCACTAATCCCATTCATGAGGGCTCCACCCTCCCAAACTGATCACCTTCCAAAAGTTCCATCTCCAAATATGGTCACACCGAATTAGTGTGAATATGTGAATTTTGGGGAGGGACACAAACATCCAGCAGAAACTGATACTGCTTAAAACTAAGCATTGTAAAATTTTAGCACTAAAATATCGTGGAAGAAAAATATATTTGACATTTTGACCCAGAAAAATTGACTTGGTAAAAATAATGATGCCTAAAGAAAACTTAAACTAGTAGAATCTACAGTCGGTAAGTTATGATGTGGACAAAAGAACAAGTCACTGACATAAAAATAATTGATCTTGATAAAAATAATTTCAGTGAATCAAAAAAGAGTGAATATACTAGAAGTGTGTCCTCCAGGGTTCATGTGTTGGGAACATGGTTCTCAATGGTGATGGGATCTTTACAAGGGAGGTCCTAGTGGGAGGCA